TTGTCTGCTCCAGAACCTCAAGAAAGGCAGCCGTCAGGTGGTCTGCCCAAATTTTTTGCCCTTCGGGTGTGTCGACAAGATCATTGCGGATCTCGACCAGGCAATGTGCCAGTCCACGCGCTTCCGCGTGGTGCGGTATGAACCAGTCGCCGTCTTCCTCGATCATGTAGGGGACATTCATGCCGACCAGCAACCTGTTGTCGCGATGGCGGATCGTTTCCGCGATGATCTCGGCGCTGCGCGTATCCTTGCGGGACAACAGCCCAAGGTGCCAGGGCCTGTGCATGCCGAGATAGACGGGTGTGAAGGAATGGATTGAAAAGGCGGCCCGTTTCGGGGTCGCTTCCAAAAGACATGTCAATGCGGCGTCATAGGGTTCGAAAATGGATCGCCTGCGATCCATCCGTTCCGCATCGCTCAGGCTCTGATTTCCTGGAACGGCAACGTCTTCGCTGACTTCAGGTATCGCATCCGGCGATTCGAATGGGCGGTTGCAGTCATAGACCAGCCTTGAATAGCTTTGTTGAATGAGGTCGGCGCCGAGATTTTCGGCGACCCGCTCGGCGACGGCAAGCGCTCCAATGTCCCAGGCGATATGGCGATCCAGCTCCGCCTTGGAAAGACCAAGCGTTCCGAGAGATGCGGGAATGGCCCGGCCAGCGTGTTCGCAGACAAGAACCACTTCCGCACCCTCTTTTCGCCTGGTGCAGAGCACCGGATCCGGATCGTCGTTTCCAAGCAGGTTTCTGCCTAGATTTTCCGCGGAATATGCTGCTTCCTTGAGCATGCAGACCTCCAGAGACGTCTGATAATTTTTTTTCATATCGGCACAAATGTGAAAACTTGACAAGAAATTTTTATAAGCACACTCTGAAAGGCATGATGTCGCACGGAACAATTCGTGATCTGATTACCGAAACGTCTCAAGCCCTGACAGGGACTGAGCGAAAGCTGTCGACCACGCTTCTCTCGGACTACCCGTTCGCAGGGCTGGAGCCGATCCAGGTCCTTGCCGACCGGACCGGTGTTTCCTCGCCGTCGATCTCGAGGTTCGTGTCGAAGCTCGGCTTTCAGGGGTATCAGGACTTCCAGAGAAAATTGATCCAGGAACTCAAGGCCAGTCAAAGGTCTCCAATCGAGCTGATGGTGGAGGAGAGAGAGGTCGACGGATCTTTTCTGGGAGATTTCACCAGGCGTGCGAGCGCGCTTATGGACGAGATGTCAAATACCATAACGGACGCGCAGTTCGAGCGGGTCTGCAGCCTCGTGAGTGATCCTAACCGCCGCGTCTTCGTACTTGGCGGAAGGGTGAGCGATCTGGTGGCGCAGCATCTGAGCCGCCATCTGAAGCGGCTGCGTGATGACGTGTTTCATATGGAGTCCGATCCGGAAACCTGGCCCGACAACTTGTTGAGAATGCGTGGCAAGGATGTTCTGTTCGTAGTCGATTTCCGCCGCTACCAGAAATCGATCGATGATCTGGCGAACCTGGCGGCGAATGAACGGAAAGCCAATGTTGTCGTTCTGACGGACAAGTGGATGTCGCCATCGGTTGCCCACGCAAGCGAAACACTCGCGGTTCCGGTGGAGAGCGGCACTGTCTGGGACAGTTACGCCGCCGGTTTCACGCTCATGGAAGCAATCATGACGAGGGTCGCGGAGACGGACTGGAAAAAGCACAGCAGGCGCGTGTCTTCGTGGGAAGCACTGGCACACGGGAGGCAAGAACTCGGGAATGATAGCTAAACCCATGATATTTGCCGCTTTGTCCGATCTTTCAGGCAAGACACGCGGCAAGGCCTTTCCTGCGGACCAGCTGCAAAAGCGGCTTGAAAGTGGCATGGGATGGGTGCCGACCAATGTCCAGATCACGTGTTTCGACACGATTGCCGACAGTCCGTTCGGATCGTTCGGCGACCTCGCACTTGTTCCCGATCAGTCGGCGGAAGTTGCCGTCGATTTTGAGGACGGGTCTCCCAGGGAACACTTCATGCTGAGCGATATCCGAACGCTCGAAGGCGCGCCCTGGGGATTTTGTACCCGGTCGATCCTGCGGCAGGCGCTGACACGTTTGAACACGCTCACCGGTGCGCGTTTGCAGGCGTCCTTCGAACATGAATTCCAGTTTGCCAGGGGGGCTACACTGGTCCACCAGGGCTTCGGTCTCCAGGGGCATTCGGAACATGCGCGGTTCGGAGAAGCCTTGATGGCGGCACTTGAAAAAGCAGGCCTGAAGCCCGACAGCTTCATCTGCGAATATGGATCGGACCAGTTCGAGGTCACAATAGCACCGGAAGTGGGTGTGAGAGCAGCAGACGCGGCGGTCATCACGCGCGAGTTGACCCGGATGACGGCGCGAAGGGTCGACCAATGCGCCACTTTCACACCCATCCGGGACGTCGCAAGTGTCGGCAATGGCGTCCATATTCACATGAGTTTTCTGGGAGAGGCGGGACCGATCACCTACGATGCGGCAGGTGAGCACGGCATGTCTGCGCTGACGGCAGCCTTTTCGGCTGGGGTGCTGAAATATCTTGAAAGCATTCTGGTTTTGACCGCGCCATCGGTGATTTCCTATGAAAGACTGACGCCGCACCGCTGGAGTGCCGCCTTCAACAATCTCGGATTGCGGGACCGTGAGGCCAGCTTGCGCATCTGTCCGGTGACCGCGAAGGATCCTGAAGGGATAGCCCGCCAATTCAACATCGAATACCGCGCGGCCGATGCGGCAGCCTCACCACATCTTGCGCTGGCCGCGATCGTTCATGCCGGATGCCAGGGGATTGAGGAAAAGCTCGCGGCGCCAAAGGTTACTGAAGAGGACCTGTCACTTCTGGACGAATGTGATCTGGCGGCGAAGGGTTTCGTGCGCCTGCCCCAGACGTTGGAGGAGGCACTGGATCGCTTTGCCGCAAACAGGACCGTCACCGGCTGGTTCGATCCGTTGTTTGCCGAAGTCTACGTCTCGCACAAGAAGGCGGAAGCCGCTTTCCTTGAGGAAATGGATACCGGTCAGAAATGCGCCGCCTACGAGGAGGTCTACTGATGCTGGTTCTGGAAGACATCTCGAAGCAGTTCGGTGGTGTGCGGGCGGTCAGCCATGTCAGCTTCGAAGTGGCCGCGGGCGAGGTTCGTGGCCTGATCGGCCCGAACGGTGCCGGCAAGACCACGGTGATCAATCTCATTTCCGGGTTGCTGACACAAACGAGCGGCACCTTGTTCCTGGATGGTGAACTCCTGAACGGGCAGGGATCTGCGGATCGCACACGAAAAGGCATTGCCCGCACATTCCAGAACCTGCGGATCTTCGAGAACCTCTCCGTTGGACAGAATATCGAAGTCGCACAGATCACGGCGCAGTCCGAAGGACATGCAGACAGTCCGGCCATTTCAGAAGCGATCGAACGTTTCGATCTTGCAGGCAAGCTGGCAATGCCTGCAAACGCGCTGTCATATGGACATTTGCGGCGGTTGGAAATCGTGCGCGCGCTCGCACTCAACCCGAAGGTTCTGATGCTTGACGAACCGGCCGCAGGTATGAACGAGCAGGAAACCGCGGAGCTGGCCGCAGGTCTTGAATGGGTCAAGACGCGCTTCGGCTGCGCCACACTGGTCATCGATCACGACCTGAAATTCATCATGACGCTTTGCGACAGGATAACGGTCCTGAACATGGGAGCCGTGATCGCTGAGGGAACGCCCCGGGACATAACAACAAATCAAGACGTAATTGATGCCTATCTGGGCGAGGACCATTCAAATGCCGCCTGAGGCGGCGCAATAACAGGAGAGGGACAGTGAAAAAAATCGGACTTACTCTCGCCGGGCTCGCCTTTGCGGCCGCGCCGGCATTCGCCGCCGACACGGTCAAGATAGGCCTGGCAGTACCAATGACCGGCGACTACGCGCCTTATTCGGAATTCCAGGGTGCGCGTTGCATGGCGGAGAAAATCAATGCGGAGGGCGGCATCAATGGCATGCCGATCGAACTGTTCGTCCAGGACACAGGTTCGGACACGCAGACCGCCATTTCTCTCGCCCAGAAGTTTCTGGACGATGGTGTCGTCATGCTCGGAACGATCCCGTTTTCAGACACGATGATCCCGGTGGCGCAGGTCGCGGCCGGATATGGTGTGTCGATCTTCCAGCCCCAGTCCACGCAGGTGGAAATGCATGCCGGCATAGTGGACAACTTCTTTACCGGCGTTTCACCTGATCCGTTTACCGCCACGGCGGCCGCCAATCACGCCCTGAAACAGGGTGTGAAGAACGTTGTCCTGTTCACATCGGATGAAGGCGGATCATGGTCCGCGCGCACACCGCTCTGGTTCGGCGAAGTGATCGAAGAGAACGGCGGCAAGGTTCTTGCCAAGCTGAATTTCAGCTTCGGAACATCTGACTGGTCGCCGCAGATCGCGGAAATCAAGGCGCTCGATCCTCAACCGGATGCTGTCTACATCTCGTCGATCATGCCGGATGTCGGGGTTCTTGTCCGCCAGCTGCGCAGTGCGGGCATCGATGCCTGGGTGGTCGGGTCCGACGGATTTGACGATCCGTCTCTGGATGCGATCGGCTCCGACGACCCGAGCCTTCTTGACAAGGTTTTCTTTGCAACGCTGGCGCCTTCTCAAGAGGACAGCGCGGTCGTGAATTTCATGAAGGAATGCAAGGAAATGGGCCATGAAGTGAACGGCCTCTTCCCGGCAACGGGCGCGGATACGATCATGGCGGTCAAATTCGGTGTCGAGACCGCGGGCAGCACCGATCCGGCAGCGGTCGCCGATGCAATCCGTTCCGCCGACAGCCTGCCGGTCCTGACCGTCGACTCGATCTCGTTCAAGGATACGAAGACCTATGCTCAGCGCACCATTCCGGTGATCGGCTACAAGGATGGAAAGCGCGTTCTTGTGACCAATGAAATTCCCGCCAATGTTCCGACCGACTGGAACTGATAACTCCGGCGCGGCCCTTTCAACGGGCCGCGCCGCAGGACCTATCTGATGCTCACCATCCAGGATCTACACGTCTTTCATGGTCCGATTGAAGCGGTCCATGGCATTTCCCTTGAAGTTGAAAAGGGCAAGTGCATCTCGCTTCTGGGACCGAACGGTGCCGGAAAGACATCGACTATTTCGGCGATTACCGGGATTGCCCGCTCGACCGGTCTCATTCGTTTCGAGGGCCGGGATCTTTCACGCGAAAGCGTGGAAGCCCGCATAGCCGCCGGAATTGCCGTTTCTCCGGAGGGGCGGCGCATCTTTTCCAATCTCACTGTTCTGGAAAATCTCACACTCGGTGCAGCCCTGCAGAAGGATGCAGCGGAGAAGGCAAAAGATACCGACCACTGGTTTTCTCTGTTTCCGATCCTTGCAGAGCGCCGGGACCAGTCCGCCGGAACACTGTCTGGCGGTGAGCAGCAAATGCTTGCGATCGCGCGTGCGCTTATGGCACGCCCGAAGATACTATTGCTGGATGAACCGAGCCTGGGTCTGGCGCCCAAGATTGTGCGGCAGATATTCGATCTGATCGCCGACCTGAAAGCCCGGGGCATGACGATCCTTCTGGTCGAACAGAATGCGACGCAGGCGCTCAAGCTTGCGGATTACGCCTATCTCATGAGTTCCGGCCGGATCGTCGCGCACGGAACGGCCGATGACCTGGGCAAGAGCGACAAGCTGATGGCAGAGCTGACGGGGGTTGCCTGAAATGGAATACATAGTCCAGCAGGTATTGAATGCGCTCAGTTTCGGCGCGGAATATGCGCTTCTTGCGCTTGGCCTTGCCATCGTGTTCTCGATCATGGGACTGGTGAATTTCGCTCATGGCGAGATCATCGCTGTCGGCGGATACACGATGGTCGCCTTTGCCTCGCTTGCCATCGGCAATCCGATGATTGTCATGGCCGGGGCCGTGCTGGCGGCGATGCTGGCTTCGCTGACGCTGGAAAGAGTTGCTTTCCGACCTGTGCGAAAGGCGGATCCGACAACGGGCCTTTTGACTGCCTTCGGGGTTTCCATCGTGCTGCAAAACCTCTTTTTGCTGTTCGTGTCGCCCCGGCCGATAGCGGTGACATCTCTGTATTTTCTCGACTGGTCGATCGAGATCGCGGGTATCCGCCTGGCGTCGCTTCAGGTCTTCGAAACTCTGACGACCATCATCGTCATTATTGCCCTGATGCTGTTTTTGAGACGAACGGTGCTTGGGCTCGCGGTGCGTGCGGCATCGCTCGATTTCGAAATGGTGCGGCTGACGGGTATCCGGGCCAACAGGGTCTTCGCCATTGCCTTCCTGATTTCCGGCCTGCTGGCGGGTCTTGCCTGTATCTTCATTATGGCGCGGCGCGGCAGCGTCGATCCGCATCTGGGTTTTGAACCGGTCCTGAAGGCCTTCGTCGCATGTGTTGTGGGCGGATTTGGCAGTCTTCCCGGAGCTGTTCTCGGTGGTTTCCTTCTTGGAGCTGTGGAAGTTGCCATGCTTGTCATGCTGCCGCAGAGCCTTGGCGGCATGACAGATGCGTTTGTATTCATGATCGTTGCGATGATCCTGATCTGGCGACCCGACGGAATCCTGTCTCCTGCTGTTGAGAAGGGAGACAAGTTGTGATCCGGTTGAGTTCAAGTCAGAAGTCCGGACTAGTCGGCGCTGCCTTGCTCGCCCTTGTCCTTGTCGCGATCGGTTTGCTGACCACCTATTTCGGTTCGCGTTATCAGGTTCGGCTGGTTTACTCGGCCTATGTCAACCTGATCGTGGTGCTGGGGCTTCAGGTCTTCATGGGCAACGCGCGGATCACCAACCTGTCGCATAGCGCCTTCATGGGAATAGGTGCTTATGCAGCCGCGCTCTGCGTTACGCCGGAAAACATCAAGAAGATCTCGCTGCCCGATGCTCCCTGGGGCCTGGCGCAGTTTTCGCTCGACCCGGTGCTGTCCGCGCTGATTGCCGTCGTGATCACGGCTGTGCTTGCCTTTCTGCTTGGCATGCTGATTGTCCGGCTCACCAGCATCGGCGCGACAATCGTCACGCTGGCTATTCTCGTTATCATTCACGCCATCTTTCTTTATCGAACCGATATCTTCAAAGGTAACCAGGCATTCTTCGGCATTCCGCAGGTTTTCGATCTGACCTCGGTGATTGCGATAGCGATCCTGGTGGTGATTGTCTGCCGACTGTTCAGGGAGAGCCGTTGGGGCATTCAGCTCAGGGCGAGTGCGGACGATGAGGTCGGCGCTGCCGCAATGGGTGTCCAGATCTACAGACTTCGCCTGATCGCCTGGGTGCTGGGGGCCGTTATCCTGGCTGTCGCGGGGATCTGTTACGCCTATTTTCTCGGGACGATTTCGGCCCGACCCTTCTACTTCAACCACGTTTTCCTGACCCTTGCGATGCTGATCCTGGGGGGGATGCGAACCGTCACCGGCGCCGTCCTCGGCACCTTCCTGATTTCCTTCGGGCTTGAAGGGGTTCGATATCTGGAAACGGGGCCTGTATTTCTGGGCATTGATCTGCCGGAAGCCCTCGGACTATCGGGTATCGCGCTGGGAGCCGTGATTGTCTTGACTATGGCGCTCCGTCCGACTGGTATCATGGGAAACCGGGAAATCGAGACGCTGTTCGTCCGGCAAAGACACTAGGAGAAAGACGTGGCTTGCAATCACACGATCCACAAACATGCGCATCACTTCGGCTGGGACAATTCGATCGAGCCGATCCTGACCGTTACGCCAGGCGAAACAATTGAAGTCGAGACGATTGACAGTTCCGGGGGGCAGTTCAACCAAACTTCGACAGTGGCGGACCTGGGCAATCTGAGTTTCGACAAGGTCAATCCGGTCACCGGTCCGATCTATGTAGAAGGTGCCGAACCGGGGGATGCCGTCGCAATCACCTTTCTGGACTTCAAGCCGTCCGGCTGGGGCTGGACCGCAAATATTCCCGGGTTCGGGTTGCTGACGGACCAGTTTCCCGATCCGGCGCTGCATATCTGGAAATATGACGCGGTTGCGATGAAACCCGCACTCTATGGACCAGGTGGCGCGGTTCCGCTGAAGCCCTTTGTCGGCACGATCGGCCTCGCAGTTGCTGAACCTGGTCTTCATTCGGTTGTTCCACCCAGGCGCGTCGGCGGCAATCTCGACATTCGCGACAATACAGTCGGGACAACGCTTTATTTGCCTGTCGAGGTCGCGGGGGGGCTTCTGTCGCTCGGCGACACCCATGCCGCGCAGGGAGACGGCGAGATTTGCGGCACGGCGATCGAAAGCCCCATGGATGTTGCGATCAAGGTGGATCTACTCAAGGGCGCGAATTTCGCTTTTCCGAGATTTGAGACGGATGGCCCGGTAACCAGGCATTTCGACACGATGGGATACCAAGTCACGACCGGTATTGGCGAGGACCTGATGCAGGCAGCCCGCGACGCGGTTTCGGGCATGGTCGACTGGGTCTCGTCCAGAACCGGAATGAGCGCGCTCGACGCTTATATGCTGTGCTCTGTCTGCGGAGACCTGCGAATTTCGGAAATCGTCGACATGCCCAATTGGACGGTGTCGTTCTATTTTCCGAAGAATGTTCTGGGGTAGTGCCGCGAGCAGATACAGGTCAGAAAGTTGATCCACAAGGTTTGAAAATGTGGTGAGAAGGCAAAAATTCGGTTTGTCGAAACTTTCTGTATGTGCGTCAGGGCAAAAAAATCCTGTTTAACGTCGTGCCGTCTGCGTCAATTCCAGGCCCGACTCTGATACCATCCTTCAGCGCTGCTGCAACCTATGCGATTGTGGTGGTTGTTGAGCAATGCGCAACATGACATTGCGGGTGGCGTAATCGGGCGCCGGTCAGGCTGGATGGTCTATGCAGAGACTGGATTTTGAGTTGGACAAGGCGCAGGTCAAGCGCGCCTGGGGCGTGATTGATCGTGAGTTCCAGAATCTCGGTCTGGTACTGCGCCGCGGGTCCGACTTCGACGTCGTCGAGGCGATGGCTGCCTCCAGCGGTTTTCCGCCGCTCGAAGGGCATTTCACACCGACGCTCAATACCTATACGCCTTCCCAGGCCTTCTGGCTTGCTCTTACCGATCAGGATGGACGGTTGGTCGGAAGGGTCTGTGCCCGGTTCGACAAAATGGAATATCCCATGACGCTCACGGATTTCTGGCGCAAGTATTTCCATCGCTGCTATCCGAATGCCGTGGGCGGCAAGGTTGAGCTGGCTGCAGAACAGCCGCGTGTCGGTCGGCGGATAACCGGCGACGTTGTCTATCTGGGGGGGACGTATGTTGCCCGCGATTGGCGCAGGCACAAGCTGGGTGGTCTATTGAACCAGCTCGCCCAGATCGAGGCTCTTCACGACTGGGGAGCCGGTTTCTACTATGGATGGATCCAGGGCCACACGTTTCTTGACGGGTTCTGGCGCGAATGCGGCTTCACCCGATGCGCGCACAACGCTCTGACATGGGCGGAACCATTGCCTGGTACGCTGGATGCCAATCTGGTTTTTGCGGGCAATAGTGTGGATGACGTGTGTGATCTGATAGATCGCGTTGCTCGTGGATTTCCAGTAATTCCATCAGACAGAATATTCGAACAATCCCCGAACGGGTCTCGAACCTGACAAGCAATCGCTGCAACGTCATGTCGGGAACGCCGGCACCAAGCCGATTGCCTGTCCTTTGAATATCCAGCCAGGGTTCTCCCCTGATCGCTGTCTGGTAGGCATCCGCAACACCTTTTCGATAGACGGATGGCAGAAAGCTCGTGGCCGGTTTTTGCGCCTCTGAATCCAGCGCATGCGGAAAAAACCGCCGGAAAGTGGTCTGATTGCCGGCAAAGGTGATTTTGGGAACGTCTCCAGGCTCGGCTGACGGCAACGTCAGGAGCAGCCAGGGACTCAGCTTGGTCATTCGGCTGTCCCGGATCATGACGCCGCTGTTGTCTTTCCATGTGTTGAGCAGGAACTGCGCCCGCTCGCCGGCCAATCCGCTTTCCACATTCGAAAGGGGAAGTGGCTCAACAAAGGTATTGTTGCTCATCGATCTGTCCAAACGGCCCCGGGTTGGGCTGGAAACCACGCTGGATCGCTTCTGCAAAGATATCACCTCTTGCTTCCACGGCAAGTTCGGCACGTTCCGCATCCGTCAACAGACTGGTTTGGTCGTGGTTGAACATGTTGAAACAGTGAAAGTCCAGCAGGTACAGACAGTCATACCTGGCGGCTATTTCAAACAGTTCGAGGAACTCAAGTTGTTCCTTTGTAAAATCCTGCACACTCATGATTTTTTACCGTTTACTGTTTATTTTTTCAATTTGACGAGGGCCTCATAGACGAAGAAAACGCTCTCCAGAATTTCGAATTGGTTCATGCGCTGGGGCTCCGGTTTGCGATTGTTCTGTTCAACCACGCTCTCCAGGGCCTTCAGGTAGAGATCCATGTCCAGACCCCTGGAAACCTGCTCGGGTTCCTGAGGTGCTTCGCCGGGAAGGGGGGCTTTGAGTTCCCGGGACAACAACAGCATGTGTTCTGCGCTGAGTGCCTGTTTTCCCTTGCGGATTCGCGAAACTGATGCGGGTGTCAGACACAGAAGACTGGCAACCTCGGTATTTTTCATGCCACTGGCTTCGATGGCGTTGTCCGCCCAGGTTGTGACATCAATGCCATTTTCACCCGCAGGTGATTCCATGTTACGCGTCCCGTAAGAAACATTAATAAATTATGAACGATAATTACGCGATATGATATAAATTGCAACTTAAGAGTCTGTCACAAACTGTTGTTTCCCGTACAATCTGGGATATTGCTTAACGCGCAAATCAGGTGAGTTCGCACTCCGCAAAAAAGCAAGACAGCCCGGGACTGTCAGCATGTCGGTTGGCCGGTAACGGCACCCGATCTGCCAATTCCACTCCCGACCTGACCCTGTGTTGTTCTTTCGGGTTGCATGTCGGAGAAACGTCCGGTGAAATATCCTTGGAAGCAGTACGAATGAACTTCGTACCTGACCGGCTGCATTCCGCAAGCATGAGATGGCGTTTGGGAACATGTTCAGTGGCATCCACCTGCAAGGCTGATGCGTATTGTCTCTGGAACCGACACAAGCAGATTCGACCGAGAGATTTGATGATGAATGCCGATGACAACTGGAAGCGAAACTGGGTCAATCGGGGTGTCGCTGGATATCTGGCCGTTTTTATCGTCGGTCTGCTCGTCAACCCCAGCTTCGTTCGCGCGAATGAAATTCTGGAAAATGTCCGATGGCTTTTGTCCGATCCAGAGCGGTTGCCTCTTATCGTGGAAAAGCGACGCAACGAGATTGCTGCCTTCTACAATTCCGACCAGGGTGAAGTCCTCTGGTTGAACCAGCCTCGCAGTCTTGAGCTCACCAGTCACATGGAAAACGCCGATCGTGAGGGATTGCGGCCGGAAGACTATCCGGCCGAAGTGCTTGTGAAGGCGACGGCCTCGCTAAACAGTCTTTCCTCGGCTGCGGACGTTGCGTGGGTCGAACTGCTTCATACCGGGCACTTCCTGGACTACGTGCATGACCTGCGCGCAGGACGTGTCTCGCCGAGGGTTCTTTATCCGGATGCCTACATGCCCTTCAACTCGACCGATGCGGTTGATGCGCTGTCACGGCTGGTTGCCTCGGAAGACATGGACATATTTATCGCGGACTGGCAGCCGCAAGACGACACCTATCGACGCTTGAAAGCGCATTTGCAGCAACTTCATGAGGTCCGGAAATCCGGCGGCTTCACCTATCTGGAGCCCGGGGAGGCAGTCGAGGCAGGACAGAGCGCTCCAGAAGTACCTGCACTCCGCAAACGTCTGCTGGAAGACGGCCTGATCGCGGATGCGTCAGATGACGAGTTTTTCGACAAGCGTCTCGCTTTTGCAGTCGGACAGGCGCGGCAGCGCTACGGGCTGGACGTTTCCGGGCGGGTCACACCGGAGCTGATCCGGGCACTGAACATACCGGTCGGAAGGCGCATCGAGCAGCTTACCAATGCCATGGAGCGGATCCGGTGGCTTCCAAACGAATATGCCCGCCTGCAGCTTTATATCAACAAGGGCGAAAACACCTATGTGTTTCTGGACAACGGGCGGGTCGTCCAGGAAGGCCAGGCCTATCCAAACTGTCCTGACAGGAACCATACGACGATGGCGACCACCATCGAGGCAGTGACATTCCATCCAACCTGGCAGGTGCCATGGGAATTCTTCGGCAAGGAGCTTCTGCCGCGATTGCAGCAGGATCCGGAACAGGTCGAAGCCGCAGGCTATTATCTGAAGCGCAGCGGGGCCGACGTTCCACTTGATGCGCTTCCCTGGAAACAGGCAACCATTCGGGACCTGGAACGGGCAAGCAACCGGGAGCAGTATGCGTTGTACCTGCCTGCTTCCAGCGAGAACCCGCTTGGGAAATATGCCTACAGGTTGAGGCAGGAACACCGGTTGTCGCTCTTTGACCTGGACGCGGCGCCGGAAGACGGACTTTTCTGCAATCCCTACCTGCCGAAAACGGCATTCGGGATCGTTAACGGCCTCGACATCCTGGACAAGATCATCGAACCGCGCGTTTTGCCGGTCGATGGTATCGAAGACCGGATTTCACGGCGGGACACAGTGACTTTTCCGGCTCGTGGCGGATTGATGGCAGTTGTCTCACACCAGTCGGTCTGGGTGCAGCGCCAGGGGCTGATCCGCTTCGGGCATGATCCTTATCTGGAAGATGCGCGATTGACAGCAGCGCTTTCGGGCCGGCCGAAACCTTAGACATCGATCCGGCAAATCATCGGTATCGCGGCCTTGAGGCGGGACCTTGCACGGGCGGGCAGCAGCGGTTCAGAAAATTCAAAGCAGCATGATCATGGTGCCGGCAAGCGTCAGGAGCACGTTCGCCAGCGCATAGGTGCCGGCGTAACCGAGTGCAGGCACGGTGCTTTTGGCCGCCTGCTGGACAATGCCGAGGGCAGGGGTGCTGGTCATGGCTCCTGTAAGCGCTCCCAGTAGCAATGCCGGGTTCATGCCAAGGGCAAGCCGTCCGAATGCGTATCCACACAACAGAGGCAGGCACGTCACGACGACACCCGAAACAAACAGCACCGGTCCGACGGATCCGATCGCCTCTGCGATACCGCCTCCCGCATTCAGTCCGACGCCGACCATGAACAGAAGCAGACCAAGTTCCATCAGGATAAATCTGGCGGCCGCCGGCATGCGCCCGAAGGTCGGCCGATTTGCCCGCAAGAAACCGACACAAATCCCGGCAACCAGCAAACCGCCTGCGGTTCCTATTCCGACATTGATGTCGCCGACCTTGACGGTGATCTGACCGAGCATCAGGCCGAAGACAATCCCGGCAGCGAACGTCAACAGGTCCGTTTCAACGGCCTTGCGGTCTTCAGCGCCAAGTTCGGCAATCGCACGGTCGAGCGCACGTCTTTCTCCGGTCAGGATCATGACGTCACCGCGCTGGACAACCGTCCCGGGCGCAAGGGGCAGCTGAATCTGGGAGCGGGTGATCCGCGTCAGATAACAGCCGTGCCGTTCGTAGGTACCGATCTGTTCCAGCGATTTACCGACCGACATCGGGTTGGTCACCACGACTTCGGCAACATCAACGACCGCATCGATCAGATCCCTGTCCAGAACTTCCGCTCCGAGCCCATAAAGATCTCGCGCCTTGGCGTGCTCTTCCGGTGTCGCGAAGACCGCAACCTTGTCGCCGGTTTCAATCACCGTTTCAGGCTGGGGATCGATAAGGTCTGCCCCCCGTTTCAGCCGATAAAGAGACTTGTAGCTGATTTCCTTGGTGGTGCGGGCCGCCAGAGCTTCGGCAATGGTCATGCCGTTCAGCCCCGGGTCATCCAGTTCATAGGCTCGCAAGATCGGTCTTTCGATCTTTTCTTCCACGTTTTCCGCCTTGAACCCGCGCTCGTTGGCGAAGGTTTCCGCTGCTGCGGCAAGGTCTGTCCTGAGCAGGTTCGGCAGCAGCTTGACGACCAGCAGCAGACCGACCGTTCCGAAAATATATGTAATGGCATAGGCAACGCTGATGCTCTCGATCAGACTGTTTGCCGTTTCTCCTGTGGGAAGGGAGACAAGGCCCGATGAAACGGCATTCTGGGCGCCGACGAGCGTGGGGGTGCTGGTCAGGCTGCCTGCCATTAGGCCGGCGGCAAAGGAATTGGAGAGGCCGGTAAGCCACGCCAATCCAAGAACGAGCAGAAAGGAGCCGGCGGTCATGAACAGTGTCAGAACAAGATACTTCGGACCATCCTGACGCAAGACGTTCAGGATCTGCGGTCCGGCCTGCCAGCCGACGGAATAGATAAAGAGCGTGAAACCGATCGACTGGACGATAGGATCGATCGTGTAACCGTAGTGACCGAACAGCAATGCACACAGAAGCACGCCACCGGTGACACCGATTTCGAACCGGGCGATCCGAATGTTTCCGATCAGGTAACCGATGGCAATGATCGTGAAGATCACAAGCACGGAATCCTGATGGAAAATACTGGAAAAGTCGATCGTCATATCGCGGTCTTGTCAGCTGTCTTGAATAGGTGAACAGGCGGTATCAGTCCATTTTCGAAAGACCTGCAGCGGTATTTCGCCAGCCCGGGCGTTCCCATGCGAGACTGATGCGTCAAAATCATGACCTCACCGCGTCAAATCCATCCAAGTCTCCAATTGATGCAAAAAACAAAGGCCGGTCCCGATGTTTACGGGCCGGCCTTTCAGTTCAGATTGTTTTTTGGGGTTCAGTTCTGCTGCATTAGCGTCACCGATACCAGGTCCTTTCCGACAATCGTTTCTCCTTCAAATCCGCTGTCAGCGACTGCCGAGCGGTAGTCGTCGTCCGTCAGGGCCCCCTTCGGGAGCTTGTAGGGGCCCTGACGGGGGGCACCAACCGGCGGGATCAGGTGGGTTAGCATCAATTGCTTGACGCCAGCCCGTTTAGCCAGATGACCTAGATCCGTCGCGTTGCTTTGCCGGTAGTAAATCGGAGGCGGAAAGCCTGTACCGCCGTCCGGCCCCATGACCGGGTGAATTGTGGAATGAACGATGATGTCGGCGTCTTTTGCCAGTTTTTCCACCTGATCCGAAGTCGAGGTCTCGCGCGGAGGCTTGCGGACATCATTGCCTGCGTCGCCACCGATCACGACACTTCCGGCTGGCGTGTCGACCCTGTAGGACGCGTGACCGGCAATGTGTGTCGACCTGATCGCGCTCACCTTGACGTCACCCTTCGACCAGACTTCGCTTGCCTCGTCTTTGGGTGAAAAGTCCCTGACCTGAAGCAATTCGGCAGGTCCGCCAGGCAAACGTTTCTTGTTTTCAGCAAGGCGCTGGGCGATCTCGCCGGAGTTTATCAAGGGGTCGCCGATATGGGTGGCAAAACGTTGGCAACTCAGTGCGAAGCCGAGCGGAGACTTGGTCTCCTCGCTGCAGACAAGGTCAACTTTCGGGCCCTGAGAATTGAAGTGCCACCGCAATTGCATGATATCGGCGAGACCTTCGGAATGATCTGAATGCAAATGCGTGAGGAACACCGCATCGAGTTTGCCGACCGGCACGCCGGCTTCACTCAGGCGCTGCGTCGTGCCGCGTCCTGTATCGAACTGAAGCCGCACGTCATCACATTTGTTTTCAGCCGAACCGTATTGAACAAGCGTTCCCGCACCTGCCTGTCCCTTGAATACGGGAGGTCCACCCTGGGTGCCGGTCAGCGTGACTTTGAGGCAATTTTCTGCCAGTGCTCCGCTCGCGGCGATCACACCGGCGCCGAAAAGAGCCGCTTTCAGAAGCGTTCGCGACATTCTCTCCTCCAGTCGATTTAAATGTTTTTCTTTTAATAATATCGATTTTTAAAAATTGTACAATTCTTCATCGATTAAAAATCGGAAAAGTGATCACTCTGCGGCTGAAAGAAATGTCAATTGGCGACCGGCTCGCTTTCGGAACGCCTGAGATCCAGCTTTTTCGCTGCAGCATCCAGACCGCGGATTTCCGAAGACGCCGTGATTTCTTTTGCGGTGGCAAAGCGCTCATGGTTTTGCGCCACCTTCGGAAGGTCATAAAGATAGTTGACCATTGCACCGGCCGACTGGGCCTGTCCCTTTGGAGACAGGTCGGCCTCTGCATGAACGGCATGGATCATTGCACCGTTGCCGAGATGAAACCGGGCAACCGGATCCAGCGGAAGTCCGTCAGGCCGCTTTGCCGACATCAGGTAATGGGCGGCAAGTGTCCTGATCTGTTTTGCATCTGCATCCTCGAAAAGGATGTCCTCCGACTTCAGCCAGTTTGTCAGCTCCGGAATGGGGGACAGGGTCACGAAGGTCTTCAGGGCAGGCAATTCGGTTGCCAGATCCGCCGCCACCTGCTTGATCAGCGAATTGCCGAAGGAAATTCCCGCCAGACCCGGCTGACAGTTTGATATTGAATAAAATGCCGCCGTTCGGGCCTCGTCTGCAGCAAGCGCTTCCCGGTCTTCCGCCAGAAGATCCTGAATGGACCCGGGGACGGCGCTCGTCAGGGCGACCTCGACGAAGATCAGGGGCTCGTCCGGCATTGTGGGGTGAAAAAACGCAAAGCACCTTCGGTCACCCGGTACAAGCCGGCGTCGCAGGTCTTCCCAGCTGGCAATTTCATGAACGGATTCATAGGCGATGATCTTTTCCAGGATATGCGCCGGGCTTTCCCAACTGATCGGGCGCAAAACGAGGAAGCCCCGGTTGAACCAGGAGAGAAACAGGTGGCGGAAGTCCTGATCAAGCGCCTGGAGCCGGGGATCGCCCCTGCCAAGCCTGAGCAGATCGGCTCGCATCTGTACAAGGGCTTCCGTCGCACCGGGAATCTGGTTCAAACGGCGGATCAGTTCCTGTCTGTCCGGCTCGACTGATGACATGAATGCGCGGTAGCTCTGCTTGCTCGGATCTGCTTCATAAGCTTCCAGCGCGCTGCGAACCTTGTCCGGATCGATATTCATATCGCTGGAAAGATGACGGAAAAAAGCGAGCTTTTCCTCGTCATTCATCTCCCGATACCGCTTCAGGATATGATTGGCGGCGGACAGTCCCGAAACCTCTCCTGTTGCCCCGACAAGGGCACTTATCAGCTCTTCCATCGAGCGGGCGTCCGGTTTGTCCAAGGCTGCCGTCAGGTATCTGCGTTCAAAGATCGTCGACAGCAAGTCACCGAGAATCGTCATACGCCTCTCCAAGAACCAATAACTGCCAGACTGCTGCCAGGCACCAGAATTGGACAGTCTCAACGCAATTCCGCAGCAATCGGTTTCACCGGATGATGATTTGCCGCCTGTCCAATAGACATAGAGCAGTGTCACCGGTCACCCAATTGGCTTTAAGACGTAAAATCAGACCGATGCACCGCCAGATCAGGATAGATCGATCCTGTTTCCGGACAGGCCGACCGAAAGCGTGAAGCTGCCTTCATTGATAAGCCAGCGCCTGATCGTGAAAGTTCGCACACCCCTTTTGTGCATCGGGTCTTCCTCGGCAAAACTCCTGGCTTCCTCAAGAGAGCCGGCGCGATAGACAATCATGCCTTCGCCGTTCAGGTCTTCCCCGGTGAAATCGGACACAGGGCCGGCAAATGCCAGCTTGCCTTCGTTTTCCAATCTTGCCTGGTAGGCAAGATGGTCCGGCAGTGTTCCGGGCAAATCGACGTCCGGCCCGGCCGGGGTTGTGTTCACGACATAAAGCTCAAGTGCCAGAGCTCCCCGCTCCCTGGCAATGCGTTTGTAGTCAGACCATTTTGGCATGTGTCACCTCCAATTTTACCTAGAATAAAAAAATCGATATTATTTGACAATATTAAAAATAGTCGTCAAAGTAACAAAAAAATTGGAAACACCGAGGCTAGCATGCGATTCATAGTGGGAACAGGAGTGTCAGGTAAGGGTGTCTACCTCGTGGATGGCGAGTGGGCCTGGAACCTGACAGTGGTCGACAGTGCCGTCGGAACCGAATTGAGCGCGTTGATCCAGGGAGATGTCAACCTGGGGGATGTCATCGCGTCAAAGGACAAGACGGACGCTGAGCCGCTGTCATCGCTGACGCCCGGCCTTCCGGTGGATCGTCCGGGGAAGATCATTTGCCTCGGCTTGAACTACGTCGATCACATCAAGGAGGGGGGCTACGACATTCCTTCCTATCCGGCGTTGTTCATGCGCTGCACCACTTCCATGATCCCTGCGGGCGCACCGATGATCCGGCCCAGTTGTTCAGAGCAGCTGGATTACGAGGCGGAGTTGATGGTGATCATCGGCAAGGGTGGCAAGCACATACGCGAGCAGGACGCCCTCGAGCACGTATTCGGGTATACGATATTCAACGATGGTTCGGTTCGCGAATATCAGCGCAAGACGCATCAATGGACACCCGGAAAGAACTTTGATGGAACCGGCCCGGTCGGCCCTGTTGTCGTCACCCCGGATGAATTGCCCGATGGGGCTGATGGATTGAAGATCGAATCAAGGGTCGGGCAGGAAATCCTGCAGAGTGCGACCACATCCGACATGCTGTGGAGCGTCGCCAAGACCATCGCGACAATCTCCGAATTCACGACGCTCCAGCCGGGCGACATGCTGGCGATGGGAACACCGCCGGGCGTCGGGCACGCCAAGACACCTCAAAGATGGCTGCGGCCCGGTGAAACTGTTGAAGTGGAAATTGAAGGTATCGGCATCTGTGCCAATCCGGTCGTTGCCGAAGAGGACATCGTTGCAACGGAGGCAGCGGAATGACCATGGCCGTGTCCAAGGCTCCAACCGGTGAAACTCTGGAGAAACTGCGTGCCGAAGCACACGCCCAAATTCGGGGCTTGCGCGAACGGATAGGCAAGCTGGACAACAACGGTATCGATCTGATCCTGCGCGGTGCCAGATCCCATTACGCCTGGCAAGACAAGCCGGTGCCGCGTGAAATGCTGGAAACGATCTACGACATTACCGCTTCCGGCCCGACCAGCATGAACACCTGTCCGGCAAGGTTCTTCTTCATTGAGACACCAGAAGCCAAGAAACGCCTGACAAAGGCTCTCAAGGACAAGAACATCGACAAGATGATGTCGGCGCCGGTGACCGTGATCATCGCCCACGATGTCGAGTTCTGGAAGGAGTTGCCATACCTGTTTCCGCATGAGGACCGGCGACCTCACTTCGAAGGCAAGGCAGAACATTCCGAGGCGACCGCCTTTCGAAACGGGACCTTGCAGGGCGCATATTTCATGATTGCCGCGCGCGCACTCGGGCTCGATGTCGGAGCCATGTCAGGGTTTTCCAACAAGATTGTCGACGAGGAGTTCTTCTCCGACACGACCTTGAAGTCGAATTTCCTTTGCAACCTCGGTTATGCGGATGAAACGGCGCTGTTTCACAAACTGCCCCGTTTGCCGTTCGACAAAGCCTGCAAGTTTCTGTGAGGTCTGGACCGTGGCCCTGAGAGAAAAAACAATCGTCAAGCTCCGTTCACAGGGTAACGGTCTCAGTCATTCCAGAATGGACGTGACCATCCGGGATCTGACGTTTTCCATTGATGAACCGGAGGTGCGCGGTGGCACCAACATGGGTCCGGCACCCACCGAAGCAGCGCTTGCTGCGCTTGCGGGATGCACGAATGTCATCGGCAACAAATGTGCCGGCAAGCTGGGTGTCGATATCGGGCATCTATCGATTGAAATAACCTGCGAGTTCGATCGCCGGGGCGTTACGCTTGAAGAAGAAATAGACGTCCCTTTCGTCGCGCTGCGACAGGTGGTGACAAGTGATGGAACCGCAACGGAAGAGGATCTTTCGCGGGTTGCGTCAAACGTCGCCAAATACTGTCCCTTGTCCAAACTGTTTGAACAATCCGGGACCGCACTTGAAACGATCTGGCAAAAAGCCTGATCGGTCACTTTTCTTTGGGAGGAGAATGCCATGATTGGAAAACTGACAAGACGGAGTGCTCTTGCGCTGGCGCTCCTGAGCGCCACGTCACTGCCTGCGTTTGCAACCGAAACCATCAAGGCGGTGGTCATCGACGGCTATCCCGCACGGGCCTTGTGGGTTAAAGAGTTCACGAACTTCTTCATCCCCGAGGTCGACAAGCGCCTGGCGGAAACCGGCAACTATGAAATGGACTGGCAGGAAAGCTATGGCGGGTCCATCGTCAAGCCGAAGGGTGTTCTGGAAGGAATAAAGCTGGGTCTCGGTGACATCGGCATCGTTACGACCATATTCCATTCCTCGAAACTGCCGACCCAGGCGATTTCCGCAGTGACCCCTTTCATCGCGCCTGATTCCAGGGCGGTTGCCAAGGCAGTCGACGAAATTGCCAAAGAATATCCGACCATGCAGAAGGAATTCGAAAGTCAGAACCAGGTTTATCTGGCGACCGGCGTTGTGCTGGACACATATCAGGTGTTTTCGAAAGAACCGATCAGCAGCATTTCGGACCTGGAAGGCAAAAAGGTCGCGGGTGCAGGCATGAACCTGCGCTATCTTGAAGGCATTGACGGCGCTGCCGGAGTGCGTGGCGGTCTGACGGATTTCTACAACATGCTTCAGACAGGGCTTGTCGACAAAGCGATGCTGTGGCCGGAGGCGGCGAGTACATTCAAGATCGCAGAGGTCGCACCCTACATGTTGAAAGCCGACCTTGGAGCGGTCAACTCCAAGACGATCACGGTCAACAAGGACTATTGGGACAAGCTTCCCGATGAGGTCAAGGACGTGTTGCAGGAGGTTGCCGTCGAATATCGGGACCATGTTGCCGGTCTTGCCATGGATCGCGCGCAGGCCAGCCGCGACAAATACGTCGAAGCGGGTGGTACCATCGTTGAAATGGACGCAGCCGAACGTGAAGCATGGGCAGCAGCCATGCCGAACCTTGCGGTGGAATGGGCCGCTCAGCTGGACTCCAAGGGTGAACCGGGCAGCGATATGCTGAAAGCCTACATGACCAAACTACAGGATGCAGGTTATTCTCCGACCCGTGACTGGTCGGCTGAACTGTCCCAGTAGCCGGACCGTAAACAGCGGGAGCGCCAGTATGCTGCGTCCAATACTTACTGGCGTTCGCGCCTTGTCTCGACTGGCCAACGGGGTTGCGATCGGCGCCAACGCAGTTGGTACACTCATCGTGCTCGGTCTGGTACTGATCGTGAATTACGACGTCGTGGCGCGCGGCTTCTTCAATGCCCCCTTCAGAGGGGCCTATGAAGTCGTCCAGTTTTCCATGGTGCTGATCGTCTTCCTTCAGCTTCCCGACGTCGTGCGCATGAACAGGTTGACGCGTTCGGACGGTTTCCTGACCCTCCTGTCAACAACACGTCCCAGGCTGGCCGACACGATCAGGCGGACAATCAACCTCGTTTCGGCAGCTTTCATGGCGTTGGTGGCTTATGCCATTTGGCCGGAATTCGTCGAAATGTATGAAACCAAGGACTTCTTCGGGGTTCCGGGAATTTTTACCGCTCCCTGGTGGCCGATCAAACTCGCCATCTACCTCAGTGCGTTTTTGTGCACCATCCTGTTCTTCATCAAGGTCGTCAGGCCGGATCAGAAGATTGAGCCTGTCCGCCTCGACGAACATGCAGAGGAAAACTCGTGACACCCTTTGAAATCGGCATTCTATCGGTCGTTGCGATTGTCGTTCTGGTTTATCTCGGCGTCTACATCCCGATTGCGCTCGGTCTCGTTTCCTTCGTGTCCATTCTGCTGATGCGGGACAATTTCGATCTGGCCGTCAACCTTCTCAAGATCGCAATCGGCGACAGCGTCATGGAGTATACCTTTGCGACGGTGCCGCTCTTTACCTTCATGGGACTGATTGTCTCCAAGGCAGGGCTGGGATCGGACATATACACCGTGATGAACTCGGGGTTCAGGAAGGTCAAAGGCGGGATCGGCATGGCAACGGTCGGTGCCAACGCCGTGTTCGCCGCGGTGACGGGGTCTTCCATCGCATCTGCCTCGGTTTTCTCGAAGGTCTCCGTGCCGCAAATGCTGGCCTTCGACTACAACCCGCGATTTGCCGTCGGTGTTGTTGCCGGATCCTCTGTCCTGGGGATGATCATTCCGCCGTCAGCGATGCTGATCATCTATTCCTTTGTTGCGGAGCAGAGCGTCGGCGACATGTTTCTGGCCGGGGTGATACCCGGCATCCTTCTGGCAATTGCCTATGTGGTCGCCATCTTTTTGATGGGACGGCTGACGCCCTCTTATGTGGGTGGCCGTTCGGCGGATGAGATGGAATGGATGTCGCCGATGGAAATCGCCGACAAGACCCTTCCAACACTGGTGCTCATTGTCGCCGTGCTTGGCGGAATTTATACCGGCTGGCTAACACCGGTCGAGGCTGGAGCCACAGGTTCCCTGCTGGGTCTGATCATTGCCGTATTCAGAAAGAAACTCACCCTGAAAACGCTCTGGCATGCTCTTCTTGAAACCGGCCACATCACAGCATCGATCCTTTTCCTGATCACTGCAGCGTCGATCTACAGCCGGATGCTGGGACTTGCAGGACTGCCCAATGAACTGGGTGACTTGCTCACCGACACCAGGCTGACCTTCTTCTGGATCATGTTCATCTATGTGCTGTTGATGATCTTCCTCGGCACGATACTGGATACCGCCTCCATCATCCTGATTGTCGTGCCGTTGTTCCTGCCGCTGGTCGAGCCCATGGGACTGTCGCTCGTCTGGTTTGGCATCGTCACGGTTGTCGGAGCCGAGATAGGGCTTCTGACACCTCCGCTCGGCATTTCCTGTTTCGTCATCAAAGCGACTTTGAACGATCCGCGCATATCGCTGAAGGATGTATTCATCGGTGCGTTTCCATTCGCGCTGGTGATGCTGGTCGTTCTGATCGCTCTCATCCGCTGGCCGTCGCTCAGCCTGGCCATCCTGAACTAAAAGGTGTTCCATGCGTCATGTCACCAAAGACAACATAACCGATGTCTTCATGGGTTACTTCGGTCCGGACACGGACCCGCGACTGAAGGAAATTCTGAAGGGCCTCGTCACGCACCTGCATGATTTTGCAAGAGAAACGAACCTGACGCACGAAGAGTGGCGCAAAGGCATCGAGTTCCTGGAATGGGCAGGCAACATATCGGACAAGGAACGGCACGAGTTTGTGCTCCTTTCCGACGTTCTGGGCCTTTCATCCCTTGTCGATATGCTTCATTCCAGTCCGCAGGGCACATCTTCCAGTGTCCTGGGGCCGTTTCACATCACCGGGTCGCCACCGCTGGCTTTCGGGGGTGACTTGCGCAAGGACTTCAAGGAGCAGGTCCTTTTGGCGACAGGCACGATCAGGGACGAAAACGGCACCCCTGTCGAAGGAGCTGAGCTCGATATCTGGCAGACTGCACCCAACGGCCTTTATTCCAGTCAGGATCCGGAACAGGACACTTATTCGTTCCATGGCATTCAAACGACAGGAGCAGATGGCCGCTACGGTTTCACAACAGTCAAACCGGTCAGTTACACGGTTCCAGGTGACGGTCCGGTTGGAGATATTCTCAGGGCCAGCGGAAGGCATCCGTGGCGTCCATCGCACCTGCACTACATCGTGAAGGCTTCGGGCTTCAAATCACTGGTGACCGAAATCTTCCCGGACGACGATCCCTATCTCGACGAGGATACGGTGTTCGGCGTTCGAGAGGATCTGGTGATGACATATGTGGAAGAGCCAGCCGGTTCGTTTCCAGCAGAAGGATATGAACTCTCCGGAAAAGTGGAGGGGCCGTATCTTTTGGCGGATTTCGATCTAGTGCTTGTGCGGGAAGACAGCTGACATGGAACTGCTTGCGAACAGATCAGACAAGCTGGAGGATTCCGGCCTGTCCGGGCTGCGTACGGCTGCCGTTCGCCGAAATGTGTCTGAAGGTCTGTAACGCGCACTATGCCGTTGGGCCAATGACCGTTTTGCGGTGCTCAGAGCAAATGGGCCGTCTTCCATCTGTACAGGGTTTTCTCGTATTCGGTAGTGGACTGAGAAAGCCATCGCATGAAATGCACCAAGGCCGGTCGACACGTCCCGGGGAGCGTGGCCAGATAGTAGCCGATTTCAGGAATGGGATCGTCGAACAATGCCACGAGTTTCCCAGACTTCAGTTCATCTGAAATGAATGCGGGTACCGTCGCACCAATACCGTCACCCCTACGAATGCCATCCAGCAGCATATTACCCGGTAATCGGATGACCTTTCGTTTTGCACTCGGCGAGATGCCCACTTTCTCCAGCCACAAGTCAAACTCGACCGAGGCATGCTCCTGCAGCAATGGAAAGTCCAAAAGGTCAGAGGGGTCGGAGAACGTTCGATCACCAATCAACTCCCTTGAAGCGACAACCGTCAAACAGCCTGGTAGCAAAAGCTGCGATTGAAGCCCGGGCCAATGCCCGGTTCCATAGCGGATCGCCAGATCAACACCTCCGGGCTTCAGGTCAACCGCCTCGATCGTCGACTCGATCCTTAGCTCGATATTTGGGTTATTGTCCATGTAACCAGACAGGCGGGGCATCAGGAATGCACTGGCAAACATCGGCGTGGCGGACACCAGAATGGGTCTCATCGTTTCCGCATTTGACAGAGTTTCGGTCAAGGCGGCCATTGCGGCAAAGGCCTCAAGCACCCCTTTGGAAAGGTGTTCGCCCTGCGAGGTCAATGAGATTCCGTGTTGGGTGCGCGTGACAAGCCGGGTTCCGAGTCGCCGCTCAAGGCCGCGAATTTGTTGGCTGATTGCGGAATGCGTGACATTCAAAGCTGCTGCAGCCTTTGTCAGGTTTCGATACTCTGCGGCGGCGGCAAAAGCCCTGAGCGACGTCAGCGAGGGGAGTGTATGCCAATCCATACGTTAGATGATCTAACAACAAAGAAAAATTTACAACTAAGAAAAATCTCCGTTCCGTTGCATGCTGGGCGGTATAGCCGTTACCTGCTGATGGAGGAAAGATTGACGAAACTTGCTGTGCTGGGTCTCGGCTCAATGGGGTCTGCGCTGGCCCGATGTCTGCTGGAGGCAGGTTACGACGTCCACGTCTGGAACCGTACGCCCGGCAAGTCGGAGGCGCTGGCCAATGCAGGTGCAAAGGTCTGCACCTCGGCGGACGAAGCTGTCGGCGCTAGCAACTTTGCAATTGTCTGCATAAAGAGTCACAAGGAAACAGTGGCGTTGGTGGAAGAGTTAAGCACTTCCCTTGGGGGCAAGACCATCTGCGACATGAGCACCGGCGAAACATCCGATGCAGATGCGCTGGTTTCGATTCTTGGCGAGAGGGGCGCCGAATACATGTTGGGCATGATCAATGCCTATCCGTCCGGAGTTGGCAAAGAGGACACAACAATTCTGACGGTCGGGAACGCCAGTACATGGGAACGATACGGTGACATCATTCGAGTTTTAGGTGGAAAATCGGCCAATGTCGGCGAGCGACCATCTGCTCTTGCCGCGCTGTTTGCCGGGTTGTTCACCGTGCGCCAAGGGTTCATGTTCGGAATGATCTTTGGCGCGCTTGTCTGCCAAAAGGCAGGTATTTCCCTGCAAGTCTTTTCGGACCAGCTTCCCGCAACACTCAAATTGGTCAATGACTATCACAATCTCTTTGCCAGGACTGTTCCCGCCGAAGACTATGACAATGCAGAAGCATCAATGAAGGTCTATGCTATGGCACAAGAAGATGCCTTGAAAACCTTTGAGTCTCTGGATGCCCCGGCAGAATTCATGCAGCTTATGCACAAGCGGACTAAGGCTGCTTGGGACGAAGGTTTCGGCGACAAGCAATTGACCGCGCTGGTTCAACACATGGCGGATCAGTGATCGCGGCAACCAGACCATCAACCCAGAAAGACCATTCCGTCGCGGCTACGTAGCAGCCATCGGTCTTGTTTCGTGGACGTGGGAGAAGGGCTCGAAGCCGACCTTCTCTGCGCTTTCAATCAAAGTCCGGATTGGCGCTGTCGCACTATATTGCTTCGAGACGCATGTGGTCCCTGCACTTCCTGTCTGACCTATTCGGCGGCTTCCGTGGAAAAGTGCTTTTCCAGGAACGCGCCTGTGTTGCGGTAATGGTCCAGCAGCATCCGGCAAGCGGCGTCCGCATCCCTGTCAACCGCGGCATTCATGATATCGGTATGTTCCTTGCCGATATCGCGTTTGGAATAGTCGATTGCCCGGCCGGCCAGATAGCGGTAGCGAATATTCAAATCATAGAGCTGATTGCAGAACTTCAGGAGTACCGGTGAATGGCAGGCACTCAGAAGGTTCATGTGAAAGGTCTTGTGGAGTTCCTCGAAGCGTTCAACGTTTGTTCGCGGCTCGCGCATCATCCGGTGATGGGTGATGACAAGCTTGTCTTCCCAGGCGTGGTCAGCGTTTGAAAGGCTCTCTCGGAGCGCCATTTCTTCCAGGTGGCATCTCAGGTTCAGGATCTCGGCAAAATTGGACGGACTGATTTCAGCGGTCCGGAATCCCCGTTGATCAAGGCGTTCCACAAGCAGGTCGGAGACAAGCAACGTCAGGGCTTCACGGATCGGGGATCCTCCCATCTCGAGGATGGAACGCAGTTTTTCGATCTTCAGCTTTTCGCCTGGTGGCAAATCACCGATCAGGATCATTCGCCGGATAGCAAGATATGCGCGCTGTGTCGCGGACGGCTCTTGCGCCGGATCCGTATGCATTTTGATAGCCATGTCTAATAATATCGATTTTCTATTATCTTTTCCAGTTTTAACTAAGATGAAGCGCTCATTGTCCGAGTCAAATTGAACATTGAATAGTCAACAGATAATTTCGTGCCGTGACGATGCCTGCAAAATGTGCGTGAGTGCACCCGACCCAGGCGAAACTTGCGACATTGGAGACTGGATTTGCGGAAAGCGTGAATTCAATTGACCAATTCAGTTTAAATTAATAAAAAACAATTTTCCAATCCGGAGGCGAGATGTCCATAACCCCGCTTGTTCAATTCGGCACAAGCCGCTTCCTTCAGGCGCATGCCGATCTCTTCGTGTCGGAGGCGCTTCAACGGGGCAACGCACTGGGACCCATAACCGTTGTCCAGAGCAGTGGTGACAGGAGCCGTTCCGGACGTCTTGCCGCGCTTGCGGCCAAGGACGGTTTCGAGATCAGGATCAAAGGCGTGGATCAGGGACGACTTGTCGACCGCGAGATCCGCGTATCCAGCGTAAGCAGGGCGCTGTCCTTGCCGCATGATCTGGAGATCGTGAGCGAGATCGTGTCCGGTGAGGCTCGCATAATCCTGTCGAACACGGCGGACGCCGGTTTCAGGCCCTCCGAAGCCGACAGTCAAAGGCAATATTCACAGGACATGTCCTATCCGGCAAAGCTGACCTGGCTGCTTTTCAGACGGTTCAGCAATCACGGCGAGCCGATCCAGATCATGCCGACCGAACTTGTCCCTCAAAACGGCGCGGTGCTGCGCGAGCTCGTCATTGGTATTGCAGAATGCTACCCGGCAGAATTCCGGCGTTGGCTGGAAACTGATGTCATCTGGGTCAACTCACTTGTCGACCGGATCGTTTCCGAACCCCTTGAGCCCGCGGGAGCTGTTGCCGAACCTTATGCGCTGTGGGCGATCGAGGATCAGCCCGGACTGGTGTTGCCATGCACACACCCAAGCGTTCGTGTAGTTGCCGATCTGGAGCAGGTTGAAACGCTCAAGCTGTTCATTCTCAACCTTGGACATACCTATCTCGTGTCCCGTTGGATGAACAATGAAGTACCGGAACACGAATTCGTTCGCGACATGCTTGATGATCAGGCCGTCGCTGCAGATCTGGAAGACGTATATGCCCGCGAAGTCATTCCCGGGTTTCAATTACATGGGAGGGAAGCGGAGGCTGAAGCCTATGTGAAAACCACCCTCGACCGGTTCAGGAACCCGTTTCTGGACCACAGGCTGTCCGATATTGCACAAAACCATTGCGACAAGGTCAATCGCAGGATCGCATCCTTCCTTTCCTGGTCACGACAAGAAAATCCGGACTTCTCGGCACCACGCCTTGAAGCGATCGTCGAAAAGACGGCTTCGTAGCGTCTCTGTCGCGCAATGAACATGGCACCAGGTTCCTGTGACTGCCGCAAGGCCGTCACCCAAGCTTGTGGTTCTTCAGGGATGCCAGCAGTGTTTCCTTGGAACGACGAAGGTGATTGAGGGCGGCTTCCTCCGACCTGGCCCTGTCTTGCGCAAGCATGGCGTCGATCCAATCGAGATGCTCTTCGATTGCTGCCGCGTTGCGTTCCTGTTCGTCGCGTTTGTCCCACATGTAGTGATAGTGAAAGATGAGCGAGATCAGCTTCTGCGCTTCGAGTACAAATCTGTTTTTTACGACACTGTTTATGGTCGTATGGAATTTTTCATCCAGTGTCGAAAAGTCGTGGTAGCGATCCTTCAGATCCCGCCGAAGGTCTTCATGTTCTTTCCTTATTTCCGTCAATTTGCCCCAGATCTGATGGTCCTCCGGCAGCGACAAGAGGTGCCGGACGGCGTTCATTTCCAGCACAAGACGGAAATCGGACAATTCGACAGCAAACTCGGCCGTAAAACCTGAAAGGATCCAACCGCCTTTTGCCCGTCGTTCCACCAGACCGAAGCGGCTCAATCCGGACAGGAACGCCTGCAGGCTGTGGGCCGGAACACCGAATTTCCGCGACAATTGCGCAATATTGAGGGATGTTCCGGCAGGAACATCAAAACGCAAGATCCACTCCAGGAACCGCCTTTCCAGCTCTTCTCCGGTCGGCAGACTTTCAGATTGTGACAGGCGGTGCCGTTTGTCCGGCCGCTTCACAAGCGTTTTCCGTCTGCCTTCCCAGAGAATTAGATTTTCGGCATCCAGCTTGTGCAGTGCGGAGCGTACAATTGTGCGGCTCACTTCCATTCGCTCGGCCAACACGACTTCCGCCGGCAATTGTCCGCCAACTTCCATGTTGGTGCAAATGTCCAGCAACTTATTGTAAGCGCTTCGGAATCGGTCGTCAGTTCGAGCCATGCCCGTGAAATTAGCATATTCGGTTCGGATAACAATTCCCACTTTTTGTACAATTTAATAAAAAACAATTGACGAAGGAGATGAGTGCTGCCAATTTGTATTTAATAATTAAAATCATTTTCGCCCGGGAGGATGCATGGCGAATCTTGAAAGGGAGGCATTACCGTTGCCGACGGGTTTCAGGCTTTCAACCGGCTCGTTCCACAAGCTGTCGGCCTTGCTCACGCTTGTGGCGCTTGCGATCGCATTCTCGTTCGGCAACGACGCTTTCCTGACGGTCAACAACGGCCTGACGGTCCTGCTTCAGACCTCGGTGATCGGTCTGCTGGGCATCGGCATGACCCTGGTCATCATAACCGGCGGTATCGACCTCAGTGTCGGATCGGTTCTGGCACTGTCCGGAGTTGTTACAGGGCTTGCGGTGAAGGCGGGTGTCCCGACCGCCCCGGCGATGGCGCTTGGAATTGTTGCCGGTGCTGCATGCGGCCTCGTCAATGGTTTTGTCGTCACCAAAATGCGGATCACCCCTTTTGTCGCGACGCTGGGCATGATGCTGATTGCCCGTGGTGTCGCGCTCCAGCTTACCGGTGCGGCTCCGATTTCCAGGCTGGGGGAGGCCTTCGGCATCCTGGGAAACGGGTCGCTGTTCAGGATCGTCGAAAAGACGGGGGGCATCTTTCCGAAAGTCGTTTTTCCCGGAATTCCCTATCCGGCAATCCTGCTGGCAGCCGTTGCGATCGCAGCTGCCTATCTTCTGAACCGGCGCCAGATCGGCAGACATATCTATGCGACCGGCTCGAACGAGGAGGCCGCGCGGCTTTCCGGCGTGCTCGTCGACCGCACCAAGATCTTTGCCTACACGCTTTCCGGTGCCCTTGCCGGTCTGGCGGGCAACGTCCTGATGTCCAGGCTTGTAACGGTGCAGCCCAACGAAGGGGTGATGTACGAGCTCGATGCGATCGCGGCCGCCGTGATTGGTGGCGCGTCGCTCATGGGCGGCGTCGGAAACATCTCCGGCACCATGATTGGTGCGTTCATCATCGGCGTTCTGCGCAACGGGCTGAACATGGCGGGCGTTTCAGCATTCATCCAGCAAATCGTGATCGGCGTGATCGTCATTGTGGCGGTCTACATCGATCAGATCCGCAACCGGCGCTGACAAGCCGGATAGCTATCACAGCAAGTCTTCAAACGGAGGAGAACATCATGAAGAAGCTGATTTCGACCATGGTAATGGCAAGTGCGCTCGCGCTCACAGCCGCCACAGCACATGCAGGTGAGATTGCAGTCATCGTGAAGACGACCAATTCCAACTTCTGGCAAAACGTGAACAAAGGCGCCAGCGCCGCGGTCGAAGGCCAGGAAGCGCATACCATGACCTTCAACGGGCCGGCTTCGGAATCTGCGATTGCAGATCAGGTGAACCTTGTTGAAAACGCCGTCAACCGCGGCGTCTCGGGCATTGTGCTTGCGCCTTCCGATCCCGAAGCACTGGTACCGGCGGTCAAGAAAGCATTTGAAGCTCAGATACCAGTTGTCATCATCGACTCCGGCCTTGCCGAAAACGGCAAGGAATTTTTCCAGGCGTTCCTGTCGACCGACAATTGTGCGGCCGGTCAGCTTGTCGCCGACAAGATGCTGTCTGAAGTCGGTACGTCCGGCAAGGTTGCCGTCATATCCTATGTTGCCGGTGTCGGATCGGAAGTCGGTCGTGTGGGATGTTTCGTCAAGCGCATAAACGAAAAGTCCGATATTGAAATCGTCGGTCCGTTCTACTCGCAGTCCCAAATGGCGACCGCGCTCAACCAGACAACGGATGTGCTTGCGGCCAATGATGATCTGGTGGGCATTTTCGGCGCCAACGAGCCGACAGCAATCGGTATGGGACGCGCAATCGTTCAAGCCGGCAAGGCCGGCAGCATCACGGCCCTCGGGTTCGACGGGAACGCCGACCTTCAGGATTTCGTGAGGGACGGAACACTTGCGGGGACTGCGGTTCAGGGCTCGTTCCAGATGGGTGAATTGGGCGTTCAGGCGATCATGAAACTTCTGAACGGCGAAAACGTCTCCGAATTCATCGATACGGGTGTCGTGTTGGCCACAAAGGAAAACATCGACCAGCCAGAGGTTCAGAACGTCCTTTACTGACAGGTCTTAACTTGCCGGGAGCTCATTTCTTCCTCGGGTTCCCGGCGTTTTTTCATAAAGGGGCGCTTCGCGATGGTACAGCAAGGCGAATCGGCACCACTGGCGCAGATGACCGGCATTGAAAAGCACTTTGGTGGTATTCGCGCCGTTGACCGGGTCTCGCTGGATCTTCATGCCGGTGAGGTGGTTGGTGTGCTCGGGCACAATGGTGCGGGCAAGTCGTGCCTGATGCGGATATTGTCGGGGGCGATGATTGCCAATGAAGGCACAATCAGGGTGAACGGGGAAATCGCGGATATCCAGAATCCGCATCAAGCCCGAGACCTTGGTATAGAGACTATATATCAGACACTTGCGCTTGCAGATCATCTCAATGCGCCTGCAAATCTCTTTCTGGGGCGCGAACTGAAGACGAAACTCGGTAACCTGGATGACCGGAAGATGATGGGCGAAGCGATAAGCGTCTTGCGCAAGCTCAACCCGAATTTCAAGAACCTTGACGATCCTGTCTCCAGGCTCTCGGGCGGGCAACGTCAGGTCATCGCGATTGCCCGGGCGATTTACTTCAATGTGAAAATACTGATTATGGACGAACCGACCGCAGCGCTGGGACCATCGGAAACGGCGATGGTCGCGGATCTGGTCAAGAAGCTGCGATCCACGGGAATAGGAATACTGCTTGTCAGTCATGACATGCACGATGTTTTCGAATTGTGTGATCGTGTGGTCGTGATGAACAAGGGCCGGAACGTTGGCTCGCACGGGATCGAAGATGTTACAAAGGATGATGTGCTCAGCCTTATCATCAAGGGCGAATTGCCGGGCGACTGGGTTCCGCGCGGCAGGGAAATGGTGCAATGACGCTTGAAACGGCAACAGTAGATGCAGGCACGGTCAAGATGGCCAGCGGTGTTGTCGTCGAGCCGGGTGTTTTTCAGCTTCAAACGCGCGATCTGCCAGTTGAAACGCCAGACGGCTGGGTTCTTGTCGACATATGCGCGGTTGGTATTTGCGGCACGGACTACCACATTTTCGAAGGCAAGCATCCCTATCTGGAATATCCCCGCGTCATCGGTCACGAGCTCAGTGGACGAATTGCGGAAGCGTCTGGAGAATGGAAGGCCGGGGAACTGGTCGTCATAAATCCGTACCTGTCGTGCGGGGAATGCCGTGCCTGCAAGAAGGGCAAGCCCAACTGCTGTGAGCGCATCGAAGTTCTGGGTGTTCACCGGGAAGGGGGCATGTGTGCAAGGATCGCGGTGCCATCCGGCAACCTTTATCGAGCAAACGGCCTGAGCGAACTGCAAGCCGCCATGGCGGAGTTTCTTGCGATCGGCGCGCATGCCGTCAGGAGAGCGGGGGCCCTGGAGGGCGAGCGAGTTCTGGTGACGGGTGCCGGCCCGATCGGAATCGGAACAGCCCTGTTTGCGCGAATCCGGGGCGCTGACGTTCACCTTCTCGATCTCAGCGAAGCACGGTTGCGGCAGGCTTCGTCCAAATTCGGTTTCGACAATCTTCATCTCGTCGGAGGCGATATTCTCGCAGGATCGCTGACGGACGGTTTCGACGTCGTCTTTGACGCAACCGGCAGTGCTCGCGCGATCGAAGCCGGTTTCCCGCTGCTTGCGCATGGCAGCCGGTACGTGCTGGTGAGTGTGGTCAAGGACCAGATCCGCTTTGATGACCCGGAGTTTCACAAGCGCGAAGCGCAGATCATTGGGAGCCGCAATGCTACGGCAGAAGACTTCGAGACCGTAATGCAGGCCATCCGCGAGGGGTTGATCGACACGGACGCCTTGTGTTCCCGGACCATACCGATCCATGAGATTGCCGACCAGTTTCAACTTCTTGCAAACGACCGCGACACCCTGATCAAAGCTGTTGTCACACTCTGAAGGCGTCTTTGCGGTCGTTTGATCAGACGCCTGGGACCGTATTCGCGCAATGTCTCTGCGTGTCTTTGCACCCGTTCGATCGGTGTCAGAATTACTGCGGACTTTTCAGACGGGGCTCTATCGCTGTATAGAAGGCGCCAGTCGGTCCCGAATGGACCGGGACGCCTCCATGTCGGGGCGTATGCCACAAAAAAAGAACAAGCCCGATGAACGATTTTCTGGTTGCCGCCCTTTATCTCTTCACGCCTCTCGATGACTTTGAGGAGATGCGCGATCCTCTCAAGGCCTTTTGCGTTGAACACGACGTGCGCGGCAGCCTGCTGCTTGCCGCCGAAGGCATCAACGGAACGATTTGCGGCCCGGAATCCGGAGTTCAGGCCGTGCTTGCGCACTTGCGCGCCGACCCGCGTCTGGAAGGGCTGAAACACAAGGAAGCCTGGACGCATCGCCACATTTTCAAAAGGATGAAGGTGCGTCTGAAGCAGGAGATCGTGCGTCTGGCAGTCGACGGTATCGATCCGAATGAAATCGTCGGTGAATATGTCAAACCGGAAGACTGGAACGACCTGATTTCGGAGCCTGATGTTGTCGTCATCGATACCCGGAATGACTATGAATTCGCATTTGGAACATTCGAGAATGCGCTCAATCCGGAAACACAGTCCTTTCGCGAGTTTCCCGACTGGGTGCACGAGCAGGAGAACCTGAAGAAAAAACCGAAAGTCGCCATGTTCTGTACCGGCGGCATCCGCTGTGAGAAGGCGACTGCCTGGATGCTGAAGAACGGTTTTGACGAGGTCTATCATCTGGAAGGTGGCATATTGAACTACCTGGAAAAGGTGCCGGAAGACCAGAGCCTGTGGAAGGGCGAATGTTTTGTGTTTGATGACCGGGTTTCCGTCGATCATCAACTGCAGCCGCGTTGGGGCGAATGGGTGCCGGAAGAGGCCCGCCACATCATCAACGAGGATACGGATTACGAGACGGGCACCAGGGAGCAGGCTGTCGCCGAAGAACTGAAAACGGCAACTTCTTAACGAAAATTAACATTTTCGCTTTAATGCCTTGGTAAATTTCCCTAAAGTCAGGTTGCAGGTCATTTTCCTGCACCAGACAAGGGTTCGGACCCTTTAGTGCGTCCCGACCCCGGGGGACAAGTTCATGCGTTACATTTCCTGGAGCGCGGTTTTCGCGCTGGCAATTACTCCATTTCTAATCACTTCGGCAATGGCAGGCGGCAAGGCAATCGCCTGCTATCAGCAGGCAACTGTGCCCGCAGTCTACAAGACCGTGCAGGAGCGTGTACTGGTCAGGGCCGCCAGCAACAGGGTCGTCAAGAAAGCCGCAGTATACGGCTATCAGAAACGACGGGTTCTGGTGCAGCCGGAGCGGGTGTCCTATCGCAAGACGCCTGCCGTCTACCAGACCCGCCAGCGCCATGTTCTGGTGAAACAGGCCAGCATCGGCTGGGAATACCGGATGATCAAGGGCCGCAAGACGCTGTGCAAGGTCAAGCACCCGCCGGTCTATCAGGCGGTCAGCGAACGGGTAAAGGTCCAGGCAGCGTCAAAAGTCGCCGTCCGGCATCCTGCGATCTACAGCATGGTGAAGGAGAAGGTGATGCTGCAACCGGCCTCCAGCCATGTGATCAGGCAACCGGCCGTCTACAAGACTGTCAACCGCCGGGTGCAGGTGCAGCCGGCACGCACAGTCTGGCAGCCAGTGAAAATCAAGGGCTGCCGGTATTAGGCTTGCATAGCCTCGGGCTGGACGAGCGGTTTGAAGTTTGCCGGCATCCGGTACATCGAGCAGCGACGGAGAGTTCACATGCACAAGGCGCTCGCAGCAGGCCTCTTTCTGGCTCTGTCGAATTCCGCCAATGCGGGCGAAGCGTTTTCGTGGACGGGCAGCTATGAAGGCTTTGTTGCCTGCGATCGTGTGATGAACGGTGCGCCGTCTACATTTGGCCGGGCGCTTGAGTTGCACTTTGTGCAGGACGGAAACGTCCTGCACATTGCAACAGAGATAGATGATCCCAGCCTTGGCAACAAAGCGTCTCTATATAACGGCTTGGTAATGGCAAGTCCTGCCGGTGACTTTACAAGTGGCTATCTGGAAGCCTGCCAATCCAGGTTTCCATACAAGGAGTTGATCCGTATTTTCCCGGCGAGCACGACGAGTGACAAATTCGGTTTTTCCGCCAGCACGGTGTTTGTCACTGACAGTCTTCCCGGTGCGGAAGGTGCCCTCCTGGTGGAAAATTGCAGGTGGTCGGCAACACGCGTCAGCCGCGAGGTACCCAAGATCAAAAAATGCGAAACGCCACCATCCGCGAATTAGCGAACCTGCGCTAATGTATGATCCAACGCTCGTAGTGGCGGCTAGGGTTGACCAGGAAACTGCTGTCTTTTTTGAAGCTAAGCAGCTTTCGTCTTAAACCGTTCCGCCTTCAGCCCCTTTTTTCCATGACCTTCCACCAGGAACAATCCGCCCGACAGCGTGTCCGGTTCGATGGCCGTCGGGTCGGTGGGCTGCTTGATTGTGGTGACGATCAACTGGTCGAGGTCAGGACCACAAAAGCAGGGCATTGTCGGCTTGGGGACCGGCATCCTGATGGCTTCCAGAAGATTTCCGTCGTGCGCAAAGCAGTTGAGCAGACCCGCAGAAACACCGGCGCTCCAGTAATTGCCGTCGGCATCCACGGTTGCTCCGTCCGGGCGTCCGGTTTCGTTGGTCTGCTGGGCAAAAAGCATTTTCGAACCGAGTGCGCCTGTCGCCGGATCGAAGGCGTAGCACTCGATCCAGCCCGGCGTTGAATCGGCGTGATACATGTAAGTGCCGTCTGCGCTCCAGGCGAGACCGTTTGAACATTGCAGTTCGTCGCGAATTTCCTCGACTTCACCACGGCCGTCGATCCTGTAAAGACCGGCGATCGGTTCGCGCGGGGAGGCGGTGTCCATGGTGCCGATCCAGAAGGCGCCGTCCGGACCGATCTTGCCGTCGTTGAGGCGCGTTCCAGGTTGGTTCGCCTGGACTTCGGCAAGGACCTCGCTTTTTTCCGTACTCGGATCGAACAGCAGGATCTTGTCCCAGACACCGACCACCAGACGGTCATCGTCGGTCAGGCCGAACGATCCGACCTCGTTGTCGAAGTACCATGTGGTGATGTTGCGGCTCTCCCAGTCCATCGACTGGATCGAGCGCCCCTGAATATCGACCCAAAGCAGCCGGTCGTGCCTGTCATCCCAGGTCGGGCATTCGCCAAGTTGATAAGTTGTGTCGAGAAAGCGGGTAATCGTGTGGGACACCGAGGAAGGTTCCTTGAAAAGCCAGGCAATTGACGGATGCGGACTATATAGCCGACTTCCTCCGCCGTCGAGACTGCAAAGATCCGTATCAACCTTCCTAACTTGAATGGCACGCTTCCGGTTTCAGGGTCAGAATTCAGCCTGAAGAGGGATTGCGGTTCGCTTCACGATCGGGCGGATGGCGAATGACGACTTCATTCTGAGAACGCCGGGCAACTGGGACAGGTGATCCCTGTGGATCCGTTCGAAATCAATCGGATCAGCTGCGCTGAGGCGCAGGATATAGTCGGCGTCGCCCGCCATCAGGAAACATTCCATGATTTCATCCGAGCGTGCGACGGCACGTTCGAAGCTCTCAAGGGTCTCCTTGGATTGTCCGGTCAGCGAGATCTCGACAAAGACATCCATCCTCCGCCCCAGCTTGCGCTGGTCGAGAAGAGCAACGTAGTTCTCGATGATGCCGACTTCCTCAAGTGCACGGACACGGCGAAGACAGGCTGAGGCTGACAGTCCGACAATTTCCGCCAGATCCGCATTCGCGATCCGGCCATCCTTTTGCAAGGCGTCGAGGATTTTCCTGTCCAGACGATCAAGTTTCATTATGTTGCACCGCACATATTGCAGGTTTATCGGAGCTTTGCGGCACTATATTCGAGAAAAATCCAGATTGACGCAACAATATTGTGTCAAATGCCTGTTCAGCCCCTCGGAACGCAAGCACATTCGACCGCGGAAAGCGTAGACTTGGAGGCAATCAAATCGCTTCCAGAGGAGACGTGGTTATGCGTATTGGTGTGCCCAAGGAAATCAAGAACCATGAATACCGTGTCGGCCTGACGCCGGACAGTGTTCACGAAATGGTCGCACACGGCCACGAAGTGGTCGTTGAAACAAATGCTGGCGCCGGCATCGGTGCAAACGACGCTGACTATGAAGCCGCCGGTGCGAAAATCCTTTCGACCGCGAAGGAGGTCTTCGACGCCGCACAGATGATCGTGAAGGTGAAGGAGCCGCAGGCTGTCGAGCGCGCCATGCTGCGTCCCGACCACATCCTCTTTACCTACCTGCATCTGGCGCCGGACGCCGATCAGACCGCAGACCTGGTGAAGTCCGGTGCCACCTGCATCGCGTACGAAACGGTTGTCGATTCCATGGGTGGCCTGCCGTTGCTGGTACCGATGTCACAGGTTGCCGGTCGTCTGTCCGTGATTGCCGGTGCCAAGGCGCTGGAGAAGGCCCATGGCGGCTCCGGTACCCTGGTCGGTGGCGTTCCGGGTGTTGAACCGGCAAAGGTTGTCGTGATCGGCGGTGGTGTTGTGGGCTCTCACGCAATCACCATGGCAATCGGTCTCGGTGCAGATGTTACCGTTCTCGATCGGAACACTGCGGTTCTCGGTCAGCTTGCGCAAACCTTTGGCCCTGCACTGAAAACGGTTTACTCGACCAGATCCGCGCTTGAAAAACATGTTCTTGAGGCGGACATGGTCGTTGGTGCCGTGCTGGTCGCCGGTGCTGCCGCACCGAAACTTGTGTCGAAGGATCTGGTCAGCCGCATGAAGCCGGGCTCGGTTCTGGTTGATGTTGCTATCGATCAGGGTGGATGCTTTGAAACCTCCAAGGCAACAACTCATTCCGATCCGACATACATTATCGACGAAGTTGTTCATTACTGCGTCGCCAACATGCCGGGCGCCGTGCCGAAAACCTCTACCTATGCTCTTAACAATGCGACGCTTCCGTTTGCACTGGCACTGGCCGACAAAGGAGCGAAACAGGCGCTTCTCGATGATCCGCACTTCCTGCCTGGCCTGAATGTGATCGGCGGGCAGGTGACCTGCGAAGCCGTCGCTGATGCGCTCGGCTACGACTATGTCGATCCGGCGACCGCTCTTGAACAGAATGGTCAAAGCCAGGCTGCCTGATCCGGCATATCAAAGCGTTCGAGATTTAACGGCCGGTTCCTGGTGACCGGCCGTTTTTTTGATCCGCATCATCATTCCCTGCCTCCGCGAGGATTGTGCGGAAGCACGAGGCCAACCGATCATTGAACACGCCGCCGGCAACACGGTGGCGGCCGATATAGACAAGCTCGTTCAACTGCTTAATATTGCCGGAGTTTTTAAGGGAGGTGTCTGGATGAATGGTGCAGAAGCGCTGGTCGAAACAATGTTGGCATCGGATGTTTCGGTTTGCTTTGCCAACCCAGGCACGTCTGAAATGCATTTCGTGGCCGCCCTCGATACCCATCCGGAAATGCGGTGCATTCTCTGCCTGTTTGAAGGAGGTGTGACCGGCGCCGCGGATGGCTATGCCCGAATGAGCGGGAACGTTGCCGGCACGCTCCTGCATCTGGGGCCGGGTTTCGGCAACGGCTGGGCCAATCTGCACAACGCGCGCAAAGGGCATTCCGGCATTGTCAATATTGTTGGAGATCACGCAGGCTATCATCTGAAACATGATGCCCCCTTGCAGGCAGATCTCGACGGTGTTGTCGCATCGGTTTCTCAATGGGTGCGGCGGGCAACAGACAGTTCCACGGTTGCGGGCGCGGGCGCGGACGCCATCCGGGTTGCACGCGGTGGCCAGATTGCGACCGTTATCCTACCGGCCGACTGCGCCTGGGGCGAAAGTGGAGCAGGTGCGCTGACAGCTCTGCCGCCCGTCGCGAAGCACCGTCCGGATGCGGATCGCGTTGCCGCATCGGCGGAGGCTCTTGCCCTGCCGGGAGCCGCGCTTCTGGTGAGCGGACCCGGGCTTTACGGGCAGGGGGCGAAGTTGGCCGGGCAAATTGCCGCGCGGACCGGTTGCCGCCTGCTGGCGCCATTCTTTGCACCGCGCATCGCCCTCGGCGAGAATGCCGTTGCCTTCGAAATGTTGCCTTACAGCCCCGATCACACAATCGAGTTTCTTTCCGACCTGTCCCGCATTGTTCTTGTTGGTGAAGATCCGCCGGTGAATTTCTTCGCCTATCCGGGCAAGCCCTCAACGCCCGATCCCGCCGGATGCGTCCTGGACAGATTGTGTTACTGCGATTGGGATACAATGTGGACGCTTCAGACCATGGCCGAGGCTGTAGGTGTCGACGGCAGTGAACATGTTTCCAGGATCAAGGGCAAAAAACCGGCCTTGGAGACAGGGTCTCTGACATCAGAAGGTATCGGGCGCTGCCTGGCCAGCGCCATCCCCGACGGCGCCGTGATGGTGAATGAGGCGGTTACCGCCGGGCCCGGAATCTGGCCTCATGTGAATTTCGCTGCAAGCCATGACCGGCTCAACAATACCGGTGGCTCCATTGGCCAATGTCTTCCCAATGCGCTTGGCGCGTCGGTGGCTTGCCCGGACCGGCCGGTTTTTGCGGTTTCTGGCGATGGGTCAGCAATGTATCAGCTTCAGTGTCTCTGGACCGCTGCCCGCGAAAAAATGAATATCACATTCGTGATCATTGCGAATCGAGGCTATCAGATCCTCCATGCCGAACTCCAGGCTCAGGGCGCTCCGAAACCGGGACGCAACGCACGCGCCATGTTCGACATAGAAGACCCGATGCTCGATTGGGTGGCGCTGGCGAAAGGCCACGGCGTACCGGCAGTGCGTGCCGACAGTGAAGAGAAATTTGCCGAAGCGTTGGAACAGGCAGCGCGAACCGATGGTCCATTTCTGATCGAGGCCACGATCTAGGCGGACCGAAGAAATATGGCACTTGCCGCTCACAGGACGGAGTGATCCGTCCATGCAAACGAGTCTTGATTGGCGTGCCGTGTTCATCATGTGCGCTAGATATGTGCTGTGCCGTGACACTGCCACCGATCCCGACACCAGGCGCAACAGACCTTTGCCGGCGGGCGTTGAATTGACCGCCGATCGAGCGACGGTGTTGGTTTCACCGCGGTCTGAAGGCAGCCTTCGAACCGGATCATGCGCCTGAGGTACGTCGACGCCGCGTTAGGAGTTTCTGACAACAATCACGGAGCGGTCATCTGCAAATTCCTTCGAAGTCGATCCCTTGATGCTGGGAAAGCTTTCCGTCTTGTGAAAATCGACCGTCTCGCATTTGTCGAAGGCTCTTTCCCAGGCGGAAACAGACACTTCTCCAGGGAGATCGAAATAACCGTCAGTGAAGAATTCGAGTGTTTCGACCTCTGCAATCGGTTTGCTGACATCGATGACATCATCCATCAGAATGGGATCGCAATTCAGTGACGAGTACCCGAGCGGATGGTTCGCTCTGTTGGCATAAAGGTATTGGCTCCTTATGCCCGTGCGCAGGATTGCTTCCGTATGCTGAGGGGGGACGATGTCAGCGTATTTGTCCGATACAAGGGTGCATATCCTGGCGGCGTCCTCTTCCTCAAGAATGCCTTCACTCACACCATTGTCCAAACCCTGAAACGAAATTTTTCGCGTTTGAGCCTCGACTTCATCAGATGAACCGCCATTGCCCTTCAACAGGTTGAACACCTCAATCCGTGCTGTCGTTGAGAGGTCGTCTACGGGTTTCAGCCATCTGTAAACCTGGTCGCCGTTTATTCGTATACCGCTGTCTCCGACAACAAGCAGCCGGATTGTTTCCGCGTCGAAAAATGCTGCCGCCATGGTAGTCGACGCGCGGAAAGTGTTGCCAAGCATTCTTTCCGTCCGGCAAATCCTTTCCCTGATTGCGGAGAAGATTTCCGAAGCCGGGACATCCGTCATGGTTCTTGTGGCGGCAAACTCACCTAGGACGGATGCCGCGGCTCGGGACGCCGCCTGACCGGGAGAAACTCCGAGGGAAGTCGCACCGCTTGAAGCCCCGTCGAACACTCCGCAGGTACCCGGCAAGATCAAAAGACTGTCGTCTCCCGCCTGTCGGCCGGTTCGGTCTCTCGAATAGGTGAGCGATGAAATCTGCATTGGTATGCCGGTGCTTGGCTGAAGTTGACTAGACAAATGACGATTCCCGATCGTCAGCGAGCAGGAAGACCGCATAGACACAAAGTCCCGAGCAAACGAGCAGGATCGTGGACAAAGCCGCAGCGAGGCCAAATTCGCCGTCGAGCACCGATATGTAGATCTTCACGGGCATGGTTACTGTTTTGGAGTTGTAGAGGATCAGGGTGGAGGAAAGCTCGTTGATCGCGGTTATGAAACTCATCAGGGAGCCGACAATCAGACCGGGGAGGATCAGCGGAACCGTTACCGACACGAAGGCCCGCAGCGGAGACGCTCCAAGATTGACCGCGGCTTCTTCCAATGACGGTTTGATCTGTCGAAGGTTGGTCGTGGTTGACCGGACGCCATACGGCAATCGTCGAATGAACAGGATCATGACGATGATCAAGCCGGTACCAGTGAGGTCATACCAGCCTGATCGAAACGTCGTGACAAAGCCGATTGCCATCACGACGCCGGGGACGAGGTAGGGAACCATCATGAGGACGTCGATGGTCCCGGAAACCGCGTTTTCCCGCCGAACGATCAGGTACGAGATCAATCCGGAGAAAACAGCAATCACGGCCACAGCGATCAGAGAAAACCGGAAACTGTTGAAGATCGCTTCCGGCGCATCCAGCAGCACCCGCCGATAGCTGGAAAGACCATATTCGCCAGTGAAGACCGGACCATTGGTTTCAAGGATCGACGTGTAGACGACCACGAGTGTCGGAAACATCGCGGTTATGACAACGGCATAACAGAAGGCGTGTGCACCCCAGTTGCGCCAGCCTTTCAGCTGCTGGATGACTGGCCGGTTGGTGAGGGCGGATGCATAGCGCCGCTTTGACAAGAACCGGCGCTGAATGAAAAGAGCCAGTATGGAGATCGCCATCATGACCAGTGAAACCGTGACGGCCATCGTGGGTTTGCCGCCGAGTTCGGACGTGTAGGCGGAATATGCGATCGTCGACAAAGTGCGGAAACCTCGGCCCAAAATTGCAGGCGTCCCGAAGTCGGCAATCGACAGTACGAAACAGATGATGGCACCGGTGCTTACCGCCGGAAATACCAGGGGCAGGGTTACGTGGAAGAACCGCTGCAAGGCGTTGCAGCCGAGGTTTTCAGCCGCATCTTCAAACGACTTGTTGACGGAACCGAGCGCGGTTTTCGTCATGAGAAACACGAACGGGAAGAATTTGAGCGTAAAGACCAGGATGATCCCGTGAGCGCCATAGATCGTCGGCAGGTTGAGACCAAGGCCCTTGAAGAAGTTGGTTATGAAGCCATTTGCGCCAAGCATCATGATCCAGGCATAGGCGCCGATGAAAGGTGGGGCGACCAGAACCAGAATTGCAAGCGTCGAGATCAGCGCCTTGCCGCGTATTCGAAACCTTGCGGTGAAAAACGCCAGCGGAACGCCGATCAGGCAAGCACCAAGTGTACCCAGAAGACCCACGGTGAGCGTATTTCGCAAACCCTTCACGTAGTAGTTCCGAGTGAACACCTCCACGTAGTTTGCAAGCGTAAACGCGCCGGTGTCCTCATCCAGAAAACTGACGAAAAACACGCTTGCTATCGGCAGTATCAGAAGGACAAAAAGCACAGCAATGACGAGCAGCGTCATTGCGGTCCAGAAATCGAAGCGTACAGGACCAAAAATGTAGACAGGTTTCAAGAGAGGGTTTGAGGTGGTCATTGTCATGACAACCTCCGGCCCGTTTCTCCATTTTCGAACAGGATTGCTTCATCACGGTTGAAGGCGAAGGTGACCGGATCGCCTTCGGCCAGACCAAGAAGATCTGATGTCGGCCGCAAAATAGCGCGAACGTCGTCTCCGAGATGGGTCTTGCCATGGACTTCAAGTTCTCGCCCTATGAAGCTGATTTGCCGAATGTTGCCGTCAAAGGTCAGCATGTCGTCACTGGCAGCGTGTGAACCCCGAGAGACATTCACCGCTTCAGGGCGAACCGAAACGGCGATCTTCGTGTCTGAAATGCCTCCTGCAATCGCACGCACCTTCAGGTCGGACGTGGTCAGGATCGCATCGCCTTGACTATCAATGTTGCCTGCAAGGAAATTGTTGGCACCGACAAAATTGGCGACGAAACGGTTTGCCGGATTGCGGTAGATTTCGAAAGGGGAGGCTGCCTGCTGAATGATCCCGCCGAACATGACGCAAACGACGTCTGACATGGCAAGAGCCTCTTCCTGGTCATGGGTCACGTAAATGGTTGTCATGCCCATGTCTTTCTGGATGCGGCGTAATTCTCCCCTGAGGTCCACGCGAAGCTTGGCATCCAGATTGGAGAGGGGTTCGTCCATCAGAAGGACGGTAGGGTCGACCGCGATTGCGCGGGCGAGCCCGACGCGCTGCTGCTGCCCGCCGCTCAACTCGTGAGGCATGCGGTGGGCGAGTTCCTCAAGTTGAACAATCCTGAGAGCTTCGGCCACCTTCGGCTTGATCAGGGCGGAAGAAATCTTCTTTCTCTTGAGACCGAAGGCCACGTTGTCGGTGACGCTCAGATGCGGAAAAACCGCGTAATCCTGAAAGACCATTCCAACGCCGCGCTTGTGTGCGGGCATGTTCTGAATTTCCCGGCCATTGACGAGGATTGTGCCGGAGTCCTGAAAGTGAAATCCCGCAATCGTGCGCAACAGCGTCGTTTTTCCGCAGCCACTTGGGCCGAGCAACGTAAAAAACGCTCCGGATTCGATCTGAATATCGATGTCTGACAGGGCCAGGACGGGCCCGTAAGATTTTCTGATATTGACGATATCAACGGATGCCATCGTCGTTGCCCCTCCCAAATTGTCCGTTGGTAGTGCGGCCGGGGAACCCGGCCGCATCGCTTGCTTACTGGTAGTCGAGAACAGCTTCGCCCCAGGCTTCCACGAGGCGTTTGCGCTCCTTGGCTGCCCACTGGAAATCATAGTCGACAGCCTTGATGTCACCCAGGGGGACAAGGCTTTCATTGGAGGGAACATCTGTGCGAACCGGGCGGCGTCCCTGAGCGGCGACTACTTTCTGCGCCTCGGCAGACAGGATGAAGTCGATGAACTTCTTGCCGGCGTCGGAATTCGGAGAGCCGGAAACCAGTGCAATTGCATCCGGAGAAATGGCTGTACCTTCGGCCGGATAGACGATTTCGACAGGTCCTCCACCCTCCTTGTACCGAAGAGCTGCATCCTCAAGTGTTACTCCGATCGGCAGTTCGCCATCATTCACAAAGCGGGGAACGGCGCCGGAACTGTCGGACAGGACAAAATTGGAAAGCATGCCGTTATAGACATCCCAGCCTGATTGTTCGTCACCAAATGCCTGCAGAACCGTTGCAAACTGGATATAGGCCGAGCCGGACTTGTCCGCACGGGCTGAAGATATCAGATCGTCATATTCAGGTTTGGCCAGATCCGACCAGCTTGCCGGCACAGGCTTGTCGCCAAGAGCGTCCTTGTTGACGGCAAATGCCATGACAACAGCCGTAAATGGCGACCAGAGTTCGCTTTTTATCAGAGAAGGATCAACTGAAGCCTGCTCTGGCGATACATATGCCGTGAACAAATCCGGATTGAAATCCACCACGGTGCCGTCGACGCTCCACAAAACATCGGCAATCGGGGAGGCGGATTCGGCTGTCAGCCGGTTCAGGAGTTCTCCGGAACCTGCCTTGATAACCTCGACCTTCGTACCGGAGGCTTCCTCAAACATCGGTACAAGTTCATCGACAAAATTCTGTGGCGCAGCGGTGTAGACGGTGACCGTACCGTCAGCAAAGGCCATCGTGGCCGACAGCGTCGCGGTCAGGGCAACACCAAGTTTCAGCAAAGTTTTCTTCGGGTTCATTCGTTCCTCCCTCACAAGGTCGTGCCCGGCGGATACGCTGAGCAAGCATTATATTGCGAAGCGCAAATTAAAAAATCAAGGTTTATTTGCGTGGTGCAATTTATTAGGCTGCACGGAGACCAGGAGCATAAATTGAATACACTGCAGAAACCGAGCGCGCGGCGCCTTATCCAGCTGCTTCGGTCTCAGGGGCCGGTTTCCAGGTTGAAGCTGGCGGATCTGCTGGATGTGCAGCCATCAACCGTAACCCGGATTGTCAATCAGCTTCTGGATGACGGGCTTGTTGTCGAGGAAGCGGACCCGAACCGCGCAGGTCGGCGCGGCTATCCGTCAAAATTGCTTCAGCTTCGTCCCATGGGACTGCTGTCTGCCGGTGTGTTTATCGACCCGGAGAGGTACTACACCTGTATTGTCAATGCCTTGGGGGAAGTCCTCTCGGAAGAGACGTCATCGATTACCGATCGCGGGTTTTCTCAACTCATGGAGCTGATCGGTGCATCTGTTGACCGGCAGACCAGGCAGCTTGGACTGCAGCCGGATCGTTTCATCGGGTGCGGCATCAGTTATCCCGGACAACATACCAGCAAGCCGGGCATCGTTCGGCAGACACAGTATTTTTCCGAATGGCCGGAGATCGATGCGAGCAAGGATTTTGCGCCCTATTTCGATATGCCGGTGCACCAGCTGAACGACGCAAAATGTGCCTGTCTTGCTGAGCTTCTGTTCGGAAGCTGTCGGTCCGTGCGTAACTTCAATTACGTCTGGTTGTCTCACGGTATCGGTGGTGCCGCGGTCATTGACCAATCGCTGTATCTGGGAAAAAGCGCGTCGGCTGCCGAATTCGGGGGGCTTTTTCCCAAGTCGCAACCGCGACCTTCAGGATCGGATCTTTTGGCGACCATAAAAGAGGCCGGGCTTGCTGCCGACAATCTGGAACACATCAGCAAGGCAGACCTGCAGCACGAAAGCATTTTGAACTGGGTTGACCGGGTTGAACAACAACTCAAATGGCTCAGCCTTGTCATAACCCGGACCATGTCGCCGGACGCAATCGTACTGGGTGGGCGATTGCCGGATGCAATTTTCTCAGAGCTGATCGAGAGGCTGTCTGCAAGCAAGTCTCTCGGGGAGGATCATTTCGGTCCGCACCCGACCTTCATACGCGCCGAAGCCGACAAAAAACCTCACTTGGGAGCAGCGGCACTACCGCTTTATCTGACGACAAGTCCGAATGCCGGATAAAGCTGACATGTGCGAAAACTCAAGGGCAGCGCATATTTAAGGGCAGCGCACCTTGTAGGGGGTGCCGTTCTGATCCTGCGCTATGCAGTTGCGCGGCGTTGTGACGATACCAACCAAGCCGCCACCGACAGCACCCAGTGCTGCACCGGCTAGCGTCGCGTTGACCGTCGACCCGGCAACGGCGCCGATCGTTGCACCGGTTGCTGCCCCGAGGCCGGCCCCGATGAGCATTCTGTCCCGCTGGCTTTCGGTATTGACGCAGCCGGCAAGAAGGAAGGCGAGGGCCGTTGCTGCTAGAATCGGTTTCATCACGGTCCCTTGGCAAAGGAATGAGCTTCGCCAAAGGTGAAGATTTATGGTTAACAGTTTCTTACCGCGCCAGGGTTATCCAGTTTCGATTTCCGGAATTTGCACCAGCGGCCGGAAACTCCATACCGGCAGGGGAGCCAATCAATTCGGCGTGGTCGCCGCGCCGATAACAGCTCCAGCGCCTGCGCCGATTGCAGCCCCTGCAAGAACAGGTGCCGCTCCGGCTCCAACGGCAGCGCCAACAACTGCGCCAGTTGCCAGCCCAAGGCCGCCGCCAATCAATGCGCGATCTGTCTGCCGGCTGGAGCTGCACCCGGCAAGCAATGTGGCGACTGCAGCCACCAATATGACTTTTTTCATCTAGGTCATAACCTCAAAAATGAGTGAAATTCGGTGACGGTTTCTGAAACTCTCGGCAAGGCAAGACGTGGGGGACGGAAATCATTTTGTCCTGCACGCCCGCGCTACCGGGCAGGTCCATTCCGGCATCCTCAGGAATTGGCTATTCCCGCCATTTGCCTGTGGCGAACGCGCTGAAAATGAATCATTTTCAACGCCTTCGCTTTGGACAAGCAGCCAAAACGCTCAAAACCCAATCAACTCATTATTGAATCCGTAACCTAAACGGCACGTTAAGATCGGAGCTTTTGGGGCTGTATTCGATCAGGGGCAAACAACCCGATAGGGGTTGCCGTACCGGTCATAGGCGACACAGTTCTTCGGCGTGGTGGCGGCACCAACGATTGCACCGCCTGCCGCACCAATTGCTGCGCCAGCGAGAGCAGGGCCCGCTCCGCCTCCGGCTGCTGCGCCGATTATTGCGCCGGTTGCAGCACCCAAGCCGCCGCCTACGAGCGCGCGATCAGTCTGACTGTCGGACTGACAGCCGGCTAGAAAGGCAGCTGCCACGGCAACAAACAGAAGTTTTTTCATATTTTTCATCCTACCGGTTGATCATTCCCGGATCGCGCTTCGAACAGTGTGTCGGGCCTTGTTACGGGCACGCCACACGGTACGGGTTGCCGTAACGGTCGTAAGCGACACAGTTTTTCGGTGTTGTGGCAGATCCAACAATCGCACCACCAGCTGCGCCGATAACACCACCGACGAGCGCTCCTCCGACATCACCGGTTGCTGCAGCGCCGATAGCGGCACCGGTTGCTGCACCCAGGCCACCGCCAACGAGGGCCCGGTCAGTCTGGCTGTCAGATTGGCATCCGGCCAACGCAACGCCGATCGCTGCGAGCAGAACAAACTTCTTCATGAAAGATAACTCCCTTCAGAACCACATTCAGCGGCACGTTCAATAGTTTTAAATCTCACCAAGGGTAAGCTGCTTTGCCCGACGGGGCAATCTATCAATTCCCACAACGTGCAAAAGAGCTCAGGGCGGTGAGACCCGAGTTGTTCAGTGATGTGAAACAGATAGCCCGCGTTAGGCAAAAATATGACGGTCGCTTCCGTTGCTTCGGTGCTCCCGTCCTATTTTGTCCATCGGGACAGGATCACCCTTTCAAAATGGCGAGCAATCCGCGGGTCGAGGCGTCTTTTTTGTCTGCAGAAGCCTGGCCCTTCACCATGGGCAGAAGCGCCGTCGCCAGTTCCTTGCCCAGTTCCACACCCCACTGATCGAATGAATTTATTCCCCAGATGACGCCTTCGACGAAGACACGATGCTCGTAGAGAGCTATCAGGCGGCCAAGCGCGAAGGGAGTAAGCCTGTCATAAACGAGAGTGAGTGACGGACGGTCACCGGGAAACACCTTGTGCGGGGAAAGTCGCTCGACGTCTTCCTTGGAATGACCCGATGCTGTTAGCAACGCCGTCGCCTCCTCAAGGGTCCGACCGAGCATCAGAGCCTCGGATTGCGCCAGGCAGTTGGCCATCAGCAGATCATGATGTTGCTGCAAGTCGCTCTCATGACCATGTGCTGCAATGAGGAATTCGCACGGAATAACCGTCGTTCCCTGGTGGAGGAGCTGGTAGAAGGCATGTTGCCCGTTCGTGCCGGGTTCTCCCCAGACGAGCGGGCCGGTCTCCCTGTCGACCGGGCTGCCGTCGAGCCTGACCCGTTTTCCATTCGATTCCATGTCGAGCTGTTGCAGATATGCCGGCAGCCGCGCGAGGCGCTGGTCGTAGGGAAGGACAGCGCGCGCCGAATATCCGACGACATCCCGGTGCCACACGCCGATCAACGCCATCAGCACCGGCAGGTTTTGATCAAGCGGCGCTTCCTGAAAATGCAGGTCGATTGCGTGTGCGCCCTCCAGGAAATCATTGAATGCATCCGGTCCGATCGCAATCATCAGGGGCAGGCCGATGGCGGACCAGATCGAATAGCGACCGCCGACCCAGTCCCAGAAACCGAAGACGCGGCTCCGGTCAATGCCGAAGGCCGCCACCTTGTCCAGCGCGGTTGAAACGGCTGCAAAGTGCTGGCCGACCGCTTCTTCGCCGAGGGTGTCCGCAATCCACCTTCGTGCTGTTGCGGCATTGGTCATGGTTTCGATGGTCGTAAAAGTTTTGGATGCGACGATGATCAGGGTCGTCGCAGGGTCGAGTTTTTCCAGCGTATCTGCAATATGTGCGCCGTCGACATTGGAAACATAGTGAAGCTCCGGCCCGTCATGGTAGGGAGCAAGCGCCAGTGTTGCCATGACGGGTCCGAGGTCGGACCCGCCGATACCTATGTTGACGACGTCGGTAAAGGGGGCGCCCGATGACGACACCAACTCTCCGGAACGAACCGCCTCGGAAAAATCTGCCATCGCGTCCAGCACCGCGCGAACATCGGGCATGACATCATGTCCATCGACAAGGACCGGACGATCGGACCGGTTGCGGAGCGCAGTGTGGAGCACTGCCCGCTCTTCGGTCGTGTTGATCTTCTCACCTGCAAACATGGCAGATCGCCGCTGTTCCAGGTCTGCAGCCCGTGCGAGCTCAAACAGGAGGTCCAGGGTCTTGAGGTCTATTTTGGTTTTGGAATAGTCGAGTAGCAGATCGCCCGTGCGGGCGGAAAACTTTTCGAAACGGTCAGGGTCATCCGCGAACAACTCGCGCAGGGTCGTGTTGCTCATCTTGTCGGCCTGTTTGCCGAGTGAAACAAACGCTGCTTCGAGAGCCATTGGAGTACCTCTTTTAAATCGATTTAACCGGTTGAATTTTCGTCATTGGGCAAGGTAGGCATCAATTAGCATAGCAACTTGACGGAGGGAAAAGATTTTCCTTCTTGTCGGCTGGTTGAGGTGGCAGACGGGGCATAACCGAAGTCTGCATGGCGCGTGTCTCATGCGGTGGTTGTATTGGGTCCGGAATTGATAAGATATTAGGAGTTTTGACGTAGCGTCTATCAAGTCGTGCCGAAGGGTACGTAGAAATTCCAATGAATTCACATTTCAGGCAATCAGACCCAATGTGCGCAGCGAAAACTTCTCATGATCTGGCTCATCTTCAGGGAAATCCGGATGTTCGAGAAAAAGTGCTCGTTGTCGATTTCGATACACTCGCAATCATTGATGCGGTGGTTACGAATGTAAGTGAATGGGGCTGTTGCCTGACGTCGGAACATGTCAGCGAGTTATACAAGAATGTCGGGATCCGCCTTGAAGGCTCGCGCAAGCTTTCCAAGGCACATGTGACATCGGTCAAGGGCAAAGACGCAGCCGTTGTTTTTACAACGCACGAAAGTTCAGTCACCGACAAGCGTCGCGAGAAACGAAACGACGTCAAGATTCCCGTGACGATTGCTGACCTGGAAGGTATCACCGAGATTACCGGTATCATTGTGGATGCAGCCAAGAACGGGTGCAAGGTCAAGGCCGAGGGGCTAACTGCGCTTCCCGAAGAAGTTCTCATTTCGATGAAAAAATTCGACAAGCCGGTTGTCGCGGAATTTGCCTGGCGCAACGACAAGTCTGCCGGTCTACGCCTCCTTTGGAACAGGACCCTGGAGGAGAGCGGGAGCGATGAGAGCGGTGAAGACCAAGACCTAATGGCTCAGGAAACCGAGGACGCCTGACAAGCAGATGCCTCGTGCAAATTTGCCAACTACCTTTCTTTAATCGTTGAGCCCGGCGGCCGCGCGCGCGCGTTCCTCGATGCCGGCCCAGTCCTCGGCAGCAATCGCCTTGGCATCGGCGATCCAGGAACCGCCCACGCACAGAACATTCGGAAGTGCAAGATAGTCCGGTGCCTTGTCGAGACTGACACCGCCTGTCGGGCAGAATTTAGCCGCTGCAAGGGGGGAGGACAGCGACTTCAGATAAGACGTGCCGCCCGCCTGCTCAGCCGGAAAGAATTTCAGGCGTTCATATCCGCGTTCCAGAAGAAACATCACCTCGGAGGCCGTAGCCGCACCCGGCAGGAGCGGCACACTGTGCTCGTCGGCTGCGTCCAGCAGGGACTTTGTCGCGCCCGGAGAAACAACAAAACGAGCCCCGGCCGAGACTGCTGCATCATATTGCTTGCCGTTCAAGACTGTTCCGGCGCCGACAATCGCTCCATCCACATGCTCGTTTACGGCGTCGATTGCTTCCAGAGCATGTGGTGTACGCAAAGTGATTTCGATAGCAGGCAGACCACCTCTGACGAGGGCTTCAGCCATCGGTACGGCCTTCCTGGGGTCCTCGACAACCAGTACCGGGATAACAGGTGCAGCGCACATCACTGCTTCGATCTTCTGAATGTCCTGAGCCATTGTTTTCTCCCGAATAGTATTGGCTTTACACACCAAACACGTGCGCGCCATCATCTGCTGCGCCAACATTTGCCCGAAATGCAGCAAAGAGGTCTCTCCCGACACCGAACTGATGCTCACTGAGGTCTGCGGTCGCAAGCGGTCTGGCGTTGAATTCGGCGTCGTCTACAAGAACCATGAGTTCACCGGTGACGGCATTGATGCGGATCATGTCACCATCTTTGATCTTCGCTATCGGACCGCCGTTCGCTGCCTCCGGCGTGACGTGGATTGCTGCCGGAACCTTGCCTGATGCGCCAGACATCCTGCCATCGGTAATAAGGGCCACCTTGTGGCCGCGGTCCTGGAGAATGCCGAGACAGGGCGTGAGTTTGTGAAGTTCAGGCATTCCCATGGCCTTTGGACCCTGGAAGCGAACCACCGCGGCAATATCGCCCTTCAGTTCCTTGTTGTTGAAGGCCGTCAGGAAATCGTCCTGCGAATGAAAGACACGAGCAGGGGCTTCAATGACGTGCCGCTCCTTGGCGACCGCGGAAATCTTGATGACCGCCTTGCCGAAATTGCCGGTCAACATTTTCAAGCCTCCGGTCGGCTGGAAGGCCTTTGACAGCGGAGCCAGAACGGTTTCGTCCCCTGACACAGCCGGTACCTGTTCACGCACGATGTTTCCATCCTGGTCGAGTTTGGCCTCAACCGTGTATCCTGAAAGATCCGTGCCGTGGACCGTTTTGACGTCCTTGTGCAGGTATCCATCCGACAGGAGTTCGCGGATCAGGAATGCAAGGCCACCGGCTGCCTGGAAGTGGTTTACGTCCGCCTTGCCGTTCGGATAGACCCGGGCGAGGAGCGGAACAACATCCGAAAGTTCGGAAATATCATCCCAAGTCAGCTTGATGCCCGCAGTTGCGGCGATCGCAACCAGATGCATCGTGTGGTTAGTCGAGCCGCCCGTCGCATGCAGGCCGACAACACCGTTGACAATGGCCTTTTCGTTGATGATTTCGCCCGCTGGAGTAAACTCGTTGCCGAGCGCAGAAATTGCCAGTGCGCGTCTTGTGGCCTCCCTGGTCAGCGCATCGCGGAGCGGGGTGCCCGGATTGACGAACGAGGCGCCCGGCATGTGCAGCCCCATGATTTCCATCAGCATCTGGTTGGAGTTTGCCGTGCCGTAGAAGGTACAGGTACCTGGCGAGTGATAGGCCTTGGACTCGCTTTCCAGCAGGGCGTCCCGGCCGACTTTTCCTTCCGCATAGAGTTGCCGCACCTTTGCCTTGTCGTCATTCGAAATACCGGTTGTCATCGGACCTGCCGGAACGAACACGGCCGGCAGGTGCCCGAAGGAAAGCGCGGCAATCGCGAGACCGGGAACGATCTTGTCGCAGATCCCGAGGAAAACGGCGGCATCGAACATCTGGTGCGACAGACCCACAGCGGCGGACATGGCGATCACATCGCGCGAAAACAGGGACAATTCCATGCCGTCCTGACCCTGTGTGACGCCGTCACACATGGCGGGGACACCGCCTGCAACCTGCGCCACGGCACCGACTTCGTGCGCGGCTTCGCGGATGAGCGCCGGATAGGTCTCGTATGGTTGGTGGGCCGACAGCATGTCATTGTAGGAAGTGATGATCCCCAGGTTGGGTACCACATCACCGGACAAGGCCTGCTTGTCGGATAGTCCACATGCGGCAAAACCGTGCGCAAGGTTGCCGCAGGAAAGCCGCGAACGTTGGGGGCCCTTGTCGGCAGCCTTGCCGATCCGGTCCAGATAAAGAGAACGGCTGTCGTGACTGCGTCTGACGATCCGTTCCGTGACATCGCCGATGCGATCCTGGATAGTCATGCTTCAAGTCCTTTCCTTGCCGGTAACGGCTGGGTCATGGCTTTCGGGCAAATTTCGCGCTTTCGCCCGATAACTCTATTCAATCGATTTAAATGGCAGAAATTTCACAGATCCCAAGCCTGTGAAATCTGCTTATTCGGCATCGTCTTCAGACCAGGTGCGTCCATCGCGTTCCACGAGCGCAATGGAGGCGGACGGGCCCCAGGTGCCTGCAGTATACCCCTTCGGCGTTTCCTTGGACGTTGCCCAGGCGGCCAGGATCGGATCGATCCAGGACCAGGCCGCATCGACTTCGTCCCGGCGCATGAACAGTGTCTGGTTGCCCCGGATCACGTCCATGATCAAACGCTCATAGGCGTCCGGATTGCGCACCTTGAAGGCATCGGCAAAACTCATGTCGAGCGGAACCTGTCTCAGCCGCATTCCGCCCGGGCCTGGGTCCTTGATCATGATCTGCATCTGGACACCTTCATCCGGCTGAAGGCGGATGATCAGGCGATTGGCCGTGATCTTTCCCGCTTCCGTGCCGAAGATGGAATGGGGAATGGGACGGAATTGCACGACGATTTCCGATACACGTTGCGCAAGCCGTTTGCCGGTCCGCAGATAAAACGGAACCCCGGACCACCGCCAATTTGCGATTTCAGCCTTCAATGCGACAAAGGTTTCCGTCCGGCTTTCGTCGTTGCCAAGCTCTTCAAGATATCCGGGAACCGCGCCGCCGGCAGACGCCCCGGCACGGTATTGACCCCGCACGGTCAACTTGTCGAGATTGTGGTTGCCGATTGGAGACAGGGCCTTCAGCACCTTCAGTTTTTCATCCCGGACGCTGTCCGCGTTCATCGACTCCGGTGGTTCCATGGCCACAAGACACAACAGCTGCAGGATATGGTTCTGGACCATGTCTCTCAAGGCGCCAGCCGTATTGTAGTAGCCGGCGCGCCCGCCGACACCGAGGGATTCCGCGACAGTGATCTGAACATGATCGATATGTGCAGCGTTCCAGAGCGGTTCGAACAGGGCATTGGCAAACCTGAGTGCCATCAGGTTCTGAACGGTTTCCTTGCCCAGATAGTGGTCGATACGGAAGATCTGTTCTTCCTTGAAGACGGCGCCGACCGTGTCATTGAGGGCCTTGGCCGAAGCACCGTCCTTGCCGATCGGCTTTTCCATGACGACACGGGCATGATCATTGACCGCTCCCACTCTGCCAAGGTTCTCGCAGATGGTTCCGAAAAGATCAGGGCCGACGGCCAGATAAAACCCCCGAATAACGTCTTCGCGTTCATCCAGCACTTTTTTCAGGTCTTCAAAACCCTGAGCAGTCGCGACATCGATCTTGACGTAACGCAGGCGTTTCAGAAACCGGGCAAGATGATCTTCCTCGAGATCCTTCACATGTTCCTGGAGTGCCGTCCTGGCCCAGTCACAATAGTCATCATCGGTATAGTCACGGCGCGCACTGCAGATGATGCGTGCGTTCTCAGGCATCTGTCCATCTGCGTCGCGGTGGTAAAGAGCCGGCAGAAGCTTGCGATGCGCAAGGTCACCGGACGCGCCGAACACGACAAGGTCGAATTCCTGAACTTCAATGACGCGTACCGCCATGAGACTATCCTTCCAACAGGCTAACTGTTTCCCGGACTGCCGACGGCCCGGCTGGTTTCGAGAGGCTTTTAAATCGATTTAATTCACTTGTCAGCCCCTCAAATGAGAGCTGCCCATTCTTTTTCCAGTTCAGCGATCACCGGAAGGTCGGCTCCGCGGCGCGAGCAGGTGATGGCGGCTGCCTGCATGGCGAATTCAAGAAGACGCCTGACACGCTGCTCTTCAAGCCCCGCCAGCGATTTCCTGTCGGTGACATTGAGTTTTTTCATGCCGGAAAGCAATGCGGCCTGAAACGTGTCGCCCGCACCCACCGTGTCCTCAACCTTTACCTTGATGCCTGGGCAAGTGGTTTCGAAACCTGCAGAATATGCGCTCGCACCTTCTCCGCCACGCGTGACAATGACGAGTGCCGTTCCGCTCGACAGCCAGCGGCGCGCAATGTCGGCGATCGGTTCATCCGGTGCGATCAGGGCGAGATCCTCATCGCTGACCTTGATGACATCGGCGAGTGGCGCCAGACCTTCCGTGTTCCGGCGCCAAAGGGCCATGTCGGGTTCCACTGTCGGACGAATATTGGGATCGAACGAAATCAGTGTGTTCCGACGCTCACGTTCGATCAGGGCTTTCAGCGCACCGGCGATGGGATCGACCAGTGCGGTATAAGAACCGATATGCAAAAAGAACGGAGGCTCCCTGAACACAGGAAGGTCTTCTGTCGTGACCATGCGGTCAGCGGCATTTGCACCATAGAACGTATAGGCCGGATGGCCGTTTGCATCCTTCTGGACCAGACTGAGCGTTGTCAGGTAATCCGTTCTCAGGATGTAATCGTCCAAAACACCTTCCTTACGGAATTTGTCGACAAGTTTTACACCAAGCGCGTCGTTGGATATTCCGCCAAAGAACCCGGCCGTCTCACCCAGACGGGCAAGGCCCATGGCCACGTTGAATGGCGACCCGCCAATTCTTGCGTCAAAAGTAACACCGTCTTCCGCACCTGCCTCGCCAAAGAGGTCAAAGAGCGCTTCACCGCAGATCACATACATCAGGATCCCAGACTGTTCATTGCTGATTGGAAAATGACCCGGCAGTGCCGGACCACCTTGGATTTGTTCTCAGACAATCATTCATGCCGCAAGATCTTCAGGTGGATCCATGGCGCCGGTCATGATCGCAACCGCGTCGGACATGGAAAAGTCAGATGGCCTGATGACGCAGGCACGACGACCGAGCCGATGGATGTGGATCCGGTCGGCAACTTCAAACACATGCGGCATGTTGTGACTGATGAGCACGATCGGCAAACCGCGTGCCCTCACATCCATGATAAGGTCAAGCACGCGTCGGCTTTCCTTGACACCGAGAGCTGCCGTCGGCTCATCCATGATGACCACCTTTGACCCGAAAGTTGCAGCTCTTGCCACGGCAACGCCCTGACGCTGCCCTCCCGACAGGGTTTCAACCGCCTGGTTGATGTTCTGGATGGTAAGAAGACCAAGCTCGCTGAGTTTCTGCCGGGCAATTTCTTCCATTTTCTTGCGGTCGAGTTGCCGTAACCACGCGCCCATGATGCCTGGCTTGCGCAGTTCCCGGCCCATGAACATGTTGTCGGCGATTGACAGGGCAGGGGACATGGCCAATGTCTGATACACGGTTTCGATGCCGGCATCCCGTGCCTGGATCGGTGAGGTAAAGTTGACCGTCTTGCCGTCGAGCAGAATGTCACCTTCGTCTGGTATGACAGCACCGCTCAAGGCCTTGATCAGGGTGGATTTACCTGCTCCGTTGTCGCCGATAACCGCCAGGATTTCGCCCGGATAGAGTTCGAGATCAGCATGATCCATGGCGACCACGCGGCCGTACCGCTTGACCAGGCTACGGGCTTGCAAAACGGGTTCCATCACACCGATACCTTTCTGATCCATTGGTCGACTGCGACGGCAGCGATGATGAGCAGTCCGATGAGCAGATACGTCCACTGGGCATCTGCTCCAAGCAAGCGAAGGCCGAGCGTGAAGACGCCGACAATCAGGGCTCCGAACAGGCTGCCGAGAATGGAACCGCGGCCACCAAACAGCGAGATTCCACCGATCACGACGGCGGTTATGGATTCAATATTGGCAAGTTGACCCGAGGTCGGCGAGACCGAACCGATGCGGCCGATCATGGCCCAGCCGGCAAATGCGCAGATGAGACCGGAGAGCATGTAGACGGAGATCAGGACCTTTTTCACCTGCACGCCGGAAAGCTGGGCGGCTTCCGGGTCATCACCAACAGCATATACGTGCCGCCCCCATGCAGTCTGTCGCAGGGCATATGCCAGCACCAATACGAGCAGCACCAGGAATATGACGCCGTAGGTAAAGATTGCGCCGCCGATGTTCACCTTGTTCCCGAACAGCTGCAACAAGGGAGCTGTCTTGGCAATATCCTGCGAGCGGATTGTTTCGTTGGCCGAATAGAGAAAATTGGTCGCAAGCACAATCTGCCACATGCCGAGCGTGACGATGAATGGCGGCAGTTTTACAACGGCGACGAGAAAGCCGTTGATGTAGCCGCATATCGTCCCGCAAAGAAGGCCGCAGGCAACCGCAACTTCGACCGGCAAGCCGTACCTGAAGGTGAACTGACCCATCACGACGGACGATAGGACCATGATCGCGCCGACGGAAAGATCGATGCCGGCCGTGAGGATCACGATGCTCTGGGCGGCAGCGACGATACCCACGATCTGGACCTGCTGAAGGATCAACGTGAGTGCAAAAGGAGAAAAGAACTTCGATCCGAGCAGAATGCCGAATGCGATGATGGATAGGACCAGAACAATCAGGGGAACCAATGACGGCGTCTGGTGCAAAGTGTGCTGGATCTTGTGCCCCAGTCCATGATGATGCTCATCAAAGGAGGCCACAGCTTGCGGACTGGAGTCTGCGGCTGCCTCGTAGTCCGCCGATTCGCCCGCTGTTTTCGTTTCTGAGGTCATGCCCGTTTCCCTCTATGCCGCTTAAAAAAAAGGGGCAAGGATTGCCACGCCCCTTTTTGCCGTTTTCTGTCAGGAATTAACCCCAGCAGAGATCCGTGCCCTTTGCGGTGTCAATGGAATCGACGCCGTCAACCGGTTGGTCGGTGACAAGTGCAACACCTGTGTCAAAGAAGTCCTTGCCGGCTGTCGGCTCAGGTTTTGCACCATTGTCCGCCCAGGTCTTGATGGCTTCAATACCGAGAGAGGCCATCAGAAGCGGATACTGCTGTGAAGTTGCGCCGATGACGCCGTCCTTGACGTTCTGTACGCCGGGGCAGCCACCATCCACGGAAACGATCAGCACGTCGTTTTCACGGCCGATTGACTTCAACGCTTCATAGGCTCCGGCCGCGGCCGGCTCGTTGATCGTGTAGACCACGTTGATCATCGGATCCTTGGCAAGCAGGTTTTCCATCGCACGACGGCCACCTTCCTCGTTGCCCTGCGTGACGTCGTTGCCGACGATGCGTGAATCTGTTTCATCGCCCCACTTGTTCGGGTCACCCAGATCGATACCGAAGCCCTGAAGGAAACCCTGATCACGCAGTACGCCGACGGTCGGCTGGCTGATCGCAAGATCAAGCATGCCGATTTTCGCGTCTGCTGCCTTGTCGCCGAGTGCACCGGCAGCCCACTTGCCGATCAGTTCACCTGCCAGGAAGTTGTCTGTCGCGAAAGTGGCGTCGGCCGCGTCGATCGGGCTAAGCGGTGTATCGAGAGCGATCACGAGAAGACCATTGTCCCGTGCCTGTTGCACGGCCGGCACGATTGACGAGGTATCGGATGCGGTCAGCAGGATACCTTTGGCTCCGTCGGCGATGCAGGTTTCGATCGCGGCAACCTGGGTTTCATGGTCACCGTCGACCTTTCCTGCAAAGGATTTCAGCTCAATGCCGAGTTCTTCAGCCTTGGCTGTCGCGCCTTCCTTCATCTTCACGAAGAACGGGTTGGTGTCGGTCTTGGTGATCAGGCAGGCGGTAATGTCTGCCGCGGCCGCAGGAGCAACTCCCATGGCGGCAAGAACCGAGCATGTCGCGAGTAATTTGCGGATCATTTGCGTTTTTCCTCCCTGGCCTTTGTCAATCGGAACGGTCAGGTGTGGCCAGATGTGACCCCAACCGTGCTGCCCTTGCCGGAAAGCTGGCTCGGTTTTCCGAGCTGCCAGCTCCGGCAGGTCCCTTGTCCTTCCCGCCCGTCAGGATTGTTGCCCTTGGCGAGAAGTTGAAAAACTGTGGCAGGCTCGCTGCGCCGACCGCACCTGCGTCATGAGCAAAGCTGCCGAAAACGATTTCAGGAGACTTGCGCTTCTCGGGAGCTGCCTGTTCCACGGCTTTTTGAAGTGCCTGTTGAAATGCTTCGGGGAAAGACCCTCTCAGATCGCCGTCCACAACCACGAGCGAAATGTCGAGAAGCGCATAGGCCGAGCGCAAAGCGAGCCCGACCGCTGAGGCGCAGTCTTCGAGCCATTCCTGATATCTTGTATCATTCGCTTCCACCGCTGCCTGCAGGTCAGATCTGCTGAGCTGCGCAAAATTATCCGGAGACAGGTGCCTTGCCAATGAAACCAGCGAAGCCCTTGTCAGCAGCAGATCCCAGGGTTGCTTTGGTTTCGGCGCGGTCGAAAGACTGCTCGGCGGCACCGGCATGAATGCAACATCGCCCGCGTTTCCCGACAACCCGCGAATGACATCGCCCTTCAGAACGAGGCCACCGCCGATGGCCGGCCCCAGGAACAGATATAGAAAGTCGTCGTTCTGCCGGCCGTGTCCGTAAAACAGTTCGGCAACCGCGGCTGCGGTCCCGTCGTTTTCGCCGAAGACCGGCAACCCCGTCGCCTCTTCCAGAGCGGCGGCAAGATCAAAGTCGTTCCATTTCTTGAAATCCGCCTCCGGCAACCCGAGTTCGTGAAGCCAGGCGTCGAGATTGAACGGTTGAGCCAGACCGATACCCGTTATGCGGTCCTGCAGTTCTTCGCCCAACAATGCGCGCAGACTTTCCAGGTCTTCCTTCAGGATTTCCAGCGCCTGTTCCGGTGCAGGCAGAATCATGTCGTGAATACGGCGGTCGATAATATGGCCCGAGAAGTCCATGAGGACGGTTTCGAGGTTCGTCCTGTCAAGGCGGACGCCGAATGAAAAGGCTCCGTCTGGTGCAAGTTTCAGTATCGTGGCCGGTTGACCTCTGCTGCCGTCGTGGCGCTTGCCCGCCTCGAAAATGAGATCTTCTTCGATCAGGTCCTGAATGATCGCACCGATTGCGGCGTTGGTCAGTTGAACCGCGCGGGCCAATTCCGCCTTGGATGCTTCGCCGGCGCGCCGCAGGATCTGCAGGACGATACGCTCGTTATAGCGCCGCAACTGTGCGGAATTCGAGCCTCGGCCAGATGTGCGGGTCTCCTCCACGTTCATTGCCCCTCCCAAGGCACAAGTCTCGCTGAACCGGCGGTACCATAATAATTAATTTTGATGAAATTATTCGCCCGCAAGACCGATCTGTCAATTCTTATTTGAGTTGCCCAGTACGTTTTTTGCCTCGGAGAACAGTAAGGCGCTGACAAACGTGCAGAAATCGGTGTCTCGACAATAACAGAAAAAGTTCCGCTTGGGCATATTGATCTCCGGCGAATTCCCGGATGGAAACATGCGTTTTTCATTGAGGCCCATTGCCGGAGGTCACAGGAGTCGTATTGTCGAGTTTCAAAAGGGAATCGGAGTGAACGTTGATGCCGTTCAAAAAAGACGAAGCTTTTCTTGCGCGGGCTATCGCCACCGGGGCGGGCGAAGCGCCGGCGGACCTGGTCATAAAAAATGTCACGCTTTTCAATGTGATGGACGGCAGTAGCCGCGAAACGGACATTGCCGTCACCGGGGACCGTATTGTCGGGACCTATGGCAGTTACGAAGGTGCTGTGACACTGCCTGGAGCGGGACTGACAGCCGTTCCCGGTTTTATCGACACGCACCTGCATGTTGAATCGTCACTGGTCACGCCCCTGGAATTCGACCGTTGTGTTTTGCCGCACGGTGTTACCACCGCCATTTGCGATCCCCACGAAATCGCCAATGTGCTTGGTGCGGAAGGGATCCGGTATTTCCTTGATGCTTCTCTTGAAACCGTCATGGATCTCAGGATCAATCTGTCTTCGTGCGTCCCGGCAACGGCCTTTGAAACGGCCGGAGCCTGCCTTGAAGTTGATGATCTCTTGCCATTCCGCGATCATCCGAATGTGATCGGCCTTGCAGAATTCATGAATTTTCCGGGCGTGCTGGCACGCGATCCAAAGGTTCTTGCGAAGCTTGCCGCATTCCAGGATGGACATATCGATGGCCATGCGCCGCTTTTGTCCGGCCTCGGACTGAACGGTTATCTCGCCGCGGGGATCCGGACGGACCATGAGGCGACCACTGCAGAAGAGGCGTTGGAAAAGCTTTCCAAAGGCATGACAATCCTGATGCGCGAGGGCTCGGTATCAAAGGACCTGGAAGCGCTTGCTCCGATCCTGACACCGGATGTTTCCGCGTTCATCGCTCTTTGTACGGACGACCGCAACCCGCTCGATATTGCAGAAGAAGGCCATCTCGACAGCATGATCCGGCGCCTGATTGCAAAGGGTATCCGTCCTCTTGATGCCTATCGGGCCGCCAGCTGGTCTGCGGCCAACGCATTCGGTCTGAAGGACCGCGGCGTAATCGCACCTGGAAAACGCGCCGATATCGTTCTGTTGAACGATTTCGAGAGATGCGGCATCGAACAGGTGCTTGCCGGTGGCGTACTTGCGAACGACACTGCCTTTTCCAGCCGGGGGGCTGTTGCACCGGTCGGGCTGAACAGCGTCAGACTTGAACCGGTCACACCCGGTACTTTCGACGTCCCGGCGCGCAACAGCGACACGTCCGTCATTGGTGTTCTGCCTGGAAAAATCATTACCGAACATCTGGTGAAGAGACTTCCCGTCTCCGGGGGCAAGACACTGGTCGACCTGGAACAGGATATTTTGAAAGTTGCTGTCGTCGAACGGCACAGGGGGCTTGGTCATGTCGGCCGCGGTTTTGTCCATGGTTTCGGCATGACAAGCGGCGCAATCGCAAGTTCTGTTGGACATGACAGCCACAATATCTGTGTCGTCGGAGCCGATGATGCAGCGATGGCTCATGCCGTGAATCGGGTTGTAGCAATGAATGGCGGGTTCGCAGTCGCGGACACGGAGGGCGTCAAGGCTGAACTCGCATTGCCTCTCGCCGGGCTGATGAGCCTGGAGCCGTTCGAGACTGTCAGATCCGACCTTGAATCCCTGCGTGCTGCTGCCAGGTTGCTCGGCTGTACGCTCGAGGAACCGTTCCTGCAGGTAGCGTTCCTGCCACTTCCGGTCATTCCGCATCTGAAGATAACCGATCTGGGCGTCTTCGACGTCGACAAGTTCGAGCTTGTCGATCAGGGTTCCTGATGTGGTCTTGAAATCAATCAGTAGTGGCGCATTCCGTTTCTGAACCTGTTCCAGCTTTGTGCTGTTCTCATGGCAAGAAACAGGATCACCGCTCCGGCGATCAATGACCAGACAAGCAGCTTTCCGTCGAAGGAAAAGTTCTCCAGCAGGTCTGTCGGGTAGGCAATTTTGGGGTTGACGGGAAGGTAAGTGATCGAGGTCTGATCTGAATGCAAACCGGCCGACCACTGCCCGGGAACCCAGAAAGTCAGGACTTGCGGTGCGTTTCCCGGCTGAGTTACTTCGACAACAAGCACATCGTGCGTAAACCTGTGAGTGCTGTTTTTCAATGTGTTGCGCGGAGACTTGTGAAGAGCTTCTTTCAGGGTCAGCTGTTCGTGGTTCATATCCTGAATGCTCAGGATCGTTCCGGGGGTCTTTTCGCCGAAGAATTCCAGCAGCCAGTATTTCAATCCGCTGTCATAATGGAAATAGACCGCTACAAGGCACACAAAGCCTGCAAAACACAGAATCGCCAGATTGTGTGTATGTCTGTCTTCAGTGGCTTCTCTGGGATTATACATCTATCCGTCACCCATCGGAGGATACTGCAGAACATGCGCGCAATGGTAGCTGAAATCCATTCACGGAGCCACCGGTTCAGATGATCCTTACCCTTGCCGTCTCCGGATACCGATCCTTGAGGGATCTTGTTCTGCCGTTGGATCGGATCACGCTGGTGACCGGTGCAAACGGCAGCGGCAAATCCAGTCTTTACCGCTCGATCCGGCTGCTTGCGGAAGTGGCGCAGGGGCAGGCAATTGCATCGCTGGCCGCCGAAGGTGGACTGCAGTCCACCTTGTGGGCCGGGCCGGAAGCCTTTTCAAGAAGGATGAAGAGTGGCGAGGTGCCTGTGCAGGGTACCGTACGCAAGAACGTGGTGAGCCTGAAGCTCGGGTTCGCGGATGAAGATTATGGCTATGCAATCGATCTTGGACTGCCGGCGGATGCAGGACGCTCGCTGTTTTCGATGGACCCGGAGATCAAGGCAGAAGCCCTGTGGGCAGGCGAGGCCCTGTCGCGCTCGAACGAGATCGCCGGCAGAAACGGGCCGACGGCGAAGGTCCTGAACAGCCAGGGGCAACGGATACCCGTCTACCAGAATCTTGCCCGCTTCGACAGCATGATGACCCATGCCGCAGATCCGAAGGACGGACTGGAACTTCTTGTAATGCGTGAGCGCATGCGCGCCTGGCGGTTCTATGATCATCTTCGGACAGACCGGGATGCACCCGCCCGTTTTCCCAGAATTGGAACAAGAACACCTGTTCTGAGCGCTGATGGCGGTGATCTTGCCGCTGCACTGCAGACCATTTTGGAAATCGGTGACGAAGTCGCGCTGGGCGAAGCAATCGACGATGCATTTCCAGGCGCCTCGATCAACGTGACCGTCAATGAGGGTTACTTCGAACTGTTCATGACGCAAAGGGGGTTGTTGCGGCCGCTTCGATCGAGCGAGCTTTCGGATGGCACGTTGCGGTATCTGTTGCTGACGGCAGCTCTTTTGTCACCGCGTCCGGCTCCCCTGATCGTCTTGAACGAACCCGAAACCAGCCTCCATCCTGACCTGCTGGAACCTCTGGCCCGGCTGATTGCGAGAGCTGCGGAAAAGACCCAGGTCATTGTGGTGTCCCACGCACATGATCTGGTTGGCACACTTGCAAAGCTCTCCGGCTGCGTGCGCTACGAGTTGCGCAAGGAACTGGGGGAAACGGTTGTCGACGCGGAAGAATTGCCTCGTTGGAACTGGCCGAAACGCTAATTCGGAGACCAGATTCGTGGCTCTTGATAAGTTTCTGATTTCTCGCCGGTATTGCTATCCGGTGCTGTGGACTTATCTTCATTTTATGGTTCGCGATTGCAAAAAAATGAAGAGATGTCGTTACGTCGCGAGTTGACGTGAACGGAAGGTTGCGTCATGTCAGAAGGGACCCGAAGAGGTGGCGCATTCAATCTACCTAGTGCCGGTGAGGAGGAAATCGTTTCGGGCGGACATATTGGGAGTTCGCACGAGACCGGATTTCATCTGCCAGAGATTGAAGCGAAAATAACGCGTTGGAGAACGTTATGACGACTGCGGAGGAATGGAACGCGGCATTTGACGCCCGTCCGGTACACGAATACCTGGAAAGCACCGTCGCACAGTTCGGCGACCGGCCGGCTGCCGATTTCATGGGCAAGGTCTGGACCTATTCCGAACTCGGTGACCTTGTGGACAGCACGGCCGCGGGCCTTCAGGCTATGGGTGTCGGACCGGGCGTGCATGTAGGGCTTTGCCTTCCAAATACGCCCTATTACACGATCTTCTACTTCGCGATCCTGAAGATCGGCGGCACGGTCGCCAACTTCAATCCGCTCTATGTCGAACGTGAAATTGCCTTTCAGGCGCGCGATGCCGATGTGCGCATCATGGTGACGATGGATCTGAAGGTGATCTACGACAAGGTCGAGGAAGTCCGGAAGGAAAAGATCCTCGACAAGATCATCGTGTGCCCGATGACGTTTTGTCTTCCCACGATCAAGAAGGTGCTTTTCAGCCTCTTCAAGCGCAAGGAACTGGCGGACATTCCACGCGATGAGGCGCATGTGTGGTTCGATGAGCTCCAGACCAGGGGGAACAGTCCGAAGCCGGTCGAGATCGATCCCCATGACGATATCGCCGTGCTTCAGTATACCGGTGGCACAACAGGTGTTCCCAAGGGTGCAATGCTGACGCATCAGAATCTGTCGGCCAATATCGAGCAAATGCGCTGCGTCTTCGAAAAAGCGCGTCTCGGTGAAGAAAAGATGCTGTGCGTGTTGCCGTTCTTTCACGTCTTCGCCATGACGGTTGCCCAGAACCTTTCAATTATTCTGGGTGCAGAAATGGTCCTGCAGCCGCGCTTTGAACTGAAAGCACTGCTTGAAGCCGTCAAGCGCAAGCAGGTGACACTGTTTCCGGGCGTACCAACGCTTTATACCGCGATCAACAATTCTCCGATGACTGCGAACTACGACCTGTCGAGCATTTCGCTGTGTCTTTCGGGTGGTGCGCCGCTGCCCGTGGAAGTGAAGGAAAGTTTTGAAAAACTGACGGGCTGCGTGTTGGTTGAAGGCTATGGCCTGACCGAGTCCTCACCGGTCGCGGCGGTCAACCCGCTCGACGAGAACCGGCGCGCGGGTTCCATCGGCCGTCTTGTGCCGGGCACCAGCGCCCGGTTTGTCAGCATCGAAGACCGGACGACCGAGGTCGCCGCAGGCGAGAAGGGCGAACTCCTGCTTCACGGACCGCAGATCATGAAGGGTTACTGGAAGCGGGAAGACGCTACGGCGGACACGATTACCGCCGAGGGCTACCTGCATACCGGCGATGTCGGCTATCAGGATGACGAGGGCTTCATTTATCTGGTCGACCGGATCAAGGACCTGATCCTGTGTTCGGGTTACAACGTCTATCCGCGTGTCATCGAGGAAGCGATCTACCAGAACGAAGCGGTGGACGAGACGATCGTCATCGCGATCCCGGACGAATATCGCGGTCAGTCTCCCAAGGCTTTCATCAAGCTTAAGGAGGGCCATTCCATGACAGGTGAAGACATGAAGACATTCCTGAAAGAACATCTGTCTTCCATTGAAATGCCACGTGAATTCGAGTTCCGGGATGAACTTCCCAAGACGATGGTCGGCAAACTTTCCAAGAAGGAACTGGTGGAGGAAGAGGCGCAGAAACGGGCGCAATCCGAAGCGCAAAGCGCCTGAACGTTCTCCAACTTGCGCAACACACGATGTCGCTCTTTTCGGATCCCGCGCCTCAGTGGGACTCCCCGCGACCTTCTGCGGCGCGCGCCAGTTCGCGGCCGCGCTTGATTTCGCGGCGAACAGTATAGATTGACGCGGCAATGATGATGGTGGCGCCGGCGAGGGTTTCGACGCTCGGCCAGTGGCCGAAGACAAGCGCGCCCAATATGGTCGCGTAGAGAAGCCTGGTGTAGTCCAGGGAGGCAATTGCGGTTGCTTCGCCTGCCTTGTAGCCCTTGATGTTTGCAAGCTGAGCTGCCCAGGAAACAATGCCGACCAGCAGGAGAAGCAGCCACTGGTGCAAGCTTGGTGCCTGCCAGGTCAGAACCGCCGGCACGAGCATGATCAGACCGACCCCGAACGCCTGGTAGGTGAGGATGGTCACCGGCGGATCTGTTCGCGTCAGGATACGGACAACGATCATGACCATGCCGGCACCGGCAGCGCCGGCAATCGCGAGCAGGGCATGGGGATCGACAATGCCGTCTGCACCCGGGCGCAGCATGAGTACCACACCGAGAAAACCGACGATGGTTGCGCCCCAGCGGTGGACACCAACGGTTTCGTTCAAGAACCAGATGGCAAAAATCGTGATGAAAAAGGTGCGGGAGAAACTGATCGCCGTTGCATCGGCCAGCGGCAGCTCGATGACGGCAGTGAAACCACACAACATGGCCGTTGCAGCGATGAGAACACGAGCGATTTGAAGCCCCGGCCGCTTCGTGACCAGCGAGGTCGGCAGGCCGCGTATGATCGTCGGGGCGACAATGGCAAGCATGGCGGCCTGTCGGACGAAGAGGATCTGAAAGACACTCAGATCCCGGCCAACGAACTTGATCATTGCCACCATGATGGAAAACCCGACTGCGGCCAGTAATACCCACAGCGCACCAATGGTGTTGGACGGAAGATCGACCGTCATGGCCACAATTTTCTTCTCGACGCGTTTCAGCAAATGAAGTCCTCTGGCGGCAGGCGCCCCGGTCCGCGCCTGTTTTTCAATCGGGTTTCAATGTTGTTTCCTGGAACGAACGGTTGCAGGGACAGATACACGATACGAGTGCGCACGCGTGCCCGTTCGGTCATTCAATAGGTGGTAATCGGCATAGGCTATGCCCATTTTGACCGGAAGGAAAGCTGTCACTGCAATGTTTGCCTTATCCGCCGAACCGGTTATATTTCACTTGGCAGCATGGCGGTTCCGAGGCACAAAACACAACAGATCCACTGGCTACAGTGGTCTTCGGGGCCAACTTGGATGCATATCTGTTGCATTCGATCTTCTGATTTCCAGGGAAACTCCTCCCAAAACACAGGTCCAGATTTATGAACAAGATGGTCACTCCGAAATTCGGTGTCGGCGCGCCTTTGCGCCGCAAGGAAGATCAACCGCTCATCACCGGTCAGGGAATTTACACCGGCGATTATAGGCCTGAAGGCTGTCTTCACGGCGTCATGGTGTATTCGGCAATGGCCCACGCCAAGATAAGTGTCGAAAACGCATCCGACGTCAGTGCGCTGGAAGGCGTTCATCTTGTGCTGACTGGCGGTGATGTCGAGGGCTTTACGCTGCCGACAATGGCCCGGTTGAAGCAGATCGACGGAACCGACCACTGGCTGCCGCCGCAGCCCTTGCTTTGCAAGGACGAAGTGCGGCATGTCGGCGATGCCATTGCCTTCATTGTCGCCGACGATAGCAACACGGCGAGAAATGCGGCCGAAATGCTTGAGGTGGACTACGAACCACTCGAAGCCGTGATCGGAATCGAAGAGGCCCTGGCGCCTGATGCGGTGAAAGTCTGGCCGGAGCATGGCAGCAACGTCGCGTTCACCTTCGGCCATGGAGGCGAAGCAAGGACCGATGCGGCTTTCGCGGCTGCTGACAAGACCGTCACCATCGAAATCGTCAACAACCGCATTGTCGCCAACTACATGGAATTGCGTGGTTGCGTCGCAGAATTCAGTCCGGATGCGGAGCGCTACAAGTTGACGCTGGGCACGCAGGGCGGGCACGGCATGCGCGATGTTATCTGCAAGGTGCTTGATCTGGAAAAGGACAAGATCCAGGTCATCACGCCTGAAGTCGGCGGCGGTTTCGGTACCAAGGCATTCTGCTACCGGGAATACCCTCTCTTGATGATTGCGGCAAGGCAGCTCGGAACGCCCGTCCGCTGGGCGGGCGAGCGAATGGAACATTTCATCACCGACGCACACGGCCGGGACAATCTGAGCCGCGCAGATCTTGCGTTGGACAAGGACAACAGGATCCTTGGACTAAGGGTGCATGTGAAGGCAGCCATGGGGGCGTATCTCAGCCAGTTCGCTCCGTTCATTCCCTGGGTTGGAACGGCCATGTCCTCGGGGCTTTACGACATCCCTGCGGTGTTTGCGAAGACCGAGGGCGTCTACATGCACACCGTACCGACCGACGCCTTTCGTGGGGCAGGGCGTCCTGAGGCTGCCTACCTGATCGAAAGGCTGATGGACAAGGCCGGTGAGGAGACGGGTCTTGGGCCGATCGAAATCCGGAAGCGGAATTTCATCAAACCGGAGCAGCTGCCCTATACCACGCAAACCGGGCGCCTCTACGATACCGGTGATTATTCGGGCCACCTCGACAAGGCTCTGGAAGTTGCCGGCTGGGCCGACTTCAAGTCCCGACAGGAAGAAAGCGCAAAAGCCGGCAAGTTCCGCGGGATCGGACTGTGCTCCTACATTGAAGCCTGTGCATTCCCTGGAGGCGAGGAAGCGACTGTTGAACTCAACCAGGAGGGCAATCTGACGCTTCTGATCGGGACGCAGACCAACGGCCAGGGCCATGCCACGGCTTATAGTCAGGTTGTCGCCGAGAAGTTCGGAGTGACGATCGACGAGGTCGAGGTCATCCAGGGTGACACGGATCGCGTTGAGAACGGCGGGGGTACCGGCGGTTCCCGGTCAATTCCCCTCGGCCTGCCGTCTGTTCGCGATGCCAGTGACAGCCTGGTGAAGAAGGTCAAGGAACTGGCGGCGGACAGGCTGGAAGCCGGTGTCGACGACCTGGAGCTCGAGAGCGGTATCGTGCGCGTTGTCGGAACGGACCAGCAGGTCGCGCTGTCCGAGATCGTTGTTGCCGCCGGCGAAAAACTGTCTGCGCGCGAAGAAGTCCGTCAGGACGAGGCAACCTATCCCAACGGCACGCATATTTGCGAAGTCGAGGTTGATCCGGGAACGGGCGACGTCGATCTGGTCAATTATGTCATCGTCGATGATTTCGGTGTCACCGTGAACCCGCTTCTGCTGGAAGGTCAGGTGATCGGCGGTGCGGCCAATGCCGTCAGCCAGGCACTGTGCGAGCAGACGATCTATGATGAAGACGGTCAGCTTCTGACGGCCTCGCTGCTGGACTACCGTCTGCTGAGGGCCGCAGATCTGCCCGACATTCACTTCGAGACCCGGAACGTTCCCTCAACGACCAACGCCATGGGCATCAAGGGAGCCGGAGAAGCCGGGACAATCGGCGGCTGTGCTGCGGTGATGAATGCTGTTCAGAAGGCGCTTGAAGACGGCGCAGGCGTGACCGAGTTGATCGACATGCCGGCGACGCCGCTCAGGGTCTGGGAGGCGATTGAAGCCGCGAAGTAGGAAATTCACACCAATGGAAAAGGCGTCCAACGGGACGCCTTTTTTGTGCGCAGCCTTGCTGCCTCGCAAATTCGTGTCTGTGGTTTGTTTGAGAATATCGTTTTAATTGGCATCTTCTTGCCCCAAATTGACGTATTACGCTAAAAGCGCGCGACTCATTCGTTCCAGGCAGCAGGTTTCAACTCTTGTTTCAGTCATTTTTTCCCAACCCGAAACTCTTTTTCCTGTCTGCGATTGCCTGGACCGCAGTGGCAGTCGCTGTCTGGTACGGATTTGCTTCAGACCTCGGCGGTTCGCTCGGCTTCGGCGCAACACCGGAAGGGCAGCAGCCAATTATTGGTCTCGGGCATTTTACCACGCCCGAGTTCTTATGGTTTTACGTGTATTATGGACTGTTTACGGCCGCATTCGGTGCTTTCTGGTGGTGGTATTCGAAGGCGCATACCTGGCAAGTCTGGTCCATTTGGGGATCTTCGCTGATCATATTCATGACCTATTACGACGTGCAGGTTGCCGTCGCGATCAACAACTGGCGTCGACCTTTTTTTGATACGGTACAAACAGCACTGGACGAAAGTGCTCGCGTTGTTTCAGCCGACGAGTTCTACGCGCTGCTGTTTATCTTCTTCCAGATCACGTCGGTCTGGGTCATCCTCTATATCTTGAAGCGGTTCTTTATCAGTCATTACATTTTTCGCTGGCGCACGGCGATGAACGACTACTATGTCGCCAAATGGAACAACGTCCGGCAAATCGAAGGTGCCTCCCAGCGTATCCAGGAAGATACAATGCGGTTTGCAGCAATCATGGAGGGTTTGGGCGTCGCCCTGATCGATTCCCTGATGACCCTGATCGCCTTCCTGCCGATCCTGCTCGCATTGTCGTCGCACGTGGTGGAACTCCCCTTTATTGGCGAGATACCGGCACCGTTGTTGAGTGCGGCCATTTTCTGGTCAATCACCGGAACCGTTGTTCTCGCCGCAGTCGGTGTAAAGCTACCGGGTCTTGAATTCCACAATCAGCGCGTCGAAGCTGCCTATCGTAAGGAACTTGTCTACGGCGAGGATCATGAACACAGGGCGGACCCGGTAAAGCTTACCGAGCTGTTCGGCTTCGTCCGGAAGAACTATTTCCGCCTGTATTTCAATTACATGTATTTCAACCTGTTCAGGGGTTTCTACCTTCAGGCAGACAACGTCTTTGCATATTTCCTTCTCATTCCGACATACGTCGCAAAGAAGGTGACATGGGGGATTGTCCAGCAAATTCTGACAGCTTTCAGCCAAGTGTCCAACTCATTCCAGTTCCTTGTCAATTCCTGGCCAACGATCGTTGAACTGTTGTCCATCTACAAGCGTCTTAAAGGCTTCGAACAGGCCATTGCGGAACGTGAAGCGATGATGATGCGAGGGGAATTGGCGGCAGAAACGGGAGCTGGCGAGTAAGAAATCCGGAGTGCAGGATTGCAATAACGCGTGCTTCGCGAGATATTGCGTTTCCCAATCGTGATTTCGACCAGCCCCAAGCTTTCCGCTCCCTGACGGATTTACCGTGTTCGATTGATGTATCCGGTTGCAGGCTGGGTGTTTTGTAGCTCTTCCCGATCCTTCGGTCCGGTGCGTCAGGAGAGTATTGCCTTTTTGCGCCGGCCCCGGATCCTTGTCATGGCGTTCAAAAGCCTGAGTTCCCGCAGTCCCGGCAAGCCTGCGCCCGTCGGTATGACACGACACGCGCCCCTTTTGGGCATCGCGCTGAAACTCAGCTCCACTTTTACTTTTTTTATCATGGCGACAGCCTTGAAGATCGCCGCGGAAGACGTGCCGATCGGCCAACTTGTTTTCGCACGGAATTTCTTCGGGCTCTTTCCGGTGCTGCTCATGGTCGGATTGCGGGGTGAACTCGGACTTGCGTTTCAAACCAAAAATCCGAAAGGCCATCTGACGCGGGCTGCCGTCGGCCTCACGGCCATGGTCTGTTCGTTCACCGCGCTTTACCTGCTGCCACTGCCGGATGCGACGGCGATCGGTTTTGCAACGCCACTCTTCGTCGTGGTGCTGGCATTCTTTCTGCTCGGAGAGCAGGTCAGGATCTACCGCTGGAGCGCGGTCGGCGTCGGATTTCTCGGCATATTGATCGTCCTGTCGCCGCATCTGGGTGAAGACGAACTGGACAGCGCGTCGACGTACGGGGCTCTGTTGGGCATCATGGCAGCCGGCTGTGCGGCGCTGGCGATGATTACGGTGCGTAAATTGTGCGAGACGGAGAGGACGTCTACCATCGTCACCTGGTTTGCAGCGTCTGCCACGGTCCTGTCCTTGGTGACACTACCACTCGGATTTCTGCTGCCCGGTCAGGCGTGGATCGTGCCCGACCTGAAAACAGCTGGTCTTCTGCTGCTGATCGGCCTCGCCGGAGGCGTCGGACAGATCCTGCTGACACAGAGCTACCGCTTTGCCGATGCCTCGACGATCGCGCCGTTTGATTACGTCAACATGCTCTGGGCGATCATTGTCGGCTGGGTGGTCTTCTCCGAAGTGCCGGTTCCGCAGGTGATCGCCGGCGCCCTGATCGTTATCGCGGCGGGCGTCTTCGTCATCTACCGAGAGCACAAACTCGGTCTCGACCGCACCAAATCGCGGCGGGCCTCGACGCCGTCACGATCCTGAGCCGAATTCGGCCCTTGTCTGCACCGAGTGGTTTGAAATCAAACGGCCCCGCGTGTTTTCCTTGGCGTCGAAAATCGCGTGGTGCTTTCCCGGACCTGATCCGGGATCATCAAATGCCGTTGTTTGGGCCCGGCTCAAGCGGGAACAGCGAGACTGCAAACAAGCGCGAGCCTCTGTATTTTATCTGAAGGTCAGGGCCTGATGATCATCAACCCTGGTGTTTCAAGGCATCATCCAACTTGACGGATCCGGGTCCCGGCCATGTCAAACCGGGAGAACAAGCGTCGGATTGAATGATCTGCTACGGCTTGTACTGGAAGGTCTCGACGGAGCTTTTCGATCCATCAGGATAGACCAGCTGGACACTGATTGACTGGGTCGATCCGGCAGGAAGCTCGATATAGGGCTTGTCCTTCAGGACGGCGTTGGGATTGTCGGGATCGCACTCGTCCAGCTCCCACATCTGGTCGAGCTGTCCATCGTTCAGTCCATAAAACACAAAGTCGATGCCGCATTTCCACGATTCCAGATGGGTGAAGTAAATCAGCTGCTGGCCCTCCCAGTCGCGGAATGCCACCCAGTTCGCCTTGGTCACATCAAGGATCTGCTTGATCTGTTCGGGCGGCATGCCCTGCGCGGTTGCCTGGCTGGAAACGGAAAGTGTCATGATACTCAAGCTTGCTGCAAGCGCTGATGAGGTCAGAAATCGCATTTGTCAGCTCCCGTGTGGAGAGGAATTGGGGTGCCTTAGAAAGCCTTGAAGGTAATAATGGTTTTTGTGTCCTGGATTCCGCCGATCGGATGAACCTTTTCATTGACGAAATGACCGATATCGGCGTCGTTGTCGACATAGAATTTTACCAGCAGGTCATAGTCGCCACTGGTCGAATAGACCTCGGAGGCAATTTCCGCGTCTGCGATGGCATTGGCAACCTGGTAGGTCTTGCCCAGTTGACATTTGATCATCACGAAAAACGGAACCATGCGTCACTCCGGCGATTTGCTCGTAAAAGGAATACCCAAGGACATCGCCCATCTTCCCGCCGCAGTCAATTGCCGAAACAAGTTAGGGACGGTTCGGGACTTGCATTCGGAAACCGGGCTTGATAGCAGTCAGACTATCTCATGGGGGTGCCCGACGAAGACCGATCGGGCTGAGAGGCAAAAGACCAACTCCTTGAACCTGATCCGGTTGGTACCGGCGGAGGGATTTGAGATGAAGATCTTCGAGGCGCAGGGCCTCAAACCTTCCTTTCATCCCTTCGAATTGAAACTTCCGAGTTCGGAGGAGTTGCATGAGCCTGTCCGTTGCCGCGTCCACGCAGTCGTTGTCCGCAGAGGTCGTTTTCGACCTTCTCCAAAGGGTCCGCCAAAAAACGCCGCGCGTTCACACCATCACCAATGCCGTCGCGCAAACATTTACCGCGAATGTGCTGCTGGCGATCGGTGCCGTTCCCTCAATGACAATCTCCAGCGAGGAGGTGGCCGGATTTGCGTCGAGTTCGGATGCGCTGCTTGTCAATCTCGGCACGTTGGATTCAGCCAGGCGAAAGGCCATTCCGATCGCGATCGAGGCGGCCCGGGCCGCCGGTCGTCCCGTCAGTGTCGATCCCGTCTTTGTCAACCGGTCTCCCGTCCGATGCGCCTATGCGCGAGAGCTCATGGCATTCAAACCCGAACTTGTGCGACTGAACGAACCCGAATTGGCCGCGCTGTGCCCGCAGCGGTCGGATGTCGAGGCGCTGATCGGATCCGGTACCGTTCTTGCCGTGACCGGCGCTGAAGACAAGATCGAAAGCCAGGGTGAGGACTTTCGCCTGCAAAACGGCCATCCGCTGCTGGCAAGAGTTACGGCAACGGGCTGTGCCGGTGGTGCGGTGCTGGCGGCCTTTGCGAGTTTGGAAAGTGACATTGCCCTGGCCGCCGCCGCCGGTCTTTCGGTCTTCAATATTGCCGGTGAAATGGCAGCGGAGCGGGCAGGTGGTCCGGGAAGTCTCGTGCCGGAGCTGCTGGACGCGCTCTATACGATGACATCCCGCGATGTCGAGATCAGGCTGAAGTCGGTCTGAGCCGTGTCTTTAATGGATGTTTCAATTCAGGAGGATCCCATGACTGCTATCGCGGTAACCATCGCAGGGTCGGATTCCGGTGGCGGCGCCGGAATTCAGGCAGATCTCAAGACATTCTCCGCCAACGGTGTATATGGTGCGAGCGTCTTGACCGCACTGACGGCACAGAACACACGTGGCGTCAGTGCGATACAGGACGTGCCGCCGGAGTTTGTTCGGGCGCAGATGGATGCGGTCTATTCCGACCTCAAGGTCAATGCGACGAAGATCGGCATGCTTTCCGGATCTGCGATCATTGAGGCTGTGGCTGCCGGGCTGAGAGCCCATGCAACAGGACCCGTCGTGCTGGACCCGGTGATGGTCGCGGCGTCAGGCGACCCTCTGCTTGCCGAAAGCGCCGTTGCGAGCCTTCTTTCCGTGCTGATTCCGCTCGCCGATGTCATTACGCCGAATCTGCACGAAGCGGCGCGCATGCTGGAAGCGCCCGTCGCCGGCAGCGAGACCGAGATGTTGTCGCAGGCCGAACAGCTTTTGCGGCTTGGTGCCAGATCGGTTCTCTTGAAAGGTGGACACGGGACCGGCGAGGACAGCACGGACCTTTTCCTGGATACCGGCGGAAATGCGATCTGGCTGCGCGAGAAAAGGATCGCAACGCAGAACACGCACGGGACCGGCTGTACATTGTCCTCGGCGATTGCCGCAGGGCTTGCAACAGGGAACAAGCTTGAAGACGCGATTTCCGGTGCCAAGCAATATGTCCAAGGCGCAATTGTCGCTGCTGACCGGCTTGATATCGGGGCCGGCCATGGTCCTGTTCACCATTTCCACCAAAACTGGAGCAAATGAGATGTCTGACAAGGGCGTGAAAAGCGACGAGATCGTGAGCCGGAGAACCTTGCTGGGAGCATCTGCGGTTGCCGGCGGGGCTTTGCTGACAGCTCCGGCTCTTGCGCAGGAAAAGACAACGATCGAATGGAAGATGGTGACGTCCTGGCCGAAGAACCTGCCTGGGCCCGGCGTAACCGCGCAGAGGATTGTGGACCAGGTGGCGAGAATGTCCGCTGGCCGGTTCCGCATTCGTCTTTATGCAGCCGGTGAACTTGTGCCAGCGCTTGGCGTGTTTGATGCGGTTTCAGCGGGCACGGCCCAAATGGGGCATACGGCCTCGTTCTTCTGGCAAGGCAAGATCCCCGCGTCCGTGTTCTTCACCGCAATTCCATTCGGGTTGCTGCCTCATGAACATATCACCTGGATCGAAAGAGGCGGCGGGCAGGCGCTCTGGGACGAGCTTTACGAGCCCTTTGGTGTGAAACCGGTCATGGCAGGCAATACAGGTGTGCAGATGGGGGGCTGGTACAAGAAAGACATCAACGGGCTGGATGACCTGACCGGTCTGAAGATCCGCATGCCTGGTCTTGGCGGGGAGGTGATGCGCCGCCTGGGCGCAACACCCGTCGGCTTGCCGCCGGCCGAACTGTTTCAGGCACTGCAGTCCGGTGTGCTTGATGCCACCGAGTTCCTCGGGCCGTGGTCCGACCGGGCCATGGGTTTCCACAAGGTCGCCAAAAACTACTATTCGCCCGGTTTTCACGAACCGAATGGGACCGGGGAGGCGCTTTTCAACAAGGTTGCCCTTGATGGTCTCCCGGACGAATTGCGCGCAATTGTTCTGGAAGCATGCCGTGCGGAGAACGGCCGTGCCCTGGCTGAAAGCGACTGGGAAAACGCCAGCAGCCTGAAACTGCTTCAGGACGAAGATGGCGTCACAATCAAACCCTATCCCGACGAGGTTCTTCAGGCCTTGCGCACGACCTCGGTGGCTGTTCTGCTGGAATTTGCTGAAAAGGACGCGCTCAGCAAGCGAATCTACGAGAGCAATGTTGCGGCCCGCCAGCGGCTGGCTCCCTGGAGCGATGTCGCAATGCGCCGATTCATGTCGGCACGTGATGGCAACACCTGATCCGGGATTTCTTGCCGCCGATCGCGCAACCGGTGTGTCAACATCGTTGCTGGCATGCCCTGTTTGTTCCCGGCGGGTCAGACAGCGAGCGATAATTCCTGTCGGTCTGCACCGGTCACCGAGGCACGAGTTTAACGGGCTGTCCGATTAATTGACAGTGTGTCAGCGCCTAGGTGTGATCTGGCAGGGCCTCTGCCGTTGGGGTATGTGTGGCAATGCAGCAACGTTCACGGAATTAGTGACGTTAAAGGAAACCCGTTGTCGTTTGCCTATTTTTTGTGCATTTTTGCGAGGCTGTGTCGTTCCCATGACATAGACCCCTGGAACAAGACCTATTTACCTACTTTTACCGAATTCCCGAAGCGTGTTTGTCGAAACAGTAGAATATTTTGCACTGCAACATGAAAACACATCGCCTCAAGACGGTAATTTCTTAGCTTGCAACTGAACCCTGTCTTGGAAATCCTATCCTTCGAAAAATGATTTCCTCCATTTGGAGGGGGATGGGAGAAAACACCATGACATGGGCTAATAAAAAGACGTTTCTGTTTGCTTCCACTGCTATTGCTCTTTCCATAGCGGCAAGTGGGGCACACGCGGGGGCCTTCGCGATCCGCGAGCAGAGTGCATATTTTCAGGGGACATCCTTTGCGGGATACGGAACGTCGGGCGAGACGATTTCGGCGATGTACTGGAACCCGGCCTCACTGATCGGTGCTCAGCAGGGCTGGAGCATGGAGGCACATGGATCGCTGATTATTCCGAATTCCGAAATCAACGGCACGCTGACCGGCGGCGCGGTTGGAACGTCCTCGATCGGTAGTGGTGATATCGGCTTGGACGCCTTCGTGCCGGCGACCTACATTTCCTACAGACCCGATGACAAGTGGGTCTTCGGTGTCGGTATCAACTCACCGTTCGGACTGACGACAAAACCGAACCAGAACTGGGCGGCCCAGTTCTATTCCCGCTCTTCAAGAGTGTTCTCGATCAACGTTAATCCCAACGTTGCCTACAAGATCAACGACATGTTTGCCGTAGCGGTCGGTTTCCAGGTCCAATATCTGGATGTCAGCCTGAAGTCGGCAGACGCGACGTCCGGCGCAGGCTTTCCCAGATCCAACGAAATCTCGGGAGACGGGTTCGGTGTCGGCGTGACGGCAGGTGTCACAATCAAGCCGATCGAGGGCACAGAGATCGGTATCGGCTACCGGTCAGGTGTCGGGCATGACCTGAGTGGGCAGCTTTTCGCGGGCGGCACGAGGGCGGGCATCAATCTCGGCGTGGTAACGCCGGATATGGTGAACATTTCCGCCAAGCAGAAGATAACCGACAAGATTCGCCTGCTCGGCACGGTCGAGTGGACCAACTGGAGCCGTCTGAAATCTCCCGTCGCGACCTCGTCCATTACCGGTTCGGCGCTCACCACGCTTCATTTCAACTATGATGACGGCTGGTTCTTCTCCGTCGGTGGCGAATACGACTACAACGACAAACTGACATTCCGTGCAGGTCTGGGCTATGAAATCTCTCCGATTGACGAGGCCATTCGGTCAACCCGCCTGCCGGACAACAATCGATGGTGGCTATCTGCGGGTGCAAGCTACAATTTCAGCAAGCACATCGCTTTCGATCTTGGCTTTACCCATATCATCACGGAATCGACGGGTATCAACATCGACTCGAGCCATCAGGACTTCAATGCTGCATTCGGCACCTACAAGGCCGATGTCGACAGCAACGTGAACATTCTCTCCGCATCGCTTCGCTACAAGTTCTGATACGGTGCTGAAACACGCAAAAGGGCCGGGAGTTTCCCGGCCCTCTTTGTTTTTCTGGCAACGTTCAAAACGCGGCTGGGTAGAGCCCGCCATCCATGAGGATGTTCTGGCCGGTGATATAACCGGCATGCCGAGAGCACAGGAATGCGCATGCCTGTCCGAATTCGGCTGCATTGCCGAAGCGCTGCGCGGGAATTTCGGCTGCCTGCTGAGCGCGAATCTCCTCCAGGCTTGTTCCGGTCTGCTGGGCGGCACGATCAAATCCACCCTTCAGCCGATCCGTATCCATCTTGCCCGGCAGGAGATTGTTGATGGTGATACCGGATGGGGCAAGCTGGCGGCAGACGCCGGCCAGAAATGCCGTCAGGCCGGCCCTTGCTCCGCTCGAGAGGTCCAGCCCTTCGATCGGCATTTTCACCGACAGCGAGGTGATGTTGACAATCCGTCCGAAGCCGCGCGCCTTCATGGCAGGTGTGACTGCCTGGATAAGTTCGATCGGCGTCACGAAATTCTGGACCGCACCTTCCAGCAGTGATTTGCGGTCAAGTTCCGTGTAGTCGCGTCTCGGTGGTCCACCATTGTTGTTGACGAGAATATCCGGCTCCGGACAGGCTGACAGGAGAGCCTGTTGTCCTTCCGGCGTCGACACATCCGCGGGCACACTCACAACGGAGACGCCGTACTTTTCCGTCAGGGCTGCGCGCGTTTCTTCCAGAACCGCTTCGTTGCGGCCGTTGAGGACTATGTCACAACCGGCTTCGGCAAGGGCTTCGGCGCAGCCTCTGCCCAGGCCGCGGCTTGATGCACACACGATCGCTTTTTTACCGTTCAGACCCAGATCCATAGCTTGTCTCCAATTTTGCCGTCGAACCAGATGTGCGCCGACCGGCAGGAATATTGATCAATCGGGTGTGGAGTTCGGGAACTCCACGGCAAGTCATCTTGCCTGTCATAATATTGATACCTGAATCGCGTCTATAGCGCTTCTGAAGGGAATGTGGAGAAATACCATGTCTGCTGCAGAGACGTCGCGTCACTACCGGGCCCTGTTCATTTCAGACGTTCACCTTGGCACTCGCGGCTGTCAGGCCGAATTGCTGCTGGGATTTCTGAAAGATCATGACGCCGAGACCATTTATCTGGTCGGCGACATTGTCGACGGCTGGCGCCTGAAACGGTCCTGGTACTGGCCGCAGCTTCACAATGATGTCGTGCAGAAAATATTGCGCAAGGGCCGCAAGGGTGCGCGGATTCACTACATTCCCGGCAATCACGATGAATTCCTGCGCAACTTCATCGGAACTCACTTTGGTGGTGTGGAAGTGGCGGACAGCTTTGTGCATGAAGCCGCCAACGGCAAACGCTACCTCGTTATTCACGGTGACCAGTTCGATGTCGTCATCCGGCATGCCAAATGGCTCGCCTTTTTTGGTGACAAGGCCTATGTGACCGCGCTCGGAATCAATACGTGGATCAATTTCCTGCGCCGCCGTATCGGCCTGACCTACTGGTCCTTGTCAGCCTGGGCGAAGCTCAAGGTCAAGAACGCCGTCAGTTTCATCGGCCGTTTCGAGGAGGCGCTTTCCGGTGAAGCGCGCCGGAAGGGTGTTGATGGCGTCATATGCGGCCATATTCACCACGCTGCCAATCGGGATATGAATGGTATTCACTACATCAATACCGGTGATTGGGTGGAAAGCTGTACAGCTGTCGCCGAACACCACGACGGGACGTTTGAGGTGATCCGATGGGTGGACAAGACCCAGGACGGAATTGCACCGGCCAAAGCCAAGGAAGCGCCGGTCGCAGCATGAGTTCCATCCTGATCGTGACGGATGCCTGGCATCCCCAAATCAATGGCGTTGTCAGGTCGCTTGAGCGTACCGCGGAAGAGCTTGCGGCAATCGGCACAAGGATCGAGGTTCTGTCGCCGCAAGCTTTCAGAACGCTCCCATGTCCGACCTATCCGGAAATCCGTCTTTCGTTGACACATCGGGGTATTGTCCGGCGCAAGATCCGGGAATTCGACTGCGAGCACCTGCACATCGCGACAGAAGGCCCGCTTGGCATTTTGGCCGCCAGCGTCGCGTGCAAGGCAGGGATGCCATTCACGACCAGTTATCACACGCGCTTTCCGGAATACGTATCGGCACGCCTTCCTGTTCCCCTGTCGTGGTCCTACAGATGGCTGCGCAGGTTTCACAATTCGGGATGCGGGTGCATGGTGGCGACCGGTTCGCTGGAAAACGACCTGCGGGCTCGCGGATTTGCAAACCTGATGCGTTGGTCCCGCGGGGTTGATGAGGATCTGTTCAAGCCCTACGAGGGGACAGTCCTCCCAGCAGATCTGCCGCAGCCGGTATTCATGTATGTCGGCCGTGTTTCGGTTGAAAAGAACATCAAGGCTTTTCTGGACCTGAATTTGCCGGGGTCCAAGGTCGTCGTCGGGGGTGGGCCGCAACTGGAAACATTGCGACGTGACTATCCTGGTGTTCATTTCACCGGAGCCAAAACCGGTGAAGACCTGGCACGACACTATTCCGATGCCGATGTATTTGTCTTCCCGTCGCTGACGGACACGTTCGGCAACGTGCTGCTGGAAGCTTTGGCATGCGGTGTCCCCGTGGCGGCGTTTCCGGTGATGGGGCCGATTGATGTCATTGGTGATACAGGGGCCGGAGTTCTGTCTGAAAACCTTCAGGAAGCTGCCGAATCCGCATTGGAGATCCCGCGGGATCATTGCCGGAAAATTGCCATGAACTACACCTGGGCAGCGAGCGCCCGGCAATTTCTGGACAATTGCATCGAGGCCCGCGACCGGCATAACAGCTTGGAAAGAGATGCCAGGGCTGCCGAATAACGTCTTCCACCGATACCTTCGCATGGTGGTGACCGGATGTGTCACCGGAATTATGTTGGGGTTGTATTGAGTTGACTTTAAATCCCATTTAGTCATCGGGGTGGAACGAGTTTTTTCAAGGTGGATGCCAATGACCGATGCCGTTGTTCAATCTAGCTCAGCCGAGATGCAGAACCTTTCAGGCAAGGCGGTCACTTTCGAGGACGTCGAACAAGCGGCCGGCCGCATCAGGGGATACGCCGTGCGCACACCCTTGTTGCAGCACCCGGCACTGGACGAGCGGGCAGGGGCAAAGGTCCTGGTGAAACCGGAAAGCCTGCAACGAAGCGGGTCATTCAAATTTCGTGGCGCTTTCAATTGCCTTAACCTCATACCGGAAGAGGAACGCACGAAGGGTGTGGTCGCGTGTTCGTCGGGCAATCACGCTCAAGGAGTGGCGGCCAGTGCTCGCATTCTGGGCATCTCCGCGACGATCGTGATGCCGGCCGATGCCCCAAGGGTCAAACTTGATCGTACCCGGGATTTTGGGGCGAAGGTCGTTACCTATGACAGGGCACACGAGGACAGGGACAGAATTGCCGCGGAGATTTGCGCGGAAAATGATGCGACATTCGTGCATCCTTTCAACGACCCGGCGGTGATTTCAGGACAGGGAACCGTCGGTCTTGAATTTGCACAACAGGCTGATGAACTGGGTCAGAAGCTCGATGATGTGCTGGCTTGTACGGGCGGTGGCGGACTTTCCAGCGGAATAGCGCTTGCGCTCGCGTTAAAATCTCCTTCAACCCGGTTTCACACTGTCGAGCCGGAGCTGTTCGATGACTACAAGCGGTCGCTCGAAGCTGGTGTCCTCTTGTCGAATGCCGCCAGGTCCGGATCGATCTGCGACGCGCTGCTTTCGGAAACTCCCGGAGAAATCGGTTTTTCCATTCTGAGCCAACTTGCCTCTGAGGGCCTGACAGTGAGCGATGAGGAAGTGCTGGAAGCGGTTGCCTTTGCTTTCAGGGAACTGAAGCTCGTTGTCGAACCCGGCGGTGCGGCAGCGCTCGCAGCCGTTCTATCCGGGAAACTTCCAGTGGAAGGCAAGACAATTGGTCTCGTGATAACCGGCGGGAATATCGATCCGGACATGTTGTCGAGGGCATTGTCGCGCTGACAATTGGATTGCAGCCTGGATCCGTACGGGCTTTGCCTCAAGAGATTGAAAAAACGAAGCTTTCTTGCCGTTTTCTTAAGTGTCACCTGAACGAAAAAGAACGCAGCTGCCAGCTGCGCCCTTGTTCAGTGATCCGGAAATGAAATCAGTTGAAGAGGGCCTGACGTTCGGCTTCGGAGAGTTGCTGCAGAGGATCGGTGGCGGCATCGCCTTCCGCCGCGGCTTCGTCTTCCGCCGCTTCCTCGGTCAGCTCCCAGGTTACGTCGGCCTCCGCCTCAGCTTCGTCGTCCACCACAGCTTCGTCGTCCGCCACAGCTTCGTCTTCGGTCACGTCGACTTCACTGTCGAAGAGTTTTTCGATAGCGGCTTCGTCCAGCATGGCATCCGGGTCCGCATTTGCAAATTCGTCAACTTCGTCAACCGGATCTTCGTCTGCGGGGTCTTCGTCTATCGGGTCTTCTTCAACAGGCTCTTCGTCGACCGTATCCGCAGGGGCTGACGCAAACATGTCGTCGATGGCGGCAGCGTCCATCGGCTCATGGCCTCCGGCCATGATCGCGTCGACATCGGTTTCCGTGGCCGCATCATCGTTCTCGGACGTAGCGGATGTTTCGGACGTGACGTCCATACCGGTTTCTTCCAAGGCAGCGTCGAACACGTCGTCGCTGACGGACATCAGTTCATCGACACTGTTCTGGCACACACCACGACCGGAACTTTGAGGACCGTTCAGAAGATGGGCATCCGGGCGCGTATCGACCGGACCTGCAGTGTCTTCGGCCTCCATCTCCTCGATACCCCAGATGCCGATCATCAAATTGATGCGGCTTTCCAGGTAGCGCAGCACCTGAACAACCTTGTTCGTGCGCTGGCCGGTCAGGTCCTGGAAGGAACAGGCCATGAAAATTTCGGTGGCTTTCGCATCGATTTCATCACATGCGGCACCGTCGGCCCCGTTTTCCCGCAGCACCCAGGCCTGTTCCTGGATCTGCTCTGCAGCTTCCAGGATCGACTGGGTCGCGCCTTCGGTCTGCGTGACGATCGCGTCGAGTTCGTGAGATGCATCGACGAAACGGTTGCTTTCGTCACCATCGTCCTTGATGTTGGCAATCTCGGCCTTTGTCCGTTCGATGGCCTCGTGCATCTCGGCGATATCCAGACGGATCTTGTCGAGATCGGGTACCGTGCGTTCCCGGGTCACAACTTTCTCAAGCCGGTGAATCGCACCAAGGATCTCCGTTGTTTCCGGAGTCTTGTGTCGGTTCAGATATTCCTTCAGAAACCGACGCCCGCGATCGGATTCCAGCAGGGTCTGTTCGAGAGTGTGATATTCGGCGTCGCCGATCAACTCTGGCTCTTCCTGAATTGTTTCCGTTTTCATATGGGCGCGATTCTCAACTTGCCTAAGGATCGTGTGTTGCCGTAACACGGACAACTTCCCTTCGATCGTAGGGTGAAAATCGTTAACATCCCTTTATGCCGGCGTGGCCTGGAGCCTTGACAATGAACTTATGACAAAAATATTCAACAGTATTAGCGCACGGGTTGCTGCATTGTTTGCATGCCACTTTTTCGCGTTTGGACTTTTTCTACCGTTTTTCCCGTTAGTTTTGGAATTTCGGGGCCTTAGTACAGCTGAAATCGGATTTATACTGGGCGTCGGCACTATCGCGCGCATCGCAGCCAGTCCAATTTTGTCAAATATTGCCGACAGGACCGGTCAGCGACGATGGTCGATCCTGATCTATTCGATAATGGGTGCCGGGTTCATTTCGCTGTTTTTCCTGCCAGGCGGTATCCTCATCGCAAGTATCGCGATGGTTGGCTATATGGTGATCAAGGCCCCGATCCTGCCACTCAGTGATGCATATGCTCTCGATACAGCGCGCAATACCGGAGCAGATTATGCCCGCATGCGGCTCTGGGGATCGGTTGGCTTTGTTCTTGCCAATCTAGCGGGAGGAAGTCTTGCAGCCCAATCGACTTCATGGCTTATCGTCTGCCTGACAATCGCAGCGTCCTTCGCAACCGGCCTCGTCGTCATGTCATTGCCGAAACAGCAACGGGAACACGCCGATACAGTCAATGACCATCAGCTAAGGGTGACACCCTTCCGGAGTTTCTGGTTCTGGCCTGTGCTTGCAGTTCTGGGGCTCTTCCAGGCGACACATGCTGCCTTCTACGGGTTTGGCACGATCTACTGGCAATCGATCGATGTACCGAAGTTTGCCATAGGCGCGCTCTGGGCCATTGGTGTTGTGGCGGAGATCGCACTTTTCACCATAGCCGGGAAATTGTCGCTGCGTTTCGATCCGCCGGTTTTTCTCGTTGTTGCAGGTATTGCTTCGGTCATCCGCTGGGGACTGGTTCCGTTCGCCGATACGCTGCTGTTCATGGGAATGCTTCAGTTGTTGCACGGGCTGACCTTTGGAGCCGCTCACCTTGGGGCCGTTGCGATTCTGGCAAAGGTCGTGCCTGCCCGTTGGTCCGGAACGGGGCAGGGCCTGTTCACAGCGTCAATCGGTATTCAGATGGCCGCCGGGATTGCAGTCTCAGGCGCACTTTTTGAAGACAATCCGCATGCACCGTTTTACCTGATGGCTGTGGTTGCCGCCGTTGGAACTGTTCTGGTTCTTTTGCTGACGCCCCTGATCCGCGAGAAAACAAGGCTCGCGGAAGCGGGATAGACTGGTCAACCCCAGAGCGCAGGCTCGGGTGGATAAAGCGTACTGTCGTCAAATCTCAAGCCCGGAATGCGGTCTTGCGACAACAGAAGAGGGCCGTCCAGGTCGACGTAATCGGCGTTTTGAGCAATCAGCACGGCAGGTGCCATCGCAAGCGATGTGCCAAGCATGCAACCTGTCATGACCTTGAAGTCCGCTGCGCGTGCTTCGGTGAGCAGCTTCAAGGCTTCCGTCAGGCCACCTGCCTTGTCGAGCTTGATGTTGACTGCGTCGTATTTTTCCCGGAGACCGTCCAGTCCTTTGCCGGGGGAGAGGCTTTCATCTGCACAAATCGCCACAGGTGGCGTCAGCGAGGCCAGCAGGTCGTCATTGCCGGCCGGAAGAGGTTGCTCGATGAGCTGAACACCGGCCGCCGCACAAGCCGCCATGTTCGCTTCAAAACAGCCCTCATCCCAGGCCTCGTTGGCATCAACGATGAGGGTGCTACCCGGAGCGGCTTCCCGAACCGCCAGAATACGTGCGTCGTCCCCCGGACCGGCCAACTTGACCTTCAACAGAGGGCGGTGTGCTGCAGCCGAGGTTTTTTCAGCCATTGCCTCAGGCGTGTCGACACTGATGGTGAAGGCGGTCGTGACGGGACGCAGTGCGCCGAGGCCTGCCAATTCGGCGGCCGATTGACCCGAGCGTTTGGCGTCGAGGTCCCAGAGTGCGCAATCGACCGCATTGCGGGCGGCTCCCGCTGGCATGGCGTTCTGAAGAGCGGTCCTGGAAAGACCTGTCTTCAAAAGCGGAGAAATTTCCTCGATCTGGGTTTGAACCGTCTCAAGCGACTCGCCGTAACGTGGATAAGGGACACATTCACCGCGTCCTGATGCTCCGTCTTCTTCAATGGTCACGACGACGACTTGCGCGTGCGTTCTCGTGCCTCGGGAGATCGTGAAACCACCGGCAATTTCATAGCTCTGCGCTGCTATGTTGATAATCCGATTCATGGTGCACCGAATTCTGCGGAGACCTTGTCGACAATCGCTTCCATGCCATACCGGACAGGGTCGGTGGCCGGAAGACCGTGCTTTTCACCCACCTTGGCAAGAAAAGCCAGAGCCTCGTCATATTCAAGAGCTGCCGTGTTGACCGCGATGCCGATACACTGGATCGCCGGATTGGTCAGCCGGCCCAGCTGGATGGTCGTCTCGATGACTTGCTCGATGGTCGGAAGCGGTGTCTCGACGCCACGCATCTTTGTGCGGGTCGGCTCGTGACAAACAATGAACCCGTCCGGTTGGGATCCATGGAGGAGACCCAGCGTGACACCAGCAAAGGAAGGATGGAACAGGGAGCCCTGACCTTCAACGATCTGCCAGTGATCTTCTTCCGTTTCGGGAGAGAGCCATTCGGCCGCACCGGAGATGAAGTCGGCGACGACTGCATCAAGAGAGATGCCCCGGCCCGATATGAAAATGCCGGTCTGTCCGGTTGCGCAGAAGGAACTCTTGTAACCGCGCTCGGACATGGCCCGGTCCATTGCCAGTGCAGTGTATTTCTTGCCGACAGAACAGTCGGTCCCCACGGCGAGGATCCTTTTCCCCGAACGTTTGGTGCCTTTGCCGGTTGCAAACGTCATGGAGTTGTGACGAACGTCGTGGAGCTGGGCATTGTTGCGGTCTGCCGCTTCGCGGATCTCGGAAATGTCTCCGAGGCGGACATGCAGGCCGGACGCAATGTCCAGCCCCGAATCAAGTGCTTCGACAATCGACGCGATCCAGTGATCGGGAAGTCGCCCGCCTGCGTTCACAGCTCCGATCACAAGTGTCTTTGCGCCGGCGCTTGCGCCTTCACTTATGGACATGTCGGAAAGGCCTGTATCGGCGGCACAACCTGGCAGACGAATCTGGCCAATACACCAGTCTTTGCGCCAATCTACGATGCCAACCGCTGTTTTGGCCGCCAGGGCATCTGGAACGTCACCGAGGAACAAAAGATAGGGACGGGCTATTTCCATGGACAAAGCTTTCAAGTGGCTGCTGGACGTTAAAGTTCTCCATCAGGTATACGGGGGATATCGAACCAGCGGCAAGAGGGCAGCCATCCGGAATGGCATTCTTGGAAAAAAACATCGAGCCGGAGATGAGTCTGGAGGCGGACGGGCCGGATCATCAGTACCTGGCGCTCTCGGGCGACTGGACGGTGAGCACCATCGGCAACGCCGAATCCGGCCTTGACCGGCTCGAAGTTGCCAAGGACCGGCTGACCTGCATCGACGTCTCGAAGATCGAGCATCTTGATACCAGTGGAGCCTGGCTGATCCACAGGACGCGTGGGCGACTGGAATTTGCGGGACGCAAGGTCGGACTGACAGGGGTTACGCCCATAAGGCAGATGCTCTTCGATGAAATCGATCGGCACCATCCACCCAGATACAAACCGGATCGCGGCGGCTTCACGATTGTCGGTTTTCTGGAAGCGACCGGGCGACAGATGGTCGACGCCTACAAAGACGGCCTCGCGATGCTGCACATCCTGGGGTCTATCGGGCTGGTTACCTCGACCGTGTTGTTCAATCCCGGACGACTGCGCAGTATCTCCATTGCGGTCCAGTTCGATCGAAGCTGCATCGGTGCGGTGCCTATCGTCGCCCTGATGAGTTTTCTGATCGGTGCGATCATTTCCCAGCAGGGCGGGTTCTATCTCAAACAGTTCGGCGTGGATATTTACGTGGTCGATCTGGCCGGTATCCTTATCCTTCGCGAGATTGGCGTCATCCTGACCGCGATCATGGTGGCCGGCCGATCCGGATCGGCGTTCACGGCCGAACTTGGCGCCATGCGCATGCAGGAAGAGGTGGATGCACTGCATGTTATCGGGCTGAGTGTCACGGAAGTTCTGGTTCTGCCGCGCATTCTGGCGCTCATGATCGCCTTGCCCATCCTGACATTCATTGCAGATATGGCAGCCTTGTTCGGTTCAGGCCTTGTCACCTGGGTCTATCTGGATATTCCACCGGCCGCTTTCCTCACCCAGCTGCAGGTGGCAATCACGAATGGAACGCTTGCCGTGGGCATCGTGAAGGCCCCCTTCATGGCCTTGATTATCGGTCTGATAGCCTGCGTTGAAGGGTTGAAAGTCGGTGGGTCTTCCGAATCGCTCGGTCGTCACACGACAATGTCCGTGGTGAAAGCCATTTTTCTTGTTATCGTCGTCGACGGCTTTTTTGCCGTGTTCTTCGCCGCCATCGGAATTTGATTGAATTCATGACAATGACAGATGCCGCAGAACGAGAGACAGACCTGGTGTCCACCGCAGAAGGTGCAGAGAATGTCCTGTCCGCTCGTGGCGTAACCGTCGGCTTCGGCAGCAAGATTGTTCTGCAAAACCTCGATCTCGATGTTCGCAGGGGTGAAGTGCTTGGTTTTGTCGGTGGCTCCGGCATGGGAAAATCGGTTCTGATGAGGACCATCCTGGGCCTCACTCCGAAACGGGCGGGAACCATATCTGTTTTTGGACATGACCTTTCCACGGCGAGTGAGAAGGAACGGCTGACCATCGAGCGGCGTTGGGGAGTGCTTTTTCAGCAGGGCGCTCTTTTTTCTTCGCTTTCCGTCAAGCAAAACATCCAGGTTCCGATGCGCGAGCACCTCAATCTGTCGCCGCAACTGATGGATGAACTTGCGACGCTGAAACTTGAGCTGGTAGGCCTGCCTCAGGATTCGGCCGACAAGTTACCCTCCGAGTTGTCCGGCGGCATGATCAAAAGAGCGAGCCTTGCACGTGCGCTTGCACTTGATCCGGATTTGGTGTTTCTGGACGAGCCGACCTCCGGACTGGATCCGATTGGAGCGGCAGCCTTCGATTCGCTGATCGAAAACTTGAGTTCAACTCTCGGACTGACCGTCTACATGGTCACGCATGATCTCGATAGCCTGCATTCTATTTGCGATCGCATTGCAGTTCTTGGGAATAAACGCGTTCTGGCTATCGGAACACTGGACGATATGATGAAAAATGATGATCCCTGGATTAAGGAGTATTTCAGGGGTGAACGGGCGTTGCGCCGAGTATAGGTTGGACTGAATGGAAACCCGCGCGAATTACATTCTGATCGGTTCCTTCATGGTTGCCATTCTGGTTGCCGCGTTCGGGTTCGTCTACTGGAAGGCCGCAACAGCAGAATCGCGTCAGAACGTGGAACTCATGGTCATCTATCCGGGACCGGTCACAGGCCTTCCGGTTGGAGGGCAGGTTCTCTTCAACGGTATCAAGGTGGGTGACGTCAAGTCGCTCGATTTTGCCCCGGACGATCCGACCAAGGTTGTGGCAACAGTCGGCATCAAGCCGACCACGCCAATACGTGAAGACACCAAGGCAACACTGAATTTCACAGGCCTGACAGGTATCGCCTATGTCGATCTGTCAGGAGGAACGTCCTCGTCACCGCTGCTTCTGGGCAAGGATGACGGCAAAGTACCCGTTCTTTATGCCGAAAGGTCCTTTTTCGACGATATTGTCGATGGCGCGCGCGACGTGTTGAAGCGCGCCGACACGACCATGAAGACCATCGAGGACATTCTTGTCGAGAACAAGCCGCTCATCAACGACACGGTCAAGAACGTAGAAACGTTTTCGGCTGCGCTTGCCGCAAATTCCGACGGCGTGAAGGATTTCATGGCAAGCATCGGCCAGGCATCCGATGCATTTTCAAGCCTTTCCGGGCGTCTTGAGAAACTCGTCGACCAGGGCGAGCGCCTGCTGGCAGCGGTGCCTTCGGACAAGGTGACCGCCATAGTCGATGATCTGACCAAGTTCTCCGACAGCCTGGGCAAGGCGAGTGGCGACATCGATCTCCTCATGTCTGACGCACAAAGCGCTGCGAAGGAGCTGGAAACATTTACCAAAAAGATGAATGACGGCCTCGACAACGTTCAGAAGATCGTTCAGGCGGTCAAGCCGGAAGACGTCGAGAAGGTGATGACGGGTGCCGCGGCACTTGGCGATGTGCTGGAGACGCGGAGCAACGACATCAGCAAGCTGATCACATCGACCAGCGAGACCATGCAGAACGTCAACAAGGTTGTTGCGGTTGTTCAGCAGCGTGAAGGCGCCATTTCCGAGATTCTGGAAGGTGGACGGGACGTTGTGCTGAAAGTCGACGCGATCGTTTCGCGCGGTGTTGAAATCGCCTCGGCCATCGATCCGCTGCAGATCGAGCAGGTTGTCGCATCGGTCAATACCTTCACCACAGGCATGAATGTGTCCTTGCTTCGGGTCGACGAGGTGCTGGCGAGTGTTGATCCTCAGAAGGTCGGCAATGCGGTCGATGGTGTTGCCAGCGTGATCGATAATTTCAACAATCAGCAGAGCCAGATCAACGAGATCATCGCGTCTACCAAATCGACCGTCCAGAATTTCGAAGCCGTGTCTGCCACGGTTCGCGATCAGGATGACCGGATTGCGGCCTTGATCACCGATGTACAGGCTGCAGCTGAACGTTTTGCCGAAACGCTGCAAAGCGCGGACACGCTCCTGAAGGCGGTGGATCCCGAGAAAGTCGCCAATATCGTCGGGTCGGTCGAAACCACTGCCTCCGAACTAGCAAGTCAGCAGAACGGCATTCCTTCCATTCTACAAAGTGCCCAGAAGGCGGCTGACAATGTTCAGCAGATGACAGCCGATCTTTCCAAGCGCACGCCGGATGTCGACCAGATCATTACCGATGCAAAGCAGATGACCGCAACGTTGAACGCGACGTCTGTCAGGGTCGAGAGCCTGGTGGAAAAAGTTTCCACGATGGTCGACGGCGATGGCGAGGGCTTGATCAAGGAAGCAACGCTTGCGGCACAGGCCATCCGGAAGATCGCGGTTGCCTTCGAGAGCCGCGCAGACTCCATTGCAGGTGGCCTTTCAAAGTTCGCGACACAGGGGTCGAGCGATTTCACTGCAGCTTTGGGACAGGTCAACCGGACGCTGGTTGCCATCCAGCGGGCAGCAGAAAGCTTTGAGCGCAGTCCGAACAGGGTCATTTTCGGGGGCGAGGACGTTCCGACCTATACAGGTGGGCGGCGGCGATGAACAAGAAGAACAACAAGGGCAGGGGCTCATGACGAAGCCAAAGACCAACATGACCCGCCGGGGTGTTCTGGGTGTTCTCGGCCTTGGTGCGTTGACGGCCGGCTGCACAAGCAGAGCGCCGTCTGCCTTCTACAGCCTGACCTCTGCAGACGTCGACGGACTTCAGGGCAGGTCCAGCCGTGTCCAGGTTCTGGTGGCCCCGCCGCGCGCCCTCAAGGCACTTGATACGAGCTATATTGCCGTCGTCGACAAGGGGCCCATCTACAGCTACTACCCGAAGTCTGCCTGGGCGGACACGCTTCCGAACGTCGTGCAGCTCAAGCTCATGGAAACGCTGCAGAATACCGGGCGGTTGCGCGGCGTCGGCCTTCCCGGAGACGGCCTTTTGATCGATTACCAGCTGCAGACCGAGATCCGGGCGTTCGAGCTTCAGGTTGCCGGGAACCGGGGTGTGGTGGAAATTTCCGCGCGCGTCGTCAACGACCGCAATGGCCGGACTGTGTCGACCAAGGTCTTCCGCGCCGAAACGCCTGCCGGCAGTTCATCCGTCGACAAGGCCGTCGAGGCCATGAACACCTCCGCCGATCGCGTCTTTGCCGAAATGGCCGCCTGGACGCTGAAGAACGTTTGACTGGTCGCCGGCTGGCAAACCTGACGCGAAATCACCATATCCTCATGCAGAGTTCATGCCGTGCTTAGTGTTACTGTCGGCGACTGGAAGCTTAGCCTCGAGGATGTTCAGCAGCCTCTGATCAAAGATGTAGCGAAGGAAAAGGCGCGTTTTGTCGACGAGGTTTCCGCGCCGGATGAGTGGAACCGGTGCCTTTCCGTCAGTGTTTCCAAAGCGGCCGACTTCAGTGACCGGTCGGATGCTGTTATTATCTTGAAATTTCAGGACTATGGCGGGTTCGAGCCTGGCGTTCTGCTGGTACCTGAAACCCCATTTCTTTTTGTTGGAGCTGGCGAGATCCTGCTTGGATACGATCTTGAAAGGCGTGAACGCAGCTTCGAAGACTATGTCTATCGCGGGTTTTGGGGGTGGCACAGGTTTGGCGATATCGTGCTGATGGCCTCTGAAACTGAATGTTCAGCATGGTCTCTTAGAGGCAAAAAACTCTGGTCGGCGGATGTCCAACCGCCTTGGGATTTTGAAGTCTCAGCTTCGGATGTCATTCTTGTTGTTGAGGGTGTTGTCAGGAAGCTTGATCTGAAGACCGGCAAGGCAAGAAATCGAAATTGAGCATTGCTTCTTTCGCTGTTGGTTTCGTGCAACGCGATTTAGACATTTTCTTTTGACAGATGTTTTCTGAGCCTTTTGACTTCTGCAAGCAGCCGCGGGATATCCTGCCGCGCATGGGCAATGAAGTCCTGATCAGAGTTTGTGGCACCCGTTAACTCGATATCTTCGCCGCGTTTGTTGCCGTTGCCTGTCATGATGAAGTTGCTGCCGCCGCTGTGATCACGCCCTTCGATGTAGGAGACCCAGGGACCGGACGTTGCCTTCTCGCACCGCTGCCGCATTGACACCAATTCTTCTTCGGTCATCGCTCCCTGTCGTCAAAACCGCGAGTCATTGAGACCTCCAATCTACCCGTGAGATTGCCGGCAGAAAGACACAAGCAAATTCAGATCAACATCAGGGACAGCGCCGGGACTGCAATCAGCAGTGCCAGACGCAGGATGTCGGCTGCCCAGAAGGGCAGGACACCGGCAAAGATGGTCCGGAGCGGCACGTCGGTGAGGACGGAGCGGAGAACAAAGACGTTGAGGCCGATAGGTGGCGAGATCAGGCTGATCTCGGTCACGACGACGACGACAATACCGAACCAGATCAGCACCATTTCCGGATCGCTCAGGATGCCGGTACCGAAATCCAGCGAGGTCACCAGCGGAAAGAAGACCGGGACGGTCAACAGGATCATCGACAGGCTCTCCAGCACCGCGCCGAGCACGATGTAGATCAGCACCAGTATGAGCATCACCACATAGGCGTTGACGTCCAGCGATTGGACAAAGTTCAGCAGGGCGTCAGGGACACCGGCATAGCTGATGAAATTGGAGAAGACTTCCGCCCCGATGATAATGGCAAAGATCATCGCCGTGGTCCGCGCGCAGTTGAGGCCTGCAGTAAAGAGCTTCTCGAAGGTCAATCCACCTGACAGGAAGGCGATGATCAGCGCCGTCGCAGCGCCGATGGCCGCTGCTTCGGTGGGCGTGAAAAACCCGCCATAGATGCCGACCATGATCACGGCGAAAAGGCCAAGGACGGCAAGCACCCCCCAGATGTCCTTGCGGTCCAGCGCGATGTCCTCATGCTCGGATGGTGCGAGTCCTGGCCTCAGGAGAACAGTCACATAAACCGCGGCGAGGTAGAAGAGAACGCCAAGAAGGCCCGGAATGATCCCGGCGATAAAGAGTTTGCCGATGTCGGCTTCTGTCAGCAGACCGTAGATGATCAGGATCACGCTCGGCGGGATCAGAATACCGAGCGTTCCTCCGGCGGCAATGGAGCCGGTAGCGAGACTGTCGGCATAGCCTGCCTTGCGCATCGAGGGCATGGCGACCTTGGACATGGTCGCGGCTGTTGCAAGCGAAGAGCCGCAGACAGCGGAAAAGCCGCCACACGCGACGATGGAAGCCATCGCAAGACCGCCGCGCATGCGGTGCAGCAGGCTGTGCGCTGTGCTGAACAGGGACTGGCTGACACCCGAAATGGTCAGGAGATTGCCCATGAGGATGAAAAGCGGGATCACCGACAACGTGTAGGACAATCCCGTGTCGAACGCGGCATTGCCGAGAAGATTGAGAGCCGCGTTCCAGTTGCGCAGGGCGGCGAACCCGGCGGTCCCGACAATGATCATCGCTACGGCGATCGGGACGCGCAGCAAAACGAGGCCGAAAAGGGCAATAAATCCAATCAGAGCTTCAAGCACGTATCAGGCCTTTTCACGCAAACGCCGGAGCGTCCAGAAGATGGCTACGACTGCGGATATGGCAAAGGACGCAGTTCCGAGCCAGCCGATCAGGTAAAGCGGGATTTCGAGCGAGTCCGTCACCTGCTCCCGGCGCTGCAGCTTCTCGGCATGTTCGGAGAGTTCCAGGGCAACGATTGCAAAAACGGCCACGGTCGCCACACCGGCACAGACCGCACCCAGATACTTCAAGGCCTTGCTTTTGAGGCCGTCCAGCAACTCCACCTCGATGTGTTCGCCGGCTGCCGTTGTCAGCGGAAGGGCGAGAAAAATCAGTGAAGCCAGCAACAGCTGCGTCAATTCGTATGCACCGTTCACGGGACTGTTGAACAGGTAGCGGGCGACCACATCCAAACAGGTGAGACCGATCATGGCCGCAAGCACGAGCAGACAGGCAAAACCGAGCAGGAAGGTCGCTCCGCGCCGGAGACTTTCGAAACGGCGCGGAGCTGTATTGTCAGGTCCTGACGGTGTCATCAGTTGCTGATACCTGTCTGGTCGCGCATATCGGCTAGCGCGGCAGCACCGTCAAATCCTGTTTCCTTCACGGCATCGGCCCAGGCGGCTTCGTGTTTGGCTGCCAATTCCCTGATCTTGTCCAGAACCGGTGCAGGAGCGTCATAGACCTCAATTTCCTTGTCGGAGATGTAGTCTGCGCCCCGCGCATCGGAACCATCCCAGACACTGCCGGCAAGCTCGGCGAGCGCTGCACCGGATACCTTTTCAATTGCCGCCTTGTCTTCGTCCGACAGGCCGTCCCAGATATCCTCGTTCATCACCATGAACCAGGACGTGTTGTAGATACCACCGGGAACCTTCATCGAAGACTTGATGTAGTCCGTGAGCTTGAAGGCCTGAAGGGCTTCGACCGGGAAGGTCACTCCGTCGATCACACCTCTGGAGAGCTTTTCGTAGACTTCACCCGGTCCCATGAACTGGGTGGTTATGCCGAGGTCCTGCGACAGGTCGGCGATGTAGCCGCCCGGGGTCCTGATCTTCAGGCCGGAGAAATCCCCGGGGGTTTCGATCTTGCGCTGGTTGTTGTGGAACATGCCCGGGCCGTGGATCCAGAGACCCAGCAATTTGGTGCCCTGATGTTCGTCCTGCGCGTCGAGTTTTCCCGCATAGACATCCCAGTAGGCCTTCGAGCCCTCGGTTGCCGTGTCGGCGATGAAGGAGAACTGGCCGATGCGGGATCGCAGGAAACGGTCATCGCGCGTGAAGGAGTGCAGGCCGTAAGTGATATCGGCAACGCCATCGGCGGCAAGATCGTAATGCGCCGGAGGCGGTCCGAGCGGCTTTGGCAGGATGCGGACAGTTACGCGACCGTCGGTCGCTTCTGCAACCTGTTCCGCCCAGGGCTGCATGACGCCGGTGACGATCGGATGCTTCGGCGGCAGCCAGGAAGACAGCACCAGTTCATCTGCAACTGCACCTGAAAATGCACCGGACAGGGCCGTTGCCGCCAGGCCGGCCAGAATCGAAAGACACTTGATGGATTTCACAGTTTTCTCCTCCCGTTTGCCGACTGAACGCCGATCGCTTGCTGATCTGAAGCGATTTCAGACCGCGCAACACGAAAATAGTTGCAAATGAAACTAAGTCAATCGTAAAATCATTCCGCCACTGTTTTAAATCGACCGAGAACCAATGACTGACGCAGAAGAAACGGAAACCGAAACCATCTTGCGCGCGCAAAAAACCGCCGGGAGTCCAGAGGAGGCGGACACCGTTTTCGAACTGGAAAAATTCTTCCCCTACCTGGTGCGCGTTTTTTACAACGATGTCACCAGTGCCCTGTCAGCGGTTTATCAGCGCGACTATGGAATGATGCCGGCAGAATGGCGGACGATGGCAATCCTGGGCTCAGCATCCGGTGGCCTTCAGGCAACTGAAATTGTTTCGCGGTCCTCGATGGACAAGGTTGTCGTGAGCCGGGCCGTGAAGCGCATGAAAGAACGCGGCTACCTTATCCGCGAGACACATTCGGAGGACGGAAGAAGCTTTTTGCTGCAACTGTCGAGCGAGGGCAGGGCAGTCTACCAAGATCTTGCCCCGAAACTGCTGGATGTCGAACGCAGGATGCTGCAGGGCCTTTCGGATGCCGAGATTACCGACTTTCTGACCGTCGCTCAGCGTATCCGGGACAATCTGGCGGTAGAGGCAGAGGCTGAAAACTGATCCCGGATCTTTTGAATCGAAGACAATCTATCGGGTAAGGACATTCAGCTTCTGACTGTGGCGGCCGGCCAAGGAAGCAACTGCTGACGGTCGTTCCCCTCGCGTGATTTCCCGTCATTCCTGCAAGAGCAGGGTTTCAATGTCTTCGGACAGATGGCGTACCTGGCCCCTGATCTTGGATACGTTGCGACAGGGCCAATAATTGAGCCGGAAGATCAATCGTCAGCTCGCACGAACCCAAATTTACCGGATATGCAAAAGTGATGACTGCGAGTGGCGCCGTATGCTCTTCGTTACCAGGGTGGGGTTTCAAGCCGGACAAAAAAAGGCGGCCATCGGCCGCCTTCTTCAATTCATGTGAGTGATATCCTAGTCGAGGCGACCACTAGCATGGGCCAGCATCGTATAGACCTTACCCGTGTCTGATGTGAGGTAGGTCTGGCCGAGCATGTTGTCCCGGTCGTTGCGTGACACCTGGGCCAGCAACTGTTCGAAGTCGGCAACATACCGTTCTACTGCTGTCCGGAATTCCGGATCCCTGGAATACTTCTGACGGATTTCGTCAAAGGTCTGCTGTCCCTGAAGCGTGTACAGGCGGCGGGTGAAGACATGCCGTTCGCCGTTCCGGTACCGGTTCCACAGATCGATGAATGTCTCGTGATCGATCGCACGTGCAATATCGACCGACAGGGAATTGAGACTTTCAACTGTCTGCAGCGGGGTCCGTCCGACGCTGGTGTCGGCGCTTGCTTCGTCATCGTCGCGCGACGCGCGGCGAAGCAGATCCGCAACCCAGCCCTTGCCACCGGGATTTCCGCCTTGCGGCTGTGCGGTCTCCTGTCGCCGGGATTCTGTTGGCCGGTTCTGCTGTGCGGGCCGCTGGTCACCGGCAGATGACGCAGGTTGCTGAACAGGTGCGGCAGGCGCATAACTTGCCGACGCAGCAGATTGCGGAGCAGGGGTTGCGCTGGCGACGGACTGCGTCTGAGGTCGCGAAATGTCCAGGGTGTTGGATTGCTTGGCAACAATCTCGGACAGTTCGGTCAGGGCTCGGATCTGCTCGTTCACCACCTTGCGCAACGCCGCGGAAGATTCTTCCGCTTCTTCAGGCAGATTGAGAACACCGAGTTTCAGCTCGTTGCGCGTTGCTTCCAACTCGCGGTGCACGTCACGGGCAACATCGCGCATGCGGCCGGCCGCGTCATTGAACCGATCGGAGGCGTCGCTGACCGTGCGGGTCATTTCCGAAATGATGTCGTCCTGAGCAGAGCGAATGGCATCACGGGCCTTCTGACCCTCCATGCCTGCTGTCAGGCGCATGGATTCGAATTGTTCGGTTACCTGGTTTGAGGCTGCTTCCGCCGCTGCTCCCAGCATTTTTGCTGCCTCGCGCGCCTTGTCATCAGCCGATTCCAGCGTGTCGGACAGCGTCTGGGTAAACGAGCGCATCAGCGTGTCGACCGCTTCGGTTTTCGACAGCAGCGTATCGGCAACTTCCTCGATCGCGGTTCGGCGTTCTGCAACGCGGCCTTCGACCGACTGGTTGGTGTCTTCCAGATGACGCGCCGCGCGTGTCAGCTCTTCGGATTGATCGCCGAAGCGTTTCGTCAGGTTCTGGATATCCGCCAGTGTTGTCTGGGTAACGTCACGCAGGTTGGATACCTGCTCGTCGATGAGTGTTGTGGTCTGGGTGGTCTCCTGAACCGCCCGGTCGACAGCGGAGCGGAATTCTCCGGCGCGGCGGGCGAGGTTCCCCTCCACCTCGTTGAGATTTTCCCCTGCAGCCGTGACGATGCTCTGAAGATTGGCGTTCGACGTCTCTACCTTGTTGAGGATTTCCGTAACGTCGGCTTCAAGGCGGTTCTTCGTGTCACTGAGAAGGGACGCGGCCTGATCACTGCGCTCGCTGATGCTGGCAATGATACGGTCGCCAGCCTCAACAAGTGTGCGTGTCGCATCCAGTCCGGTATGTGCAAACGTGTCGGTGACATCCCGTCCCTTGACCGTGATTGCATCGAGGATTGCCCCATGAACTTCGGAGAGGCGGCCTGTGAGATCGTTGGCGCGGGTTTCGATGGCATTGATCAATTCGTTGCCGTCTGTTCCGACAATGCGTGCAAGCTCTCCTGAGCTTTCGCCGAATGCCTGGTTCAGAGCCGTTGCCTTTTCAAGCAGTTCGTTGGCGACATCGTTGCCACGACCCACCAGAAGTTCGGCCGCCTCGGAGACCGCGCTGTTGACCCGGGCACGCACGATGCCGGCCTCGCTCGACATCTGGCCGCGGATTTCTTCCAGTGTGTTGGTCAGTGTGATGCGTGCCTGCTCGCTTTCTGCGGACAGGTTGCCGGAAATCTCGGCAATGAGGCCGGAGAGATTTGTGCGAACCTTTTCGCTTTCGCCGGTGAGCGAGCCTGTGAAATCGGCAAGCGTGCCTGCATAAAGTGTGCGGGCTTTCTCGCTTTCAGCGGCCATGGCGCGCGCTGCATCGTTGACGGCGGAAAGAACCAGTTCGCGGATCTTCGCGCTTTCGCCGGACATGGCCCCGGTTGCCTGATGCATTGCGGTGCTAACCGTGTCGGCAGCTTTCTGGCTCTCGCCAACGAGCACACCACGGGCTTCACCGACGGAACCAAGAACGATCTGGCGCATGCGATCGCCTTCGCCAGACAGTTTTTCCGTAGCCTGATTAAGCGCGCTGTCGACGATGTCAACGGTCTTGGTGCGTTCGTCGGACAGGGATTGTACGGCTGCGGTGGTTGCTTCCTGGACCACGTCGCGAAGGCGTGTGCTCTCAGTTGAAAGCGTAGCGCCGGCCTCGGCAATCACCGTCGTCAGGATATCGCGTGCGCGCTCGCTCTCGCCCGTCAATGTGCCGGAGATGCTCTCCAAACGCTCATTGAGCAGGGTTTCGAGCTGTGTTGCACGGCTGTCGAGCGTTTCGGCAACCTCAAAGACCTTTGCACCGAGGGAAACGTTGATCTCTGCAATGCGCTCCGACAGGGATTCCGTCAGTTGTTCGCTTTGCTTGCCGAGAACGTCGCCTGCTTCAGACAGGCGGTTGTCGAGAGCGGTCGTCATTTCCTCCTGGCCATCGACAAAGGCCTTGGCGATTTCCTTCGTCCGGGAAATCAGGGTCTCGGAAATCTGTCGCGCACGGGCATCGAGTGTCTCGTCGATCCGGTCCGTTCCGCTTGTCATGGATGTGGAAAGGAGTTCCGCCTTTTCCGCCATGGAAGCAGCGGCACCATCAACGCGTTCGGACAGTGTCTCACCGATTTCGGCTGCGCGGTCCGCAAGCGTGTTGCCCGCTGTCTCGATCCGCTGACCAAGCTGCAGGGTGATTGCGTCCGAGCGATCCGCCAGCACATCCGTGATGTTGCGGGTCTTTTCCTCAAGCGCATCGCTGATGCCGGTGGTCCGGTTTTCGATGGCACTCGCGAGGATCTGCGTGCGCGCTTCAAGTGTAGCTTCGAAAGTGGCGGTGCGCTGGTCGAGTGTCAGATCCAGCGTGTTGATGTGGCCGCCGAGCGCGCCATCCATGGTGGAAATACGTTCGCTCAGGGAGCGGTCCATGGAGGACAGGCGATTTTCCAGGGCGGCATCCATCGTGGTGACGCGAGCACCGAGCGAGGCATCCATGGAGTTGAAACGGCTCTCCAGAGTCGTGTCCATGAAGGAAATCTTTTCGCCCAGCGACATGTCCATCGAAGTGAACCGCTGTTCCAGAGAAGCGTCCAGAGTGCTGATGCGATCCGTAAGCGTCGCATCCATGGACGTGAAGCGATGCTCAAGCGATGTGTCCATCGTGCTGATACGGTCGCTCAGGGTTGCATCAATCGCGCTGTAACGCTGGTCGAGCGACGCATCCATGGCTGCAACGCGATCACCGAGGGATGCATCAAGGGACGCAATGCGATTGCCGAGTGCAGCATCCATTGCCACTCCACGCTCGCCGATTGAGGCATCTATCGCAGCAGCCCGTTCAGTCAGGGTTGTGTCGATTGCCGCAAGGCGGTCACCAAGCGTGGATTCCATCGCTGCCGCATGGCCACCAAGCGAAGCATCCAGCTCCGCGGTGCGGTTTCCGAGCGTGGCGTCGACTGCAGAGAGCTTGTCGCTCAGTGAGGTTTCAATTGCGCCCACATGATTGTTGAGCGTTGCATCCAGGGTTGCTGCATGCCCGCCAATGGCGGCATCCACCGACGCAAGACGTTCGCTCAGCGATGCATCTATGGCTGCCGCGTGGCTGCCGAGAGATGCATCGAGATTTGCCGCGTGTCCGCCGATCGCCGCATCCAGTGATGTGGCGTGTCCACCGATCGTCGCGTCCATTGCCGCGATGCGGTTGCCGAGCGACGCATCCATCGTGTCGATGCGCGATGCGAAGGTGGTATCGAGGGTGGAAAGACGGGAATCCATCGCTTCGGACAAGAGAAGCGATTTCGTGTCGAAGGCATCGATAAGCTGCCCGCCACGATCTGTAACGATCGTTTCCAGTTCAGTAAGTCTGGAGGAAAGGCCCTCCTGAAGGGCACCGCCGCGCACTTCCAGAGTATCGGAAATCTGGGCACTGACCTGATTGATATCGTGGGCGACGCGGTCTCCACGGCTGCCGATGAGTTCGGCGAGCTGCGTACCCGTATCCGCCAGGGTCTGGGTGAGCGAGCCGGTCTGTTCGCCAAGGCCGACGGCAAACTGATTGGAGACGCTTTCCAGAGTGTTGCGGAAACCGACAGTCTGCTGCTCGAGCATGGTCGCCATTTCGTTGCTGCGGGCCGTGAGCCGCTCGTCCAGCTCCGTTCCGTTGATGGAAATGGCGGTGTAGATGCGCTCGGAAATGTTGTCCAGTTTCTCGGCAAGTTCACCGCCGCGCACCGAAATGGTCTGGGTGAGGGACCCGGCCGTCTCATCAAGCTTGGCTGCAATTTCACCGCCACGCAGGGAGAGGTCGACCACAATGCTTTCGCCGGTTCCACGCAGGATTTCGGCAACTTCAGTCGAACGGCTGGAGAGCGTCTCGACAATTTCCGCGCCACGAATGGAGATCGTGTCGGTGACGGCCTGTCCGCGTTCGGAAATGCTCTCGGTGACCTGCTTGCCCGTTACCGCCAGAGACTCGTCCAGGCTGGTCACGCGGGTGTCGACTGTTGAAACGAGTTCCTCTGTCCGCGACGTGATCGTGTCGATCAGGCGACCTGATGTCAGGGAAAGGTTGGCGTTGATTTCTTCGCCGCGCGCCGTGATGACGTCGCCGACGGTGATCCCGGTGTTCTCAAGCGTCGTGCGGAATTCATCCGCCTTGCTGCTGAGTGTGGAAATGACCGATGTGCTGGAGGAAGACAGTGTCTCGTTGATTTCGCTTCCGCGGCGCTCCAGTGTGTCGACAAATGTGGTGGCGGTTTCGGCAAACCGTTCGTTGACCTGGTTGCCGCGGTCGGAAAGTGTTTCCCACATGGTCGCGCCGGTCTCGGCAAGATTGTCCACGAGCTCGTGGCCGGTGAGTGACAGGCGGGAAACATAGTCTTCCGCACGTACGGTCAGGCTGTCGACGAGTTCGTTTCCGGAGGCATTGAGTGTCGCACCGAGGGATTCAATCCGGCTGTCGACGGTCGACGTCAGTTCCTCGACACGGCTGTTGACTGCTTCGATCATGCGATGGGAGGCCTGATCCACCGTCTCACCGAGTTCACCAGACGTGCTTGAAAGCTGCGAGGAGAACTTCTCGTGTGCCCCGGCAATTGTCTCACGAACCCTTTCGGCATTCATCACAATGGATTCACGCTGACTGACGAGTTCCTCGATCAGACCGCGGATCTTGAGTTCATTATCATTATAGGAACGCTCGAGTGACGATACCTCGTTGTGAACGAGCACTTCCAGTTCACTGGCGCGAGCAATAGCGCGCTCGATGCCGTCTCCCATCGCGGCGACTTCCCGCCGAATGGCCTGGCCGACGCTGAGAATGGATTCCTTGGCCATGTCCTCGGGTTCGGCGAGACGCAGCGCCACTTCGGTCATGCCTCGGGCGACGATGCGCATTTCCTGCGCGCGCCAGATCATCATTGCCATGACGAAAAAGAAGATGATCGGAACGAGAATACCAACCGCTGCCAGGATCATCTCGGGGGAGGAGAGAAGGGCCTGAGGATCGCCAAGGGAAGTGACCTTGTCGGAGAAGGCGGACATGAACAGGCTTATGCCGAGCGCCGCCCAAAGGGCGCTCAAGGCAAGTGCGCCCCAGAACGGAGCCGAAGACGGCCGGCGTTGCAGCGCATAAATCAGATTGCCGATGCTGCGACGGTCATCGTTGGCTGCCGGGGGACGTCCGCCCCGACCGCGCCTGCGGGAGGCACGCTGTTCCTCGCGGGGAGGTTCGCTTTGCGTCGGCGGTTGAGGCTTGCGCTCCGGATCTGCTTCCGCAGCTGCGCTTGCTTCAGGTGCCGTTTCCTCGAAGTTAAAGGTTGCATCCGGGCCACCGAAATCGAGTTTCAGGGCTTCTTCAACTGCTGACAGTGCTGCTTCCGCCGGATCTTTAGCCTTTGTCGGATTTGCCATTTAAGATCGCCTCACGTCCGTACTCATTACACGCCGGTTTAACCCGACAGCCACCATATGCAGCTGTTTGCCGGGGTTGCCGAATGCGTCACCTTGCGGTTGCCGCTGGACTCACAGCACCACAAAACTTGTTTCCAAAGGAGGGCCGCCGCTGACCGACCGTCTTATTATTTCTAGACGGTACACTCCCCATCTTGCCGCATCAGCAACTGTAATGGCACAATCTCTCCTAACGAACAAGAAACGGCAATGGCGTGAATCACTTAGGGGGCGGTTTCAATGCCGAAATCGAAGACTTTTGACGCGGCGAAAAACAGTTCTGAAGGCGGTGATCCGGCTTCTCTCAAGATCGGCAATCTGACCGCGCCGCAAAAACGATGGCTGAAAAGAGGGCTTGGTCAGCCCGGTGGCAAGCTGCCTCTTTTTGATGAAAACGGACGCGGTATTCCAGTCAGGACAATCCGCGCCTGTGTCGATGCAGGCTGGGCAGAGCCTTGGTTTTCCAACCCAATCAAGCCCGATTGGCTGGTCTGCAAGCTGACACCTGCGGCGATTGATGTTTTGGCCGCAAGTCAAAATCGCAAAAAAAGTTAACGGCGAATCATGGTTTGGAATTCGATGCGGTTCCTCAAAATGGCGGAAAGGCAAGGTTTTTTTAAAATATGTTTTCAACGCCTCAATGAAGCGCGTTAACCAAAAATTCAATTTTTTGGGGACATCGGCCGGATCAGCGTGTGCGCGGGCCTGGTTTAACCGGGCGTTTGGGTGTTGGGCGCACTCTTAAGAGCAGTACAAGCCTGCGGCAGGGTGCCGACGGGCGAAAGTTGAGTAAGCGTGGAGCCCTCATATGGCCCCTTCATCGATGGCCCGTGTCAGCGGCCGTGCCGGTCCGCAAGCACCGATCGACTTGGTGCAACTGGCAACAAATACCCTTGGCAACAGGGATCTCGAAGTTCAGGTCCTTCATCTTTTCAAGTCGCAGTCCTGTTCGACGCTTGAACGGCTGGAGCAGGAGACAGACACGACGGTCAGGCTCGATCTCGTTCACACGTTGAAAGGGTCAGCCAGGGCTATTGGCGCCGGGCGGGTTGCCGATGTCTGCGAAAACCTGGAGGGACGATTGAGGCAAACGTCCGATGCTGCGACTGAAGGTCTGACGGCGGCCGTGGATGAAGCCAACAGCTACATCAGGGACCTGCTCACCGGCTGACCGTTTGTCACATTCCGGATAGATTGCCCGTTGAAAACGTCATGGTCCTTGACCTTTGCGATGGAAGCTTTATGTCGGTTCAGCTGAAACCCGTAATTCTAGGCTTGGACGCGACTGATGCCGAAAATCACATATGTTACTTTCGATGGAAACCAGACCGAAGTTGATGCCTCCGAAGGCACGACGGTAATGGAAAACGCCATCAAGAATATGGTTCAGGGCATCGAGGCCGAATGCGGCGGTGCCTGTGCCTGCGCTACCTGTCATGTTTATGTTGATGACGCGTGGGCGGAAAAGACAGGAACTGCCGAGCCAATGGAAGAAGATATGCTCGATTTCGCCTACGACGTGAAACCGACATCCCGTCTGTCGTGCCAGATCAAGGTTACGTCCGAGATGGACGGTCTGGTGGTTCACATTCCGGAGCGTCAAGCCTGACAGACTGTACTTCATGACGAACAAAACCGCCGAATTTCGGCGGTTTTTTTGTTTTGGACGATACGAAGGACAGTCCGCGTTCCCTTTGTGCATTTTATTGCGGCAAGTGAGGGTGCCGTTACTCTGCCGCCTGGGTGGACGGTTTGCGGAACCAGAAGTCAACTTCGCGGCCTTCCTCGGGACTGCCCGGGATGAGCGAGGCCAGGATGAGGCTTATGGCTGCCATTGCGGCCCCGGCGAGAAAGACGGCAGCCGGGGATATCAGCCAGATCAGGCCGAACAGGACAGGGATGAACACCGCTGCTATATGATTGATCGTGAAGGCGACGCCGGCTGTCGGCGCGATATCTCTTGGATCTGCAATCTTCTGAAAATAGGTCTTCATGGCGATCGCGACCGCGAAAAATGCGTGATCAATCACGTAAAGGCTTGCAGCAACCCATGGGCTTGAAACGAAGGCGTAGGCCACGAACACGCCAATAAGGCCGATATATTCAAATACCAGCGCCTTGCGTTCTCCGAAGCGGACGATCAACTGACCGATTTGCGGGGCGAGAACCATGCTGAAGACACCGTTTATCAGGAAAAGGCCCGCGATCTCGTGAACGTCGTACCCAAAGCGCTCCACCATGAGAAAACCGGCGAAAACCATGAAGATCTGGCGGCGGGCACCACCCATGAATGTCAACGCGTAGTAGAGCCAGTAGCGTTTTCGCAGGATGATCTTCTTGTGCTGAGGTATCCCCTCCCGGAAATGCGGGTAAGCCATGATCAGGAATGCAAGTACGACCAGGGTGAGCCCACCGGCAATCGCGAAAACCAGCGTGAAGGAAAGGTCAAACGTCTTCCATGCGAAGAAGATGAGCCCGTAGGCGATCAGCTGTGCGAAGGCTCCGACGGATATTATCTTGCCCATGCTGGCTGCGGCGGTTGCCTTTGGCAGCCACTGCAACGACAGCGACTGGGCCATGGTCTCGTAGTAATGGAAGCCGATCGACATGATCAGCGTCGTGACATAGAAGCCGAGCGCGGTGGGGAAATAGCCGGTCACCGCAACGCCTATGCCGAGTAGCAGCAAGGAGGCGTAGGCGAGCGTTTGCTCACGCATGACCAGAAGCAGATAAACGGCAAGAAAACTCAGGAATCCCGGAATTTCCCGGATCGATTGCTGGATGCCGATTTCCCGGCCGGTGAAATCGAGTTCCTGAACAGCAAAATTGTTCATGAGATTCCACCAGGCGGCAAACGACAGCTGCATGGCTCCTGCCATGATCATGAGCAGAACCGCGGGGGAGCGCCAGCCGGGCGCTTCATCGGGATGTGCGTTTTGAGTGAAATATGTCATTCGGTTGCCAAGGATGAGATATGCGACTGAAATTGCTGATTTGCTTCTAATCCCGAATTTGGCTTGCGTGTTAGCGCTGTTTTGTCATCAAATATCTCTGATGCGCCAAAAAATATCTATTCGCGGAACCTGAGAATGTGTCGGAGTGCCCGGTTTTTCAAACAATGATGTAAAGCTTCCTTTACAGTTCCGGCGGGCAGAGATATATGTAAAGTACGCTTTACAGTATTCGGAGGCCCGCTGCCGACATGAACCAGTTTGACAAATTGTCGTATCGTTATGTCGCAGAAACGATACTTGCGACGGCCCTGTTTGTTGCCACCAGTTATTGGGCCCGGGATTTTCTTGAAGAACAAAGGAGCCTTGCGTTTCATCTCCTGGTGTCATTTCTGGCGACTTCACCGTTAATTCTCGCGCTCTGGGCCCAAGTCAGGTATTTCCGAAGGGTCGACGAAAGAGAACGGCGCATATTTGCGTTGGCAGGAATAGTGACATTGCCTGTCGCGGTGCTTTTAGCCATTTTTCTCGCGAAGCTTGAACATGTGATCACTGTTGACCTGGATATTTACGGCTCGTTTCTCGTTGTTTTCTGGTCGGCTGCAACGGTATGGGCACGCCAGAAGATCTGATGCGTAACCATCTGAAGAAACTGCGAAATGAGCAAGGCTGGTCGCAGGCGGAACTTGCCGACAGGCTGGATGTGTCACGACAAACCGTTATCGCGCTCGAACGCGGAAAATATGACCCGAGCCTGCCATTGGCATTTCGAATAGCCAAGGTTTTCCTGTTGCCGATCGAACAGATTTTTGAACCGGATGACTAGTACCGCGGTGCTTTCGGGCACAATATGAAGCCAGGTCTTGTATCAATCGGCATGCGTGGAGGTTACATTCTTATCCATGTCCATTCATCCAGAACTTGCAGAGTTTCCGACGCAGGACGTTGCTGCGCCGATTATCGGTTATGCCAAATCGCAGCCCCGGGGTGCCTTGAATGACTGGCACGCCCACGATGCGGCGCAACTCTTTCACGTGGTGAAAGGGTCCATTGCAATTGACACCGAACACGGGACCTTCTTCGCGCCACCGGAACGCGCGGTCTGGCTACCTCCACGCGTAGCCCATCAAACGCGCTACCTGACCGACACGGATCTCAGATATGTTTACGTCCAGATCGAGCACACTCTCGATCTTCCGCAAACTCCGCAGGTGATTCAGGTTACGACCCTGCTGCGCGCGCTCATTCTGGAATTCATGTCCTTTCCGCGGGCCGATACCGAATCCGGGCCCGCCGCCCGGATCGCCGCGGTCATTCTCGATCAACTCAAGATGCTACCGGCCGCGCCCCTGCAGTTGCCGATGCCGCAGGAGGCGAAGTTGAGAGGCTTGTGCGAAGGGGTGGTCCGGTGTCCGGCACATATTCCTACACTGAACGAAGCGGCGGCAAGGTGTGCGACTTCCGTGCGCTCTTTTGAACGGCGGATAAAGGCGGAAACCGGTCTGAGCTACAGGACCTGGTGCCGGCAGGTGAAACTGTTCCGGGCGCTTGAGCTTCTCGCGTCGGGGCGCACGGTCTCCGATGTTTCGCACAAGCTGGGTTATGAGGGACCAAGCGCTTTCGTGGCGACCTTCAAGAAGGCATTCGGTGTGACGCCGGGGCGGTATTTCGGGACCGGCGAGCACGATTGATCTGCCTCATGGCGCGGCTGGTCCGAAAGTCCAAGACTTGTCATCAAACAAGCTTGGAGAAACTGCGATGTTCAAGAAAATTCTCGTTCCCGTCGATCCTGCCGAACCGGGTTTTGCAGAAGATGCACTGTCCAAGGCCGCGCAATTGGCCAGAGACTATGGCGCGAAAATCCACCTTCTGGGTGTTTGCCCGGAAGTGCAGAGCTTCGTGGCCAGTCAGCTGCCGGAAGGCTGGCAAAAGCGTGAAATCGATGAAACCACGGTCATTCTCGACAAGATCGGAGCTGATCTCGATGTGCCGACCGGCGCAGTGGATTGTAGGGTCAGGATGGGTAGTGTTTACCACGAAGTGATCGAAGAAGCTGAACAATCCGGATGCGATGCGGTTCTGATGACGTCCCACAAGCCCGGACTTTCGACCTATTTCATCGGTTCCAATGCGGCGCACATCGTGCGACATGCACCGTGTTCGGTGGTGGTTCTGCGACCTGAGTGATTGTTGCTCCGTTTCCGAATGTGAAACCTGCTTACAAAACCTGGCGCAATGATATGGTTTTGTTTCGGGAGCATGTTTGTAGTTGAGTTGCAGGTGCGGTCTTCCATTTATTTCAGAACGACTGCACCTGTGCTGAATTTTTGATTTCGAAGACGAAAATTAATCTTGAATTTTCAATTCTGATGTATTCTGAATAGAAAGAATCCAACCAGTTTGTTTTGACCTAATGTTATCTTAACGTATTTACGGGATTCTCTCCGACAAGTTGTGTGGAGTAGCCCATGTCCAAGAGTTCCGCCGTTCGTTACACGATCACAGGCAAACTTCTGACGATTGTTGCCGTGTGTATCTCGTTTGTCGTTGCCGCGTCCGGTGTCGGCATCTACCAGATCCGGAAAATCGGGCAGGAAATTGAATTCATTGCCGAGGCCGAAGTGCCGTTGACGGAGGCGATCGGACACGTCACGGCACACAGGCTGGAACAAGCCCTTTTAATAGAACGCCTGCTGCGGCAGGGCTTCTTCAAAGCAGCGGAATCGCCTGATTTCGACACCGAAAGCGAAACGCGACTGCTTTTGCTGACCGGCATGATCACGGAAGAATTTGTTGAAGCCGAGGAAGTGGCTCGTCAGGGAATTCAGCTTGCCAACACACAGGCTGAAACCGTTGAGTTCAAGAATATTTTGCAGACACTGCAGAAAATCGCTCTGGAAAATCACGACTTCACCAAAGTCACAACCCAGGCCTTGACGCAGATAAAAATCGGAAATCCCTACAAGGCCGCTCAGCAACTTTCGGAAGTCAACGAAAACCATTCCGCGCTGAACAGGGAGCTGGAAGAACTTCTTTTCAGAGTGCAGACGCTGGCCGAAACAGCGGCCAAGATGGCTTCACAACATGAACAGGATGCAATCCGCTTCACGGTCCTGATTTCCCTGGGTGCCGCGGTGTTCTCAGTTTTCCTGGCTGTCTGGCTTGGACGTCGAGCGATTGCACTTCCGTTGATCGATGTCTGCAACAGTCTGTACCGGCTTTCGAGAAACGATTTCGATGCGGACCTTCCGACGGATCGAAATGATGAGATCGGCGATATCGGAAGGGCTTTCGGGAATTTCAAGAAACATCTGATGCATGTACAGGAGCAGGAACGGCTGGAACAGGATCGGCAAGCTGCGCTCACGCGGGAAATCCGGCTTCTTTCTGAGCTGAACGAATGGCTTCAGTCCAGCAGTTCCCTCGATGAGTTGTTCGGAATGGTCAGCCAGTTCATGACCAGGTTGCTGCCGGAGTGCAGTGGCGCTGTCTATGTCTATTCAAACTCGAGAGATGTTCTTGACGGGGCCTGCGCATGGAACGGTGGTCATATTGAAAGCCACATACGGCCGAACTCCTGTTGGGGATTGCGCCGTGGCCGCACGTATGTCTATGGCGAAGGCGAAGTCAGTTTTGCCTGTGATCACGTCACGCGCGAAGAAGAGGGAAGCGTGTATCTTTGTTTGCCGATCCTGGCACATGGCGAAACCGTGGGTCTCATGCATCTGACACCGGCATCGGACACGACAAATGAGGTTTTCCTCAAAAACCGGAAACTTGCGCAAATGGCGGCCGAACAGGTGAGCCTTGCGATTGCAAACACCCGGATGCGGGATGAATTGCACAACCAGTCCGTCAGGGATCCGCTTACAGGCCTTTATAACCGCCGTCATTTCGTAGACCTATTGAGGAGCAATCTTGAAAGGTCGCGTCACAATGGCCAGCCCGTTTCGCTGGTTTCCATCGACGTCGACCACTTCAAGAAATTCAATGACAATCACGGTCATGACGCTGGCGACATGGTCTTGCGGGAAGTCGGTGATGTGCTGGAGCAGACGTGTCAGGGCGATCAGGTTCCCTGTCGCCTGGGCGGCGAGGAGTTCATGGTGCTGCTTCCGTCCAGTTCCATTGGGATGGCTGCAGAGGTCGCTGAAACGCTGCGCAAGGCAATCGAGAATGTCACGGTTCGTTACGGTGAAAAGAACCTGCCCACGATTACCATTTCCTGTGGTGTGGCCGGTTATCCGACACACGGACGCCTGCCGCAGGATCTGATGAAATCCGCAGACGACGCGCTCTATCAGTCGAAAGACGGCGGTCGCAACAGGGTGACAGTTGCAGCCAGTGAATCGGGCGAGGACTTGACGGATCTTGTCGAAATGCTGGACGACGCCAAGGAAGATGGTAGCGAACAAGTCGACGATGCAGCCTGATTTCCGGCTGGTTTCCGTCAGCCGCGCCGTGTGAGAACCATCTGCACGGCCACATACCGGAATGGATATCGAGCGGGATCCGCCTTGAGGATTTCTACCGCGCGTTTGTAAATCCGATCCACCAGATCCTGGCTACCCGGCCCGGAGGGCAGCGCATGCAGCAGGACCGCTTCGGTAAATGCGCGGAAAAAATTGACGTAATCCCTTGCAAACCGTTCGATGTCACCATCTTCCTTGTACCGCTCCACGAACGGAACCGTGATTTCGTAGTCGCGGGCATCATCAATCGTGAAAAGACCGGACGACTCAAATCGCGGATCGCTCACGGGCTCCGTCAACTCATCCAGATGGCGCATGTAGACCGGTTGATAATACCGGTCGTAGGTTTCTTTCGAGATTTCTCCGGTTTCGACAAAGGCAACGACCGCGTCGTTGAGAAGATCGTAGATGCCGTCACTCGTGCATGCTGTATCGGTCGCTCCGAAAACCTGCACCAGCAGTTTTCCACCGGGAACCAGTTCCCTGGCTCGCGCTTTCAGAAAGGCCTCCACGTCCTGTTTGGCCTGGTTCGCGAATGCACGTCTGTCTTCCGGTGAAACATACCCGTTGTTCCGCTCGGTGCTTGGACCGTTGGGGAAAATGTAACCTGGCATTTCGTCGACGGGACGCCTGGAAAGGAAGCCGATGGCGTTGAATGTTGTCGCGAGATGAACACTGCAGGCTGGGCGAAGCTGATCGTACATGGAGCCGCCGACTGCGGAGGAAAAAATCCGGTCGGTCCCGAAAACGGACTGGCCGCTCGGGCGCAGGTTCAGGAACAGGGTTGAAAAGTCGTTGGTCGGAAGATCCGAGTGAACCGTCTGCACCGGAAGCGGCGTGCGCGGCAGCAGGGTCTTGAGTGCGCGTTCCATCGCCGCAATGGAATTGCGTCCTTCCGAGCAACCATAATCCGCAAGCGTTATGACGCCGTTGTCCGGCAACGGAAGTGCCGCGACAGCCTTGTCCAGCGTGGGCAGGACCGCTGCAATGGCGTTCCATTGCGTCTGCGAGTTTTCGTCATAGAACCCGTGTCCGGTCATGCCTGTGGTCGTCGCGTGGTCGTCGGTTTGTGCCACGCGGCCATTGGAGGAAGGTTCTTGAGTGGCTTTCCCGGTCATTGCGGTTCCGTATTCCATTTATGGGCTCTAGCGCGCCAGTTCCTTCATGGCATCGGACAGGCCCTCCACTGTCATGGGGAACATGCGGCCTTCCATCAGCTCGTTCAGCATCTGGATTGAGTGCGTGTAATTCCAATGCTCGTGGCGGACCGGATTGAGCCATACCGCACTCTTGTAGAGATTGGTGACACGCTGCATCCAGTCCGCGCCCGCTTCCTCGTTCCAGTGCTCTACCGAGCCACCGGCATAGGCAATCTCGTAGGGGCTCATCGAGGCATCTCCGACAAATATGATCTTGTAGTCGGCCGGGTACTTGTGCAGCACGTCCATCGTCTCGATGCGTTCGGTGTGACGGCGACGATTTTCCTTCCAGACATATTCGTAGAGGCAATTGTGGAAGTAGAAATGCTCCATCACCTTGAATTCGGATCTGGCTGCCGAGAACAGCTCCTCGCAAACGCGGATATGATCATCCATGGACCCGCCAATGTCGAAGAAAAGCAGTACCTTGACGGCATTATGCCGCTCCGGGCGCATCTTGATGTCGAGAAGGCCCCTGTGCGCGGTCGCACGGATCGTATTGTCGAGGTCGAGTTCCTCTGCAGCCCCGGTGCGCGCAAAATTCCGCAGCCGCTTGAGTGCAACCTGGATGTTGCGGGTGCCGAGCAGCTGTGTGTCGTCGAGGTCCTTGAAATCGCGCTTGTCCCAGACCTTTACCGCACGACGATGCCGGCTTTCCTTCTGGCCGATGCGAACACCTTCCGGATTGTAGCCATAGGCACCGAAGGGAGAGGTTCCCGCCGTACCGATCCACTTGTTGCCGCCCTGATGTCGCTTTTCCTGTTCCTTCAGCCGTTCGCGGAGCGTCTCCATGAGTTTTTCAAAGCCGCCAAGAGCTTCGATCTGCGCCTTTTCCTCATCGCTCAGATGCTTTTCGGCGAGTTTGCGCAGCCATTCTTCCGGTATGTCGGTCACCGGGACGTCGCTCATGAGATCCAGGCCCTTGAACACATGACCGAAGACCCGATCGAACTTGTCGAGATTACTCTCGTCCTTCACCAGCGACAGCCGTGCGAGATAGTAGAAATCTTCGACGCTTCTTTCTGCCAGATCCTTTTCCAGCGCTTCCATAAGCGTCAGATACTCCCGGAGAGAAACCGGAATGCCGGCGGATTTCAATTCGGTGAAAAAGCTAATGAACATGGGCCGAAACTAGCGGCACGGTGGGGGACTGTCGAGACATGAAATGGCGTTGGTCCCGCGAGACGGATTGCCGGGTGTCTTTACGTTTCGCGCGGATTTTTCTCTGCCTTTTCGGCCTTTTCGGATGACGCGATCAGCTCTCCCATGAAATCCTTCACATTGGGTCCGTTGCTCTCGATAAAAGGGGAGGGCCGGCAGACGGAAATTGCCGCGATACCGATCCGGGCGGTGAGGAGACCGTTGATCACACCCTCTCCAAGACGGGCGGACAGACGCGCTGCAAGGCCGTGTCCAAGCAATTCCGATGCAAGACTGTCGCCGGCTGCCATACCGCCGGTGATCGCAAGATGCGCAAGAACGTGCCTGGAGAGCCTCAAAAACCCAAGTGTTCCCGGACGCCCGCCATAGAGGGTCGACAGGCGACGGATAATTCTCAGGTTTTCAAACAGGACCACGAGCAGGTCGACCAGGGCGCGGGGACTGACCGCAGTGACGACAGACACGCGCTTGGCGCTGTTCATGACGATCTTGCGCGCTTCCTGGTCAAGTGGCGCCAAAAGGTCGCGTTCGGCGAGTTTGACCAGATCGCGCCCGTCTATGACCTCTCTCATATGTCCGGCAAGCGCCTTGCGGCCCTGGGCCGTTTCCGGACGATCGCGATAAAGGTCCAGAAGTTCTTTCAGACCGGTTGTCGCTTTTCTCGCGTCGTCTTCGTCCGCTGCATCTTGTAGCCGGTCTCTCAGATGGTCGATCCGGCCAAGGCGCATCAGGCCCCCGACTTCCCGTATCACCAGTCCCAACAATCCGAGAGCTGCGATTGCTGCAAGCGCGACGCCCAGCCAGCCGAGCCAGTCGGTGCGCGCAAAAAGATCCCGGATCAGGCTGTCAACGGCGAGACCGACAGCAAGCGACACCAGTCCGCTCAGCCCGATCATCAGCCATTTGCCGAATCTGAAACCGCTTTTCGGAGTACTGGCATTGCGCGGCAACCTGGGCTCGTCATCGTCGAGAATCGCCTGGGTGACGATGGCCTCGTCGGCGACCGGCATCCGGACGTCGTCGTCAGACAGATGAACCTTTGTGTCATCCAGTCGAAAGGCGGCCGGCTTGCGGCCTTCGGAAGGCTTGTTTCCGCTCATGCCAATCGGTCTCCAATCAGAAATTCAAGCGCCCGGTCGAGGCGTATATGCGGCAGGGACAGCGTAAGGCCCTCAGCCGTGGTATCGAGTTCAGGAGGGCGGAAACGCAAGAACTGGAGGCTGGATTTTCCCCGGCGGATTTTGGGTCCGGTTACTTCAGAAAACGATTCAGCTTGCCGAAACAATGATTCAGGATTGAGAGGCAAGTCCCCGGGAAACATGGCGATTTCGGTTTTTCCGTCATAGCGTTCACCATTCAGCTGCTCGCCCGGCAACGGTGTTCCGAGAATTGCAGGAAGTTCTTCGCCCCTGTGCTTCACCATTGCCTCACGGGTCGCGCGAACAGCGGCCATCGCAAGAACATCGACCTGCGCACCCCTGAACCGCGCCCGCTCCTCGGCCCGGGTCACAAGCCGCTTCAGGATGGCCTCCAGCCGGTCATGATCCGCGCTGTGCAGGTGGTCCGCCTTGGTTGCCGCAAACAGGATGCGGTCGATCCGCCGGCTGAGAATTGAGGACAGCCAACTGCGTTTTCCCGGACGGAATGCGCCAAGAACCTCACTCAGGGCAACTTCCAGATCCGCGATTGCATGAGGCCCGGCATTCAGGGCATGCAGAACATCGACAAGAACGATCTGGCGGTCGAGCCTTGCAAAGTGATTGCGGAAAAACGGCCGCACGACATGTGTCTTGTAAGCCTCGTAGCGGCGCTCCATCATTGCGCGCAACGTGCCGGAACGGGCCGGAGCAGCATCGACGGGAATGTCCAGTGGCGCAAAGGTCAGGGCCGGGGAGCCATCCAGATCACCCGGCATCAGAAACCTGCCCGGTGGCAGCATCGACAGTGCATGAGCGTCGGCGCGGCAGGTTGCAAGATAGTCCTTGAAGCGGAGCGCAAGCTCCTGTGCTGCCGGTTCGTTTTCGTCAGACTGCGGATCGGTTTCAGCGAGAACTTTCAGGAATGGCTCGGCGATCTGCGCCCGGTTTTCAGCACGGGCCCGCTCGAGAGCCTCGGCGGAAAAGGTCGCGAAGTCCTTGCCCAGCAACGGGAGGTCCAGCAGCCATTCGCCGGGATAGTCGATCAGATCGACATGAAGCCGGCCAGGTCCGAGTTTTCGGTAAAAATAGGATGCGCTCTCATAGTCGATTGTCAGCCGGAGTTCCGACACTTGCCGGGTGGAATCGGGCCAGATGCGTCCCTTCACCAGGGCGCTCACGTGAGCTTCATAGTCAAAGCGCGGCACCGCGTCGTCAGGCTGGGGCTGCAAATGCGCCGAGGTCATCCGCCGGCCGGCAGATGCGCTGAACAGCGGCAGGCGGCCGCCATGAACCAGATTGTGCACCAGGGCCGTCAGGAAGACGGTCTTGCCGGATCTCGCAAGACCCGTCACGCCCAGCCGCAGGCTTGGAACCGTCAGACCCGTTGCGGCATCTGCAAGGTTGGCCAATGTCAGCCGGGTTTCTTCCGTCAGTGTAGTCAATGGATTCAAGAGCGCCTCCAGGGCGTTCATGTAGGCGAGCAGGACGCAGAGTGCAATTGCTGATCAGATGGTGGAAAAGATAGAGGCCGCTCGCAGCGAACTGCAATCCATTGGTTTTTGTCCCGCGAACTCGAATTCGACGGGTTGATAAGATCGGAATCATGGCCGATCGTAGAACGGGTTTCCGATCGGGGGGACATCGGAACCGGATGCCATTCAATGCATCGACCTTGAGCCCATTGGGCTCAGAAGAGATCGTCGGTGAAGTTGAAGGTCTCACCGAGTGGGGAGGTGTCGAGAACCACCCTGTGGGAGACCTCAAGGCTGCCGAGACGGGCATTCTTCGCGAAATCCGCGATGCCCAAAGCACTCTCGCCGCCATAGACAACGTAGCTGGACCCCTTCAATGCGTCGGATCCATAGTATCCGTAGTATCCGGCGATCGAGAAGTCGGCGAACCCGTCGCCATTTGTGTCGCCGAGGGCCTTGATGTCGCCAAAGGCATCATCCGTCAGTCCGAAGTCCTTCAAGTTCAGACTTTGCAGGGCAACGTCGGGGCCGCCAAAGACCAGTATCGCTTCTCCCGGCATCCCTGGGCCGTAATAGCCGCCGCACGCAACCGTGAAATCCTCGAACCCGTCGCCGTTGATGTCGCCTAGTGCGGTCGCACCGTGGAGCGGTTCCTTGCTTCCGACAAAGTCATTCAGGTTGGCGACTTCGCGCGTGCCATCGGGATTTCCGAAAAGCACGAGCACATCTTCCACTTCCTGGCCGTAGTAGCCTCCATAATAACCGCCATAGTAGCCTGCGGTGCCGATGCCGATATCGGTCAAACCGTCTCCATTGATGTCTCCCAAGTCGAAAACATCAATTGCGGTTTTCTCACGTCCAGCCAAACTGCCGAGACTGACCGGGGTTTCGTCGCCGCCGAGAAACAGGAAAACGTCCCTGATGCCAGAGCCGTAGTATCCATAGTAGCCGCCAAGTTCTGCAGCGAAATCCGACAGCCCGTCACCGTTGATGTCCCCTATCGCGTCGACACCAACGACCTTTGCCTTAATGTCGACGAGGCCGGTCAGGCTCTGTTTCTCCTTGTAGCCGTCTTCGCTGCCGAAAAGCACGAAAACATCTTCCGTAACCTGACCGTAGTAGGAAATCTCGTCCGGATCCCTGCCGTAGTAGCCGTAATAGCTTCCGACGGTCGCAGCCAAATCCACGAAGCCGTCGCCGTTGATGTCACCAAGCGCGTTCACGTCGAGAACACTGCTTGTGAACCCGAGGGCGCCGAGACTGATCGGCGCAAGTCCGGATTTGCCACCTAAAATGACGTAGGTGTCGTCGATCGCCTTGCCATAGTAGCCTGCTTCCGCCCCACGGCCGTAGTAACTGCCCACGCTGGCGGCCATGTCATCGATGCCGTCACCGTTGATGTCACCGAGCGACTTCAAGTTCAGCACCTTGCCGTCAATTCCGTCCAGGTTGCCAACGCTCGTTGCCGGTTGCCGCGATCCGCCAAACGTTATGTAGACGTCATCGACGAGCTTGCCGTAGTAGCCGACCGGACCGGCATCCGGTCCTCCAATACCGTAGTATGCGCCACCGCCTACAAATGTGGCGAAATCGTCGAAGCCGTCGCCATTGATATCGCCCAGTGCACGCGTTTCAATCACAGGTCCTTTGACACCGGTCGTCCGCTCCAGGTCTCTGACCTTCGGACCGTCATCACCGCTGAGCACGACCAGGTTCTTTTCGATTTCCCGCGACCAACTGAAAGAATGTCCAAAAAACCCCTTGAAGGTGTATTCAATGTTTTTTGAAAGGGAGAGGGAATAGTCGGTTTGACCGTCGCCGTTGATGTCGCCAAGCGCGATCAGTTCGACATCCGCTTCGGTCAGATCACGTTCCAGGCGCCTGTAGAACCATTTCCAAAAGAAACCGCATCCGTCAAAGTTGTTAAAGTCAAAAGACTTGCGAAATCCCCGAGCCATCGAAATTCCCCCTGAAAACCAACGTGGGAAAGAAAAAATGTTTAGTTAATGACGTTACGTTAGCACTGATCGTCAATTTCACCAATACCTGATTATGGCTGCACTGACATGGACCGTTTTCTAAAGCAAAGAAGTGACCTGCTCAGCGGCGTGCCGGCCAGTGCGAATGGCATCATTGGCCGTCCACCTGACAGAAAACTCTTCAGCTGCCTTGGCAACTTTCTCAGACGAGCGCACCAGATCAATGGCGCCGATCAACTGGTCCGGAGAGGCTTTTCCGACCAGTCCCAAGCCCAGATGGCTTCGTGAGAACGAATGAGCCATCATCGTCTGTTCCGTGTGGTTCGGCAATCCGATCTGAGGCACACCGTGTATGGCGAAATTGGCCGCCATGTTCGCAGAGGCATGGCTGATGCCAAGATTGCAGCTGGCCAGTAACGGTTCCACGTTCACAGGACCTGTAAAGAGGCGCAGCGATGTGCTCTTGAGGCGGTCCGGCAGGTTGGCGGGAGCGCCCGGTGCCGCCAGCACGATATCCGTCTTTGCCGGCAGGGACGCAAGTGCCTTGATTGCGGTTTCGAACCTCGGATTGCCCGGACGGAGATACGCAAAGATGCGGTACTCCGCATCCGGTCGCCAGGCGACCTCCTCGCCGAATGGAAGGCCGGCAACAGGCCCCAGATAGGGGGTGTGGTCCGGTTCTATTGCGGCGCGATCACCGTAGTGATCGAGTTCGGGAACAGTGACCAACACATAACCGTCCGTGTCCAGCAGTTCGCGAAATGTCGCAAGGCCGGAATGCCCCCGCTGCTTCAGAGCGGCGTTTGCAACGGTCAAGACAGCGGCCTCGCGTCTCAGCAACTCTTCCCGGTCGCTCGGCTCCCAGTGCATGAAGGCCGGCATTGGTGTGGCTCTTGGCGGCAGATCATACCCACCACCGATCACGACCCTTGGAATGTCGAGGACACGTGCGGCAAGAAGTGCGGTCGGTGCGGCCTGGGCAAGAAGAATGTCGGCATTGACCTCCCGAAGCAGGACTTCCCAGCATTCCAGATAGGCCGAAAGGACGTTGATATCGTTCCAGCCGACAAATCGCAGGACATCCGGGTAATTCAGGCCAACAGCTTCTTTTCTGGTGACCTTGATGTCCGGCGCAAAGGGGGCGGCCAACACCTGAATGCGTGGGTCGGGGATCTGTGCTCGAAACGAAACCGGATCGCGAACGGCAGCAAGAATGTCTATTTCTTCCGGAATCCAGGGCAGCAATTGAGAAATCATTGCCGCGTGACCGTAATTTGCGCCAACTTCCCAACAGATGAGCATTCGCTTGCGAGCGGTCATGAGGCGGCGCCGTTATGCCGCTCAAGATCAAAGGGAGCCGGACGGATCACGAACCGCAAGTCCGGCTGCACAAAGCCGTGGACCATCGGTCTGCGAATACCGTTCAGAAGGGCGACGTCGTAGAGTTCGCTCACAAGACCCTCGAAGACGAGCCTGTGTTCTATTTCGCCTGAGGTCAGGTTGACGATCGCTATATGGCAGAGCGGGTCGAGACCCGCCTCCGCAAGGGTGTCGGAAAGAGCCAACCCGCCGAAATGCCTTTCATCCCTTGGTTTCGAGACACCTATGACTGCATGGTTGCCGACAAGGCTCAATCCCCTGGCAAATCCCTGGAGCCGGCAAATGGGTGTGAAGCGGCCGCTCGCCAGGTCGAGTGTGCCGAATTCACCGGTCCCGGACTGGATGAGATAACATCGGCCGTCCTTGAGACGAGGGGAGTGCGGCATTGAAAATCCGCCCGCGATGATCTCGTTCGTTTCGACGTCGATCACAATCCCGCCGTCGCGTCGGTGGTCTCGCCATTCACCGCCGGAATTTGTGGCGGCAACACAGGTAACAAGTTTCGGCGTGTCGCCATCGACCGCCATTCCGTTCAGATGGCAACGGTCCTCCGCTACCATCGCGTCAATGAACCGGGGCATCCACAGCGGTGCAAAACTGTTGTCCGCGTCCAGCGTGGCGATACAGTTGAACCGGGAAACGACGAAGAGAGGCGGTTGGTCTGGTCTCGGGTGAATGTCGTGGATGTCGACTTCACCCACCGTGCGGCCTTCAATGGGTACATAGACCGCGTCATAGTCAGTCTGCGCGCGTTCCCTGGACAGAAAATCCTCGAAGCGCCACAGTTGAAACTGCGATGCGAGCCAGAGCTGCCGTGCATCGGCGGACGCAGCCAGGCCCATGGCACGTGCGAATGTCCGTTCGAAAATCGAGATGCGGCCGGTTTCGGAATTGTTGCCGATCAGGAAGATTTTTGCTGCCTGGTAAGTTGATATGGCCAGCGACAGGTCGTGACTTTCCAGCCAGGACGAGAAACCGGGAGATGCCTCCAGCTTGAGTTGCCCTTCGACACTTGCCAATTCTATCTGCCTGTTCCGTTGGCCGTGCAGGCCGTTGATCGCACGGGTTCATGTTGGGCAGTTCGATTTCATATGTCCATAGGCAGGGCAAAACTCCATGTTCTGTCAGAGCGATCCGGGGAGTCATGAAGGGAAGCGGGTGCGCTGATTGACACACCGGATGCATTGATCAGGTATTGCGATTATTTATATCGAATTCCATTTTTAGTATTTGAATGAAATATCAATATCTTTTCTTCTGAACCGGTCGATCATGGGTTCTCCGGGAGCCCAAGCATATGTTTGCGGCAAGCTTTTGCCGTTGATGGAGGAAAAAGTGTCCAGATTAGCCGCGTTTAACTTCCAGAAATGGATCGATGAACACAAACACCTGCTGAAACCGCCTGTTGGGAACCAACAGATCTGGAAGGACGCGGACCTGATGGTCACCGTTGTCGGAGGGCCCAACAAACGGACCGACTATCACGATGATCCGGTTGAGGAATTCTTTTATCAGCTCAAGGGTGACATGGTTCTGAAGCTTTACGACGGTACCGATTTTTATGACGTGCCGATCCGGGAGGGCGAAATTTTCCTGTTGCCGGCACATGTCCGACACTCTCCGCAAAGGCCGCAGGAAGGGTCCATCGGTCTGGTCATCGAACCGGCAAGGCCTGACGGCGCGCTTGATGCCATCGAATGGTATTGCTTCGAGTGTCAGCACCTGGTTCATCGCGCTGAACTGGATCTGGAATCGATCGTGGATGACCTGCCGCCGGTCTACAATTCGTTTTATGCCTCCGAGGAAGACCGGACCTGTCCGAATTGCGGTTCCGTTCATCCCGGAAAAGAGCCGCCTGAAGGCTGGGTCAAGATTTAAGCAGAACAAGCCAATTGTGATCGCGAGCCGGAACGGCGCGATCCGAAAAGAGGGGAATTCCAATGGGTTTCACAAAAACCATCACCAGGCTGGCACCGGTTGCATTCGCGGCTCTGGCTCTGACAACCGGACCGGTCCTTGCCAAGGAATTCCGGATTGGCCTGATCACGCCACCGCCGCATATCTGGACCGTCGCGGCTGGTGAGTTCGGCAAGGAACTGAACGAGGCATCGGGCGGAGAACACTCGGTGACCGTTTTCCCGTCCAGGCAGTTGGGCAACGAAGCGCAGATGATGCAGCAGTTGCAGACCGGTGCACTGGATATGGCCTTCCTGACCATTGCGGAAGTTTCCAACAGGGTTCCCGATTTTGGCGCGCTCTATGCGCCTTACATGGCAGAAGACATTGGCCACGCCGGGCGTATCCTGAGATCCGACACTGCCAAGGAATTGTTGGATACCCTGCCACAAAAGGCTGGTGTCGTCGGGCTTGGTTATGGAATGGCCGGGCTTCGTCAGATCGTGAGCCGCGATCCGATCGAAAGCGCGGATGACCTGTCGGGCAAGAAGTTGCGGATTACACCCTTTGAGCCGATCAAGGATTTCTACAATTCGGTTGGTGCCGCGCCGACACCAATGCCATTGCCTGCAGTCTACGATGCGCTGGCGAATGGTCAGGTAGATGCGATCGACATGGATGCTGAACTCATCTGGAAACTGAAATATTATGAACACGCGGATACGATCCTCGTATCCAACCACATGATGTTTCCTATGGTCGGCCTGGTTTCGGCCAAGGTCTGGAAAGACCTGTCCAAGGAAGACAGGGAAATGATCTCGTCCATCATGGCAAAGCATCTGGATGGTGTGATCGATACCTATGTCGAAAAGGAAGCGGGCTGGCTGAAGGACGTTGAAGGCACCGGCAAGACCTACAAGGTCGTCGATGCGAGTTTCTTTGAGTCTGCCATCGGCGACTGGGAAAGCACCTGGTCGGAGAAGGCCCCGGCGCTGTCGGATCTCAAGAAAGTCGCCGAAGACACGAAGTAACCGGTCATGCTATTGAAACTGGCCCTTGTCGAGGGCCGGTTTTTTAGGACGTTTTGAATGTTACATCGGTTTTCCGCGCGATGGGCGCAGTGCGAAGTCGGACTTGCTGCGTTCTGTGCGATGCTCGTCACACTCCTCATTCTTGTCAATGTGGTTACGCGGGCGGCAAACAGCGCGATATTCTGGATCGACGAAGCCGCCATCTACACAATGATCTGGATGACCTTTCTGGCGGCGTCTGCAGCCATTCACTACAAATCAAGCGTCAGTGTAAGCATTCTGATCGATCTGCTGCCCCGCAAGGGTCTTGCAGTCGCTCAACTCGGGGTCGACCTGATCATTCTGGTATTTGCAGTGCTGATTGTCTGGTGCTGCTGGATCTGGTTCGATCCCGCCGCGCTCTGGGAAAGTGGATTCGACACGGAGGTCTTTCAGGGGGAAACCTTCAATTTCATCTATGCGGAACCGACAAACACACTCGGCTTCGGCAAGGCCTGGATCTGGACAATCATGCCAATATTCGCCGCGGGCCTCGTCCTTCACGCCATTTCCAATGTGATCGGCACGCTCACCGGGCTCCTTACGAACAAGAGTATCGGGAGAAATCATCCGTGACCGGTGTCGTCTTCCTGCTGCTTCTGTTCGGTGCGGTTCCGATCAGTATCGTGTTGGCACTTTCAGCAGCGTGGTACATCCAGGCGAGCGGCAATACAGTCCTGTTTTCTTCATTCGCACAACAGATGTTTTCGGGGATCGAAAACTACGGATTGCTGGCGATTCCGCTGTTCATGCTGACAGGCGAATTGATGAACGAAGGCGGCCTCACCAGTCGGCTGGTGCAGGCTGCACGGGTTTTTGTCGGAGGTTTTCGTGGAGGGCTCGCCTACATCAACCTGCTGGCCAACATGTTCATGGCGGCGATCATCGGGTCTGCGGCCTCCCAGATCGCCGTGATGTCCCGCGCCATGGTTCCGGCAATGGAGAAAGAAGGATACAGCCGGGATTTCGCCGCCGCGACCACCGCAGCCGGAGGCCTGCTGTCACCGATCATTCCTCCCTCCATGTTGTTCGTTATCTATGGTGTTCTGGCGCAAATCCCGATTGGCGACATGTTTCTGGCAGGCATCATTCCGGGACTGCTGCTGTCGGCGGCTTTTTTCGTGATCGTAGCGCTGATTGGCCTGTCCCAGGAGTTTCCGAAGGGAAGCTGGATGAGCGCACAAGAAGCAATCAGCGCGTTGCGCGACTGCCTGCCGGCAGCGTTGATCCCGTTTGCGATCGTCGGTGGTATCCTGTTCGGCATTGCCACGCCGACTGAATCGGCCGCGGTCGCCTCGTTTGTCGCCTTTGCCATCGGGACGCTTGTCTACAGGGATCTGAAACTCGCCCGTCTTGGCGAGATCTTCATCAGGACCGCCAAGAATTCCAGCCTCGTCATCTTCCTGATTGCCACGGCAAACGTGTTCGGCTGGGTCATCATCTACGAGGCGATCCCTCAAAAACTGGCGGCGCAGATCACGACCATTACCTCCGACCCCTTTGTTTTCCTGCTGATCGTCAATTGTGCGCTTTTCTTCATCGGTATGGTGCTGGACGGTATTGCGGCGCTTATCCTGATCGCACCGATCCTGCTACCGATCGCTCAGAACAACTATGACATCGACCCATTCCAGTTCGGAGTGATCATCTGTCTCAACCTGGTGCTTGGTCTTCTGACACCGCCCGTCGGAGCGGGTCTTTACATCACGTCCGCAATGACTGGCTCCAAGCCAATGTCCATTTTCAGGCAGCTTTATCCCTTCCTGGCGGCAGTCGCCTTGATCCTGGTTCTCCTGAGCTGGTTTCCAAGTCTGACGACTGCGTTGCTCTGATATCAATTTGCAATTTCATTGTGATTGCCGGAATTTCTCAGAGCGGAATTGCCGTTCGTTTTAAGTCAATAAAAACAACATATTGACGCGATAGCGTGCACCAGGTTCTGGTATTCAATTATGCTATAACAGGATCATTTCATATGAATTGATGTGATGGTGCCCGCCTTGTTAGTCATTTTGGAAAGATGGCCGAATGAGACAAGACAGACCATGAGCACCTATCCTGATCTCCACCTTTATATCGACGGGCAGTTCCGGAAAACCACGGCAACGCTTCCGGTCGTCAATCCGGCGAATGAACAGGTGATTGGTGATCTGCCAATTGCGGATCAAAGAGATCTGGACGATGCACTGGAAGCCGCGGGGCGCGGTTTCAGGGTGTGGAGCCGTACGTCACCTCGAGATCGCAGCGACATCATTTTGAAAGCCGCCCGACTGTTGCGCGAACGGATGAACGATGTTGCCTTTTCGATCACCTGCGAGCATGGAAAACCCTACAGGCAAGGTCAGTTGGAGGTTGTTCGGGGCAGCGAGTTCTTCGAGTGGGATGCAGGAGAATGCCAGCGTCTTTACGGACGGGCGATCCCGGGGGCACCGGGGCTGCGGCACACGGTCCTTCGGCAACCGATCGGAACCGTGGCAGCGTTTGCGCCCTGGAATTTCCCGATGAGCCAGCCAGCCCGGAAAGTCGCGGGAGCCCTTGCCGCCGGGTGCTCGGTTATCCTCAAGGCGGCTGAAGAAACGCCGGCAGGAGCCTTGCATATCGCTCGTGCCTTTCATGATGCAGGGTTACCGGCCGGAGTGCTCAATCTGGTTTTCGGTACTCCTTCGGAGATCTCGTCCTATCTGATCCCGCAAGACCAGATCCGGCTGGTTGCCTTCACGGGTTCCACCGTCGTCGGACGTCAATTGACGGGGCTGGCGTCCGATCACATGACACCCGTGCTGATGGAACTGGGTGGCCATGCGCCGGTTATCGTATGCGATGACGTTGACCCCGAAGAGGTCGGCGGGATCTGTGCCAGTCGCAAGTATCGCAATGCGGGTCAGGTATGTACGTCGCCGACCCGATTTTATGTCGGTGAGACGCAATTCGAGACATTTGCACAAAGCTTCGTTGCAAGTGCAGATGCCATTGTTGTCGGCGATGGACTGAACGAGAAGACCCAAATGGGACCGGTTGCCAACGAGCGCCGGCTTGCGGCGATGTCGGAACTGGTTGAGGATGCAGTTTCCAACGGTGCAGAGCTCAGAACCGGTGGGCACAGGATCGGCAACAAGGGCTACTTTTTCGAGCCCACAGTCCTTGCCAATGTACCAGACAAGGCGCGGATCATGAGCGAAGAGCCTTTCGGTCCGATTGCGATTATCAATCCGGTGTCCTCACTGGAAGAGGGAATCGCACAGGCAAACCGATTGCCTTTTGGCCTTGCTGCCTATGGCTTTACCCACTCGGCTGCAAATGTCGAACAGCTGGTGGACGGTGTGGAGACAGGCAATCTGTCGATCAACACGCTTGAGGCGTCACTGCCCGAGACGCCTTTCGGCGGAGTGAAGTCGAGCGGCTACGGCCGTGAAGGCGGGGAGGAAGGCCTGCACCATTATACGGTGGTGAAAAACGTTTCCCACAAGATCGCCATCGGTTGACAAGAAGCTTCGTACCGTCTTTACCGCATCGCTCCGGCGGCCTGATGCAATGCGTCCAGGAAAGCCTGGCAAACGGGTGATGGATGTCCTTCCTGGCGATAGGAGACACCGACCGGACCTGTTCCGAAAGGCACATTCCAGTCGATGGCCTTCAGACATTCCAGGTCGATATCCTGTGCCGGCACGTGGGCAGGCATGAGGCCGATCAGATTTTGGGACTGCATCAGGGCGCGGTTTGTCAGGTAAGAAACGGATTCAAACACCATTGGCGGAACATAAAGATCCCGTTCGATGAAAAACTGGTCGAGTTGCCGGCGCAAGCTCGTTTCCACCAGCGGCATGATCCAGCCGTAGGGCTTCAGCTGCTCGAAGGAGAGGTCAGGCTGATCGGCAAGCGGGTGATTTGGACCTGTCACTGCCAGGATCCTTTCGTCGTAAAGCTTCTCCTGGACGATCTCACTGCGATGCCGGTGTGTCGGCAGGCGCCCGACGACGAGGTCGATTTCTCCTGATCGCAGCGCCGGCATGAGAATCTCATTGGTTCCTTCGACGACCTTGATGGCTACGTTGGGACGTTCGCGCATAACCTTTTCGATGGCCAGCGGCAGGAGTTGGGGAGAGGCTGCAAGAAGGGTTCCGATGACCACGCGGCCACTGCTTCCCTCGTTCAGGTCATCGAGTTCCTGAGCCGCATTGGAAACTTGAGCGAAAATCAGCTTACCGTGCCGTATCAGGGCTTCACCAAAAGGGGTGGGGACAACGCCCCTGTTGGTGCGGTCGAAGAGCTGAACCTCGAAATCGAGTTCGAGATCCTTGATCATCTTCGTGGCGGCAGGCTGCGAAACGTTCAGCTCACGCGCTGCGTTCTGGATGTTTTTGTGTTTGCCGACCGCGACCAGCAGGCGTAGCTGCTTGAGTTTCAGGCGTGTGAGCACACGCTCGACAATTCGGATGTGCCGTGCGGCCATGTCAGTTTCCCAGCGCGCTTTTGCAAAGGTCGAATGAGTCAATTCATACGGGGGTTGACCTAGAAAACCAATCTTCCGGTCTGTTGTTCCAGCGAACTGATCACGCTCATGGCGGCAAGGGCGGCACTTCTGGGGTTGTCGGCCAGGGTATGTCCCGATATCTGGAAGCGAAACTCACCAAACTCTCCCTCGGCGAAAATCTCGTGAACGTTTTGGGAAAGGTTCGGGTCAGCAATCAGCTCGACTTCGGTCCTGTCGAAACCGACACCCGAAAGAGCGACCGCGGCTGCCACATTTGCATTTTTGGGATATTCAATCGCTGCTGCACGGGCCGATCCCTTGAAGTGTGTCCGGGCTTCACCCTGAAGGGCGTTGAGGTCGAGCTTTGTCCCGGCAGGAGATCCCAGCCAGCCTTCGGGCGGTTTGCAGCCGGTATATCGCACGCAATCGAGGCGCCCGACACGAGCTGCCCGCAGACAATCCAGCGCGCCGATGGCGCCACTGGCAAGATGCAGGCAGCTCTCACCTTCCTGTGCAGCCTCTTTCAACGTTCCAGACAGTTTCTCGTCTGCGAGCGCGCCGATCGACACTGTCGTCAAATCACGATGGGAGCGGAGAACCTGCGGGCCGTAGTCGCGCAGTCCGGTATGACCGGCGCAGTCAATGACGTGTTCAATTTCCTCAGGCAATTCATCGACTGAGCCAACAATTTCAAGCAGCTGTCCTTCAGCTGCAACATCACTCACCCTGTCTGCACGCAAGAGAAGCGCTGCGACGTGATGGCCGCGTGTGGTCAATTGTTGTTTGACATAATGGGCGATTGCGCCGTTGCCGATCAGGGCGATTTTCATTTGGACCTCGAATTTGACCAAAAAATACCTGCAGAGATCCTCTCATTGATATCCATTCTGGTTATACCGGCATGCGTTCTTTGGATTTGGATTTTGTATGCGGTTTTGCTCCTATCGCGCCGAAGCCTGCCCGTCACCGGGCGCAGAGCGATCAGGATCCCGTTCCATGAAATATTCAAAACACGACGCCAAGGCCTACGCAAAAGAGTACATGCGTGGAATCTGGGCGGCAGCACTAAATCCTTTCAAGGAAGATCTTTCATTTGATGACGCCGGACTACGTTCCAACATTCGCCACTGGATCGACGATCTTGACATTCAGGGGCTGTTCATAGCGGGAAAGCAAGGCGAATTCTTTTCCATGACACTGGAAGAGCGCAAGCGGAACTTCGAAATTGCCGTGGATGAATGTGGTGGCAAGGCCGGCACGATCATGTCCGTGTCCGATCAGAATCTGGAGACCGTGCTTGAGCTGGCGCAACATGCGCAGGACTGTGGTGCCGACTATATCGTTGTTCACGCACCGGTTCTGAGTTTCGTTCATGATCGCGGCGAAGTACTTTACCAGTACTACAAGGCAATCTGCGACAAGGTAGACATCGGTATCGCCATGTGGAGCCACCCGGACTCCGGGTATCTGATGCAGCCGGAGGAGTGTGCGAGGATTGCAGAGCTGCCGAACATTGTCGCCATCAAGTACTCCGTACCGCGAGACATGTATGTCCGGTTGACTGAAATGGTCGGTGACAGGATCCACGTTTCAACGGCCTCGGAGGAGGAATGGCTGGACAATGTCGAGCAGCTTGGATGGAAGCTATATCTGTGTTCCTCGCCGCCGTACCAGCTGCAGACGCGTTTTGACAGACGCATGAACGATTATACGAAGCTGGCCTTTGAGGGCCGTTATGCGGAAGCCCGCAAGGTTCGTGACAGTCTGGATCCCGTGCGTGATGCCATGAAACTTTCCCGTCCTGCGGACAAACCCCAGGCATTCGGCAAATACTGGCTGGAGCTGCTCGGACAGGTTGGCGGACGCGTCAGGCGTCCGATGCTGGAATTGAGCGACGCGGAAAAGTCAGCTGTCAAAACCGCGTTCGAGGGCTGCGGTCTCAAGCTGTGAGATTTTCATCAATCACCGAGTGCTCCTGCGAGCACACGAGCCAACCACAAATCCGGGCGACGGTTGGTTCATCATGGTCTCCACGCGTGATTGGGGGATTGACCCCATACTGAGCTGCCCGACGCATACTTAGTTTTCTGACAACGGAAACGCTGTCAGGAGCTAAAAGATGACCAGCAGGCAACTTGATAAGAAGATTACCTTCGCCATGCTCGGCGAAGCGACCGCCCTCATGGCGGAAAGTCCACTTCACAAGGACCGGAGCATCTCCGACATCGGAGGACTGATCCTGCCGCCCCTGATGCTCGGTCAGCTTCGCATCTGGCGCCGCGGCGGGTTGCCCGTCGCGCTGGCGACCTGGGCCTGGCTCGATGAGGCGACCGAAAACGCCGTCCTTCACCAGGACCATCTACCGGATCCCGACCAGTGGAACAGCGGGGACAACCCGGTTGTCATAGATTTCATCGCACCTTTCGGCGACGGTTTTCAAACCGCCCGTGATCTCAAGCGGACCATTTTCCCTGACCGCGCCCTGCGGTCGGTCCGGCGCGATGGAAAGGGCCATGTCTTGCGCATTGTCCAACACCCCGGACGCGACCATCTCGGCCGTCCCGTAAAGGCTCGCGCCTACGCGTCGTAATTCATTTTTCTCGATTATAAGGAACATTCGTTATGGGTTCTTCATCCAAAAGCATTCATCAGACCTACAAGCTTTATGGCCTCTACGGCACAAAGGATGCCGGTTCAGGCAACGACAAGCTGTACGGCTATTCGGCAATCAAGAACGATCTGCGCGGCGGGTCAGGGAACGACTTCGTCGGTGGCTGGGCGCCTCTCAATTATCTGCGAGGCGGTTCCGGCAACGATACGGTCAAAGCCTATGGTGCGAAGAATTACCTGTGGGGCGACAGTGGCACGGACAAGCTCTACGGCTATGGCGCTTACAACGCAATGTATGGCGGTACCGGTAATGACACGCTTTACGGCTACGGTGCCAAAAACGTCATGCGCGGCGACAGTGGTTACGACACGCTCTATGGCTACGGTGCCTACAATGATATGGATGGCGGCAGCTACAGCGACAAGCTCTACGGCTACGGTGTCACCAACAAGATGAAGGGTGGCTCCGGCCATGACAGCCTCTATGGCTATGGCGCATCCAATTCCATGTATGGCGGAACCGGCAACGATACACTGAAAGGTTATGGTGCCTCGAACGTCATGCGCGGTGATGACGGCGACGACACTCTGGAAGGCCGGGGCGCGTCCAATGTCATGTATGGCGGAGACGACCAGGACACCCTGAAGGGCTATGGCGCGTCGAATGTCATGAATGGCGACAGCGGCAACGACAAATTGTATGGCTATGGTGCTTCCAACGTCATGCGCGGTGGAACCGGTAACGACCATATGGAAGGTCACGGGCTGTCCAATGTCATGTACGGCGACAGCGGCGATGACACCATGGAAGGTCGCGGTGCCTCCAACGTCATGCATGGTGGCACAGGCAACGACACGATGAACGGCCACGGCGCGTCGAATGTCATGAACGGCGACAGCGGCAACGACAAATTGTATGGCTATGGTGCCTCCAACGTCATGCGCGGTGGAACCGGTAACGACCATATGGAAGGTCACGGGCTGTCCAATGTCATGTACGGCGACAGCGGCGATGACACCATGGAAGGTCGCGGTGCCTCCAACGTCCTGCATGGTGGCACAGGCAACGACACGATGACCGGCATCGGCGCGTCGAATGTCATGTATGGCAATGATGGCGTTGACCGAATGGAAGGCCGTGGCGCATCAAACGTCATGCGTGGTGGCGACGACAATGACGCCATTTACGGCTTTGGCGCAAACAATGTCATTCATGGCGAGCACGGCGACGACTTCATCGAAGCCAAGGCCGGCGTAACGACGGCATTTGGCGGCGATGGCAACGACACCATCATGGCCGCCGGTGGGGTCAATGTCCTCAACGGCAACGACGGCAACGACACGATCGAAGCGATCGGTGGCGTCAATGTGGTTCACGGTGATGCGGGTGATGACGACATGCTGGCGCTGGGCGGCGTGAACACCATGTTCGGCGGTTCCGGCGACGACAGAATGAAGGCACTCGGCGTTGCCAACATCCAATTTGGTGGCGACGGTGAAGACTTGCTGGCCGCCGCCGGAAACGGCAACCTGCAGTTCGGCGATGCCGGTAACGACCAGCTTTATGGGCTTGGTGTGAATGTCGGCCAGTTCGGTGGTGACGGTGAAGACGTGCTTGTCGGTGTCGCCGGAGTCAACCTGCAACATGGCGGTGCAGGCAAGGACAAGCTCTTTGCCGTCGGTGGCGCAAACATCCAGATAGGTGGTTCGGACGATGACTTCCTGATGGCTGGTGGTGCCAACAACATCCAGTTCGGTGACCATCTCTGGAGCGCAATCCCGTCCGATCTCGGTTTTGACGACGACGGCAAATTCGCCGACGTGATCGAGAATTTCGACGAACATTTCGAAACCGAGGGTGGTGGTACCAACGTCCTGATTGGTGGTGGCACGAACAACCTGCAGTTTGGCGGTTCGGGCAAGGACTATGCCTTCGGCGCCGGTGGAATGACCACCCAGGTCATGGGCCAGGGCGATGACGTCATGGTCGGTGGCGGTATCGGTGTCGTGCAATATGCAGACGCCGGAAACGATATCCTTATCGGCGGCGGTCAGGGCGTTGCTCAATTCGGCGGCGACGGTTCGGATGTCATGGTGGCAGCGGCCAAGATCGTTGCTCCGCAATACAAGGCTGCTGCTTCCTTTCAATATGGCGGTGCCGGCACAGACGTGATGCTTGGCCTTTCATTTGGCGATGAAGCTGCAGCCACCGTATCCCTTAACAACGACAAGGATAGCGACGGCAACCGCAAGGGCGGCCTGATCAAGGGTGCTCTGCCTGAGGAAATCGTCGTCACCGCGCAGCTTGGCGGGGAAGGCGCAGACCTGATGGTTGCCAGTGGACCCGGCACGATCGTGCACGGGGGTGCCGACGATGATGTTGCGCTGGCTCTCTCCGACACGAATTCGCTCGTGATGGGTGGCGCTGGTGATGACCTGATCCTGAGCAGTTCGGGCTTCGACAAGATGGAAGACGCCCTCGAGATGAAAAGCGAAATCGAAAAGGAAGGGGACGTCGAACTGCTGTCCTTCAGCCTCGGCAACTTCTTCGCCGGGGGATCCGGCTCGGATGTGATCATGGATATCTCGGATTTCACCAAGATCGTTATTCATGATGCACTTACCGACGTGCCCTGGGTTCAGGGGTTCCGTTCCGCGCTGACCGCAACAATCAATGCCGTGGAAGGCATCAGCGAGCCGATTGCCGAACTCATCGACTCCGTGACCGATTTCAGCCCGGAGTTCGGTGCTCCCGGACTTGGATCCTATGAGGTCAAGGCGAACGTGACGCTTGGAGGGCTTGGCGCTGATGTGCTCGGTGGTGATGGGTTCCTCTCAGGCGAGGCTGGAGACGACACGTACACGATCTGGGCGAATGGTGAGGCAACCATTGCCGAGCGTGCAACTGACGGGGTCAAGTCATTCCTGGAGAGTTTCGATGTCGACCTGCCGGTTCTTGATGACATTTCGCAAACACCCGACGGCAACGATGTCATCGAATTGCGAAGCTTGTCACTCGATGCCATGGATCAGGATGCGTTCAACTTCGTAAGATCGGCTGACGCGCTCCAAATCGAACTCGACGACAAGACCGTCGCGACGGTTCATGGAATGGATGACGAAACCACCGCGGTCGAATGGCTCAAGGTGGTACAGGGAGCCGACAGTTTCGTCTTCGATCTGAAAGCGATCTACGACGAACCTGATCCCATGGATGATTTCTCGTTTGCAGTCGAGAGCGTGACGGTCGGCATCGACACCCTTGCATCCGGCGACATCCTGGGTCTCCTGGCCGGTGCGGCAGAAACGCTTGGTGCGTTCGGCTCATCGGAAGCAGATGCCGCCAACGCGGATCTGACTGTCGCACTGGGACATGGCACAGAAGCAGTCGGGACGATAATTCCGGAAACGGACTTCATCTGAGGGTCTTGAAACGCAGTTTTGTTCCGAAATTGCAGCAAACGCTTCGAAAAGGGCAGTCGAAAGACTGCCCTTTTGGTCGTTGACGTTGTTCGGAAAGTATTCTTGAGTTCCTATGCGTCACTCTCGAGATCGCGCGGCTTGACGAACCGTTCGAGATGGCCTGTCCCCGAGCCAAGTTCAGACCAGTCCGCGATATCGAAGTCTATAACTGCAAGTGCCGCGGTCGGGTATTTTTCCTGAATGTCTGCCATGGCCTCCGGAGCGCCGGTCCCTGCCAGGTCGAGCGCTGTATCCTCGGTTGCCGGATTGTGTCCGACGAGCATCAGATTCTGGGCACGTCCACCGTGTTTGCGAATGAGAGTGCTGTAGCCGTCCTCGCTCTTCCAATAAAGATCCGAGATCAGTTGAATATGCGCTTCCTGCGGCATGCAGGGAAGAAGGAGGGCAAGCGTTTCGCGTGCCCGCTGCGCGGTTGAGCAAAGGACCAGGTTCGGCAAAAGCCTGTTGTCACGGATGTATCGGGCCATCGTGACCGAAGCCGTCTTGCCACGGGAATTCAGAGGCCTGTCGATATCGGCGAGTTGTTGATCGCCCCAGTCGGATTTGGCGTGTCGTAGCAGGAGTAGCCGCATGTCAGGGTTCCGTTTTGTTCACCGTCTCAATAAATGACGGGAACCCGATTAAGCAAATGACAAATTCAGTTTTGCTGCGCAAGCGCCTGTGTGAAGGCCGCCACAGCCGGTCCGATCTCTTCATTCTGGGTCGGGAGCGTGTAGGAGAGCCACAATGTGAAATCCGCCTCTTCACCGGTAAAATACCAAAGCGTTTCGCACAGGCTGGTGGGTGTCCAGTTGCGGGTGCGGAATGATATGCCGGACGCAGCAGCGCCAGTCAGGCTGATCGGCTCGAAGCCGGCAGCTTTGTAGGCGCGCGAGAACTTCAGTGCCTCGCGTCGTCCAGAGGCCTGAAGATGTTGGCGCACAACCGCCGTCATTCCATCACGGCCGGTATAGATACAGCTTGCGACGCTCGAGGCGTCTCCCTCCATAACCTTGATCCGGTAGAACGGCCCAATCAGGTCCGGACAACGCAATCCGGTGAAGTGCCGCAGCCCTTCAACATCACTCTGCCAGCCAGCCTCTTTCTCAGGTGGTACCTGCGCTGACGCGGGGAGGGAAGAGGCACCCATCAGCGGCAAGGCACTGAGGATCCCCCATGCAAGCAGTCTTGCGAGTCGGTTGGCCAATTCGCTCTCCAAGTGGTCATGTACGCTCGCGGCGCGCCATAAATGCCAGGCGTTCGAATAGATGCACGTCCTGCTCATTCTTCAGAAGTGCACCGTGCAGCGGCGGGATCAGTTTGCTGCCATCTTGTTGACGAAGCGTTTCCGCATCTATGTCCTCGTTGAGCAGGAGCTTGATCCAGTCGATCAGTTCAGAGGTCGACGGTTTCTTTTTCAAGCCGGGAACCTCTCGAACATCGAAGAAGAGGCGCAAAGCCTCTGACAGCAGCCGTTTCTTGATGCCCGGGAAATGGACTTCAACGATTTCCTCCATTGTTTCCGTGTCCGGAAACTTGATGAAGTGGAAAAAGCAGCGCCGCAAAAAGGCGTCGGGAAGGTCCTTTTCGTTGTTGGAGGTGATGATCACCACCGGTCGCTGCTTCGCCTTGACGGACTGCCCAGTCTCGTAGACGTGGAATTCCATCCGGTCGAGTTCCAGAAGAAGGTCGTTCGGAAACTCGATATCCGCCTTGTCGATCTCGTCGATCAGAAGCACCGGCTTTTCTGCTGCCTCGAACGCTTCCCAGAGCTTGCCTTTTCGAATGTAGTTGTTGATGTCCTTGACCCGTTCGTCGCCAAGCTGGCTGTCACGCAGGCGCGATACCGCATCATATTCATAAAGGCCCTGCTGCGCTTTGGTCGTGGACTTGACATGCCATTCGATCAGTTCTGCGTCCAACGCGGCGGCTACCTGTTCCGCCAGTACGGTCTTGCCGGTGCCAGGTTCACCCTTGACCAGCAGAGGTCGTTCAAGGGCCACAGCGGCATTGACCGCAACACGCAAGTCTTCTGTTGCGATGTAATTTTCAGTTCCTTCAAAGCGCATCTGGCCGTCCGTCGTTCATTCGTTGCGCAAAAACTGGCAGGCCCGGCGTCAGGAAGCAAGCCCGCAATTTACGCGATGCACCATTGGTTCGATCGGAGGGACAGTCTTGCCCATCAAAGGGGAAGTTTTTGCCCGTTCCGTTGAAGGTTGCCGACTTATCAGTTCAGAAAGAGAATCTCAAATTTTCAATAACTATCAGAAAACAAACAACTAAATGGTTGAAACGCAAAACTGGCACGGCCTTTGCGGTGTAGCCGCGATTATGGGCGAAAACCCGATTACGCGCTGCCCGAGCATCAAGAGGACGAAATATGGGTATTTATGGGGCTATCAACTCAGCGGTTTCCGGACTGACTGCGCAGGCCATTGCCTTGGAGAACATCTCCGGCAATGTGGCCAATTCGCAGACAACCGGCTACAAACGTCTGGATACGACGTTCTCCGATCTTGTCTCGGGTGGCGGTGCGACCCAGGGGTCTCAGGTCTCCGGGACAACATTTGCGACTTCCCGTGCCACGAATACCATCCAGGGCGACATCAGTCAGGTCGACGTCGACACCTACATGGCCATCAATGGCGAGGGTTACTTTGTCGTGACCCAGGCAGCCGATGTCGTTGACGGGTCGACGACTTTCGCCGATGAGACTTTCTACACCCGTGCGGGCGATTTCGAGCGCGACGAAAACGGCTATCTCGTGAACAGCGCCGGGTATTACCTGCAGGGCTTTCCTCTGGATCCTGCTACCGGCAACCCGGTCGGTGACAATCCGACGGTAATTCAGATCGAGAACCAGCCGCTTGCTGCTTCGGCAACAGCCGAGATCGACTATCAGGCAAACCTCCCGCGGGTTCCGGATACGAACGATTATGATGATTCAGATCCTGCTACCGCACTCCTTGCCGCTGCCGTTGGAACAGGCAATGTCGCGGTTGCGAACGAGACCGCATTTCTGAACAGCTCAATCTCGGGCGGTTCCGTGACGATCTACAACACCAACGGCACGGCAATGAACGTGGAGGTCCGGTATGCCAAAACGGCAAATGCAGCCGCGGGCCCTCCGGCCGTCAATGATACCTGGACGATGTATGTCGGTTCAGGCGGCGATGCGACGAACGCGTATTTCGACGTAGGGGATCTGGAATTTGACAGCACCGGCGCGCTGACCAACATGACCGCCGGCGTTATCGGAACGGTCAATTCTTCAAGCGACGGATTTGATTTGGCCTCGCTGACGATCAACGGAACCACCGCGACAAATGTCGAAGTTTCATTCGCGGGCAATTCGCTGACCCAGTATTCGGATCCGGACGGGACCGCAAGTTCGGTTGCGTTGGATCAGGATGGATATCCGGCAGGTGAATTGACCGGAGTTGCAGTGGACCAGTCAGGCCGCGTGATCGCGAGCTACTCAAACAGCCAGCAGCGGGCCGTTTTCGAGATACCTCTGGCGACATTTGAAGCCGAACAGAACCTGAAGAGGGTAGATGGCGCAGCGTTTGCCTCAACGACGTCATCCGGCGAGGCAGACCTTACGGGCGGCGGGCAAATTCTCGCCAAGAACCTGGAACTTTCCAATGCCGACATTGCAGATGAGTTTTCCAAGCTGATCATCACGCAACAGGCTTATTCGGCAAATTCGCGGATTGTCACATCGGCGGACGAGATGCTCGACAGTGCCCTCAACATGGTCCGGTAGTGACACTTTTGCCAGCGGATCATGATCCGCTGGCAAGACCGGCGAGCCCGCGTTCGTTAAAGGAGAACCTGCCATGGGTCTGACAAGCGCCCTGAATACCGCGGTTTTCGGTATTACCTACAACCAGCGGCAGCTGGACGTGACGGCGAACAACATCGCCAATGCGGATACGGTCGGGTACTCGAAGAAATCCATTTCTGCGACAGCATATTTTGACGGGCAGGGAAACGTCGCAGGCCTTACAGCCACGGAAATAAGGCGCGTTGTCGACGAGCAACTTCAGGCCGACTATTTCAGCTCGCTTACCGACACGAACTATGCCAAGCAGATCGCCAATTTCACGGAGCGGCTGGACGGGATATTCGGGACGATCGGCGACAGCAGCAGCCTTTCCTCCCTGATAGGAAACCTTTCTTCCGCGCTGTCGACGCTTATGAATGATCCGGGCAACTACACTGCTCAAAAGGAAGTCATCGCCGCTTCCGAAGCCTTTGCGCGCGAACTCAACAGTGCACACGAGAGGATTACCGATCTCAGGCAGGAGGCTGACGATTCCCTGTCGCTCCAGGCCCAGACCGTGAACAATCTGTTGACGAGCATCGATGATATCGATTCAGCCATTCGGGATGCGACACAGGCGAATATTTCAACCGCCGATATGGAAGACGAACGCGATCGCCTGGTGGAACAGCTTTCCGGCTATCTCGATATTGAGGTTTCGGACGGAACCAACAACACGATTTTCATTCAGACCGCCAATGGCCAGCAATTGTATTCCGATGGTCAGGCGGCAAACATCAGTTTCACACCGACACATCTGCTTCAGCCCGGGGTGTCCGGTCAGACCGTTCTGGCGACAACACCGGGCGGCACCACCTACGATCTCATTGCTGCCTCCAGCTCGGGAGCGATGGTGGCAACCGCGGAACTCAGAGACGAGATCCTGGTTGAAGCACAGAAGCAACTCGATACGATCGCTGCCGAGATCTCCCTGGCTTTTTCAAATGTGACGGTGGAGAGCACTGCTGTAACTGCCGGAGCCGACAGCGGGTTCGATCTCGACGTGTCAGGCCTGCAGGCCGGCAACACGATAACGCTGGAATACACTGATACCCTTGGAGTGGCGCAAACAGTCACGCTGATGGCCGTTTCGGATCCCAGCCTTTTACCGCTTGATAACACGGCGACATCTGACCCGAACGATACAGTTTATGGCTTTGATATCTCAAGCGGTTTGCCGGCAACATACATAACCAACATCAATGCGGCTCTCGGCTCTACCGGTCTCCTGGTAAGCAATAACGGGTCAGATGAACTGCGGGTGCTCGGTGATTCAGGCGCACCTACGAGCGTCGAAAGCCTTACCGCGAGTGTTACCGTTACAGCTGATTCCGACCAGGGCCTCGGCCTTTCAATCTTTGTGGACCAGCGCGCCGGAACGGAGATCTTTACCGATGCTCTGGAAGACGGTGGTCAAAGGGTGGGGTATGCCGGCGGAATAAGCGTCAATCCAAGCCTTCTTGCCGACAGTGCGTTGCTGGTGAACTACCAGACAACGCCGACAGCCAACACGCCCAATGACCCGGCGCGCCCGCAATTCCTGCTCAACGCATTGAACTCCGGCACGGTTCACTTCGATCCGAGCGCAGGGATAGGCAGCACCTCGTCACCATTTGAGGGAACCGTTATCGATTACGTGAACAATACGATCGCGTTTCAAGGTAACCAGGCGGAAGATGCGAAGACCTATGCGACGGCCAAGGAAACGCTAACGACCAATCTGGCTATTCGATACGAGGAAAGCTACTCGGTGAATCTGGATACCGAACTCGCCTTCATGGTGCAGCTGGAAAACGCTTATGCAGCCAATGCCCGGGTGATGCAGACTATCAAAGAGCTTTTCGATGAACTTCTGAGAATCGTTTAAGGTGCTCAATGACTTTTTCTTCAATCACAACGTCCCGTTCCTACCTTACTCAGCAACTGGGGCAGCTGAACAACCTCCTGTCCGAGAAGACGACACAGCTCGCGACAGGCAAGGTTGGCAGTACCTACGGCGAGATTGGTGACAGTCGACTGCTCGATATTCAGCTGACCCAAAAAGTCAGCTTTATCGAGAGTTACCAGGAGACGATTACGATTTCCAATCTGCATCTTCAAACCCTGTCGTTGTCTCTGGAACGGCTGGAGTCCATCCGGCAAGATTCGAAATCCGCGATGGATACCAACGATTTTGTTTTGCAGAGCGATGGCCAGACCCAAACCCAGTCCAGGGCAGAACTTCTTCTGACGGAATCTCTCAACATTCTTAATACCGAAATTGCCGGGTACTATATTTTCGGTGGAACAGACTCGATTTCGGATCCCGTTGCCGCATTGGACGTCATCATGAATGGCAGTGGCAGCCAGGCAGGTTTGAAGACATATCTCAGCGAATACTCACAGGCCAATCTGGGGGCATCGAACAACGGCAGACTGGCGATATCGGCTTTGACGACCAATTACGCGGGCGCAGTGCCGACCGATTCAACCTTCACGATCTCGGAAGACGGAGCACACGATTTCGGTTTCGACATTTCAAGCGTGACGTCGACACTGAGCAATGCCGCCCTGACCGGGCCCACAAGCACCGATCCCGACAGTTTCGACGTGCAATTTACCGGTCAGCCAAATCTTGGTGAAACCATCAAGGTTGATTTGACGCTGCCACCGTCCCACACGGAAACAGTGTCCATCGAACTGACGGCGGCCTCCAGCGATGAGGCGGAGGGAACATTTGCCATTGGCGCGGATCTTGAAGAAACAGCGCAAAACCTGCTGAACTCGCTTACGGCGGAAATCGAAAATGCCGCCCAGACAAAGCTCCGCGCAGTTTCGGACGAGTGGGCTGCCGACGAATTTTTCACAACGTTTTCCGGCGAAGAACCATTGCGGGTCAGCGGTCCTCCTTACACCACCGCGACCACGCAGGTTTCCGGCGCCTCCACGACAGTTGAATGGTACACCGGCCGGAATACGACCACGACCGACGCGCGCACCGACAAGAATGCTGTTATCGATTCAAACCTGACCGCGAGCTACGGCGTCAGGGCGAATGAAACGGCACTCAAGGAGCTTGTGAAATCTCTGGCAACATTCGTTGCAGCCGACTTTTCCGGCGGAACATCGACGGACGAGGAATACTACAACGAACTTTCCGCCAACATGCGCGGCCTGCTGCAACCGGTTGGAGTCGATCAGTCCGGTATCGTCGATATCGCGACGGACATCGCGATCACGCAACGGACGGTCTCCCTGACCGGCGAACGGCACGTGCAGATGAAAAGTACCTATGAAGGGACGATTGCGGAAATCGAGGGCATCGACAAGAACCTGGTTGCGACGGAAATTCTGCAGCTCCAAAACAATATTGAAGTGTCCTACCGTGCGTCCTCGATCGTCTTCAATCTCAGCCTGTCCGATTATCTCTGATCGGGGTAATATGCTGCTTTTCCAAGGGTATTTCATATCTTGACGATGCGCTTTTGAAGTGCCGGTCGGGAGTGTTTTTTCGTTGAAAGCGCCGTGCGGTTCTGCAAATTTTTTTGGAGTTGTTTCCATCCCGGATGTGCCAGTGTTACAGGACTGGAACTTCTGACAGGCGCCAGCCGTGTTGTCGCTGAAATTATCGCCTCGTCTCCTGAATTTCGCTGTGACCGGTTCAGAAGGGGAGGCTCGAGTCGACGAACCAGAAGTGAAATCAGACTGTTCTTGAATCAGCCGTGGTCGACCGAGATTACCTTTCCTGTCCAATTCGTGTAACTCGCAGCTGCTCCGGTCACGAGGCCGATATCGATGTATGACAACTGAATACTGTGGCCGGCAGCTGCGGCAGAGACGCCTCCTCCAACGCGCTGTCCATGACCGGCGATACGTTGAACGAGCTCGATCATCATATTCTTTTCGGCGGCCTCAAGTCTTTCGGCACCCTTGGCAAATTTCTGTGCCAATTTAAAATAGATCGGTCCCTTGGACATTTCTTTCAGCGCCTTGGCGCTCACAATAAAAGCGAGATTTATATCGCTTCCGGAAAACTCGAGACCTTTCAGTTTGCTAATGTCGGGCATTCCCGTGACCACGGCAAAATTGAAGCCGGATGTTGCATCCGCTCCCCATGTTCCTGTTCGGGTCAACTGGGCCTGAAAGGAGTGTGCGTCCGTGATACCCTCCAGAAGCTTCTGCCAGTTGTACAGAGCGCCGATTGTATACTCCGAGCCCTTTGATGCCTTCGGGATACCGATCCCGCTCGCAAATCGCGTGACAAAACCGCACCAAGTCGATCGCTCATCAGCCAGGATCTTGCCGACAAGGTCGTTTTTCATCATCGCAACCGTGGATCGGTTGTCTGGATTGAAAAACACAACAGGCCGAATAGTGCCATTGCTTTCCTCAAAGCCGTGTCGACCGGTTGATTCATCCCACACATATCCGGCGCGGCTTCCGGTTCTGTTTTTGCCCCGGTCGCTCGGATCGATCTTGTAAAGACCTGACGGTCTCATAATCAGATTAATGATCACGGAGAGGCGGCCACGCGTCCAATCGTCCGTGTCATACCCCATACCCGGTTTGATCCTGGGCCAGACCTCATTCCAGGGTCGCGTGAATGGACAGTTTTGGCCAATGTCATCCGGTTTATACATATAGGCCTGCGGACGGCCAGTCTTCAACGCAGCTCGATAAGCTTTCTTGCAGGGCGTGGGAAGAGCCTTCTTGGACCAGATGGAAACACACTTGTAGCACTGATTGGAGTCTATTTTTGTCATTGGAACTCCTGCTCACGGATTGCATTAATTAGATCTAACTCAAGACTAAACTGTCAATTTAACGCGTATTTTATGATTTATATCCAATAGGCTGCCTAATTATTGTATAATTTTGTGTCATTTTTAGATTTTTGTGGGGATATTATTATCCTTAATACACCTATTTTCATTCGATTTTCGTTGGCACTACTCATATTATCGATAAAACTTGAAATTCAATTTGCTTCATCCAAGCAGATGTGGTCGGTGAAGCCAGTTCAGAACACAATCAAATAATCAGTTGGATCACGCCAAACGCATTTTGCAGGCGATATCGACACCGTAGCCACCAAATGGACCCGGCGCGTTACCCAATTGGGTAAACTTACAAGCGTTACATCGCTCGGACGGGGAACAACATCGTCGATCTATGAGAAAAGATGGGACGCACCGCCATCAACGAAAAAAGCCGGTCGCTGCGCGCACCGGCTTCACTGCTCTGGGTTTTGTCGCCGACTACTCGGTTTCCACCCGCGCGCGCAGCCCCTCGGCTATCGCCCGGTTGATGCTGATAAGCGTGTTGAGCTTCTCGGCATCGTCGCTCGTCATCACCGTTATCGTTTGCTTGAACACAAAAACAGCCAGTGAGGCGATATTGTTCTTGATGTCCTGCGGCAATTGACTTTCTTCGCTGGTCGCAGAGGTTACAAGAATACTCCAGAGTTTGCGGTTATAGACCAATGCATCGTCTTTTTCCGCAAGTGTGGCCTCGCCCCATTCATCCTTGATCAGCTGCAGCCGTGCTGCGGCTTTCATCAGCAGATTCGCTTCCAGTTCTCTCGGTGACACCGCCACCTGGCTCGTTTTCTGGTAAGCTTGCGCTGCCTGCTTGTACATGACTGATCAGCGTCCCTTCATACTCGATGAGCTTTCGTGCTTCTTTCAATGCTTTATAGAAGGCACCGGTTATTATCGCGTTACTGATCCTGGTAACATATGGGATCGTACTTGGTGCTGCCTTCACAATATCGTTGACGAGAGTGAAGTAATTCTCCTGAATTTTTTCCATATCCGTCGACAGATACATCAGTTGAACGGCCAAATAGACCCGTTTTGCCGGTGTATCCGCAGTGGTAGGCGTGAGAATGTCTTTTTCTCGAAGAATAGGTGCCTGGCCTTCGATAAACAGGCGGGTTCGCTGATTATCATTTGTGATGACACTGTCACCAATGATAATCCTTTCGCCCGGTTTTAGCTCGACCTTGAGCGCCATTCCGTGACCTCCACGCTTGAGTATCGCTATCAAACGTTAACGAACTGGTTAACGCCCTTTGCCGATACCTTAAAGCTTTTCATTCCAGCTGTTAACCGAACAGGCTCAAAACGCTCTGATCTGCCTGGTTGGCAAGCGACAGGGCGGTGGAAGACAGCTGTTGCCGGGTCTGAAGGGCAAGCATGTTTGCACCTTCTTCGTTCATGTCGGCAATGGTGAGCTCGCCGGCTCCAACTTCTAGCGTGTTGATCATGTTCTGTGTGAAATCTGTTCGTATTTCGACGGTTGACAGTGATGTACCCATCGATCTGGCAGCCGTCCTCAGTTCGTCGAGCGCTGCATTGATGGCTTGCAGCGTCCGGTCAATGTCAGTGTCTGATTTGAATTCGGATGCCGCCGCCGAAAGTCCTACGGTACCGGAAGTGCTTCCAAGTGTCGTTCGGTTAAAGTCCGCGTTGCTGCTCGTGATGTCGAACGAGACTTCGCCGAGCAGACTGATACTGCCGCCGGAGAAAGTCGCATCCAGGCCTTTCACATTATCGATGAACGAGACCAGATCGCTGACTGTCGTTTCAGAATCGATCTCGATAGACGCTGGTTCAAAGCCATTTCCGTCCGTAATCGTGATCGTATCACCCGCCTGGAAGCCGCCCGAAGAGATCAAGGTCGCTGTTGAACTCAGGGACGAGACGGTCAGCGTCGTTGTCGTTCCACCCGTTGCACCACCGCTCGTCGCGGTTCCGCCACCTGCGTTGTCCTTTGAAACATAGATCGGATTTGTATTGCCTGATGTTATTGATATCGAGTCCGTCGACTCGTTAAAGCTGGTGTGTACGCCGCTCAAGTCGTTGAGCGCATCGACATAGTCCTGAACCGTGGTTATGTCGGTGCCGACCGTCAGGGTCGTGGTTCCGGAACTGTCCGTAATGGTGACCTGATCACCGGTTGACCATGCAGCCAGATCCGTCAGGTTGGAGGATGCCTGCAAGCCGGTCAGCGCAAGCGTGCCTGTTCCGCCGAAGAGATTGAAGGACGCCGTGCCGGTACCGCCGGTGTCGAGATTGTCGAGGTTCAGACCGTCATCAAGTGTTGTGTCGGTAAAGTCGACCGGATTGACCGTGAGGTTGGACGTGCTGTCCTCGTTGAAGATTACTTCCAGCTCATTGCCGGCGCCCGCAAGAAGGTTCTTGCCCTTATAGCTCGAGTCTCTTGCCATATCCTCGATCTGTTCGAGGATGTCATTATATTGGCTGGCAAACTGTTTTCTTTCAAACTCACTTGATGTCTGAAGCGCCTGGTTTGCGATCGCCTTGGCTGATTCGACCAGCTTGGTGATCGACGTTATGCCCTTGTCGGCCGCCTTGATGGTTTGTACTGCCTGACCCATATTGTCGAGCAGATTGGCCAGGTCGCTTGCCCGGTCGTTTAGCGATTGCGCCGTGAAAAACGAGTTCGGGTTGTCTAGCGCCGTGTTGACCTTCATGCCTGTGGCAAGCCGTGTCTGTGTCACAGACTGAAGATTTGCAGTTTGCTTGAGCGACAGGAGATTGTCCCGGACCGCGCTGGATAGAACAATATCAGACATCAGACTTCACCGCTTTTCCTACTTCAGTGTCCGCCAAAAGCGCTACTCAAGAGCATCAAGATGAGCGCGCTCCTTTGACGTAAATCTAAATGGAAAGTTAATCGGTGATGCACGAATTAACGCGATGTAAATAAAAGTTACCAAAAGCTTTCTTTTATCTATTTGAAAAATATGATGAAAAAATTCGAGCTTTGACTTCAATCGAGACCGGAAACCAAAACGGCGAGCCGATGGCCCGCCGTTTCTGATCTTCATTTTGTGAGTCGTGTGTCCGACTGATTCTTTCAGTCCTAGAAGAGGGATAGCACCGTCTGGTCCGCCTGGGAGGCGAAGGAAAGAGATGTCGAAGCAAGCTGCTGCCGTGTTTGAAGAGCCAGCAGGTTTGCGCCTTCCTCGTTGGTATCGGCCAAGGTCAAGAGACCGGCGCCTTCCTGAAGAGTATTGATCATCGTCTTCGTGTAATCTTGGCGAATTTCAACAATAGACAGGTTGGTACCGAATTCTGACGCCTGGGAACGAAGGTTGGAGAGCGCCGTATTGAGGCGGTCAACGACCCTGTTGATATCGCTGTCGGTAGCAAAACCAGAGTCTGAGAGCGCATCCAGCGTGATGCCGTCGGTATCCGTGACGAAGTTGGAGCTGGTAAAGTCGGTATTGTCACTTGTCAGTGTGAGATCGGTCTCGGATTCGATCGTCAGCAAGCCTGAGCCGGCGTCAAAGTCAGACGATACGCCATTGAAGTCGCTGATGAAATTCTCGAGGTCAGCGACCGTCGTGTCATCATCGATTTCAAAAGAACCAAGTTCGAAATCGTTCCCGTCGGTGAGTGTCAAAGTGTCACCGACCGCGAACGAACCGGATTCGCTTAGAAGCTGGGTCGTTGTTGAAAACGCTGTCGCTCCGAAGGCAAACGAACCAAGTGTTGCGGTGACGGATCCGTCCGTGATGTGGAAGTCCTCATCACTGTAAACAGTCAGATCACCCGTGTTGTTGTCGAACTCGGCACGAACACCGGCGATGGCATTGAGGCCGTCAACCAGATCCTGGACGGTCGCGCCTGCCGTGATGTCACTTGCGCCGGAAAGAGCAGCAGGTGCTGTTGCCGTGTCATTGACAAAGGACAGGGTTGTCGTCGTGGAGATCGCGTTGGAATCCGACAGGGTGGAGCTGGATTTCAAGGTGGACGTACCATCCGTCAGGTTGATGGTCGTCTTGCCGCCCTGAAGCTGGAGGGTCGTTGTATTGCCTTGTCCCTCAGCGAGGTCGGACAAGTTCAGTCCGGTGGACAGTGACGTGTCGGAGTAATCGACGGATTCAATGGTCAGTTTCGAAGTCGCATCTTCATTGAAGATCGTCGTCAGATCGTTGCCGATGCCACCCAGGAGATTTTTCCCCTTGTAGGAGCTGTCTTTCGCAACGTCTTCAATCTGTTCCAGAAGGTCGTTGTACTGCGCTGCGAATGTTTTGCGCTCGAACTGGCTCTGCGTCTGCAGGGCCTGGTTGGCTTTCGCCTTTGCGGTTTCAACCAGGTCGTTGATCGTCTGGATACCTTTGTCGGCTGCCTTGATCGTTTGCAGCGACTGGCCCATGTCGTCGAGCAGATTGCTCAGATCGCTGGCGCGGGAACTCAGGCCTGATGCCGTGAAGAAAGAATTCGGATTGTCCAGCGCGGAGTTAACTTTCAAACCCGTCGCCAGTTTGTTCTGGACGCCGGACATCAGGTCTGCGGTGGATTGGAGTGTGAGAAGGTTCTGCCGCACGGCAGCTGACAGGGTGATGTCCTTCATCTTAAATATCCCTTTCCTGGGTCAACTTGTACTTCTGCTCTTCCTGAGCAGGTTGATTAGGATCATCTCCCGTTAACCCTAATCATTGGTTAATTGGATGGCATTATAGGGTTAACGAGGTATTAACGCCTTGAGAGCGTGGAGAAAATTGGCGGAATTCCGGGAGAACAAGCTGAATGCAAAAGGAAAGGGGATGCTGAGAGATTCAGCCCATTGCAGGAATCAAAAAAGGCGGGCCGGGGCCCGCCTTCTCTGAATTTGCTGAAAGTTCTTTGGGTCCTAGAAGAGCCGCAGAACGTTCTGGTCTGCCTGAGCCGCAAAGGACAGGGACGTGGAGGCGAGGCTCTGACGGGTCTGCAGCGCCAGAAGGTTTGCACCTTCCTCGTTGGTGTCTGCAAGGGTCAGTTTGCCCGCACCTTCCTCAAGCGTGCCGATCAGGGACTTGGTGAAGTCCTGACGGTTTTCGACGATCGACAGGTTGGTACCGAACGAGGACGCCTGGGTTCTGAGAGAACTCAGGGCCGTGTTCAGCTTGTCGACCACACGGTTGATGTCGCTGTCAGTGGCGAATCCGCTGTCGGAAACTGCCGACAGAGTGATGCCGTCCGTGTCCGCAACGAAGTTCGCGCTGGCAAAGTCAGTGTTGTCACTGGTCAGTGACAGGTCGGTCTCCGACGTGATGGACAGCTTGCCGGAGGATGTGTCGAAGTCGGCGGAGACGCCCTGGAAATCGTCAGCAAAGGATTCCAGGTCGGCAACCGTGGTGTCGGCTTCGATCTCGAGCGATCCGAGTTCGTAACCATTGCCGTCGGTCAGGGTCAGCGTGTCACCAACCGAGAACGAACCTGTTTCCGACAGCAACTGGGTCGTTGCCGTCAACGCGCTTGCGTCGAAGTTGAACGAACCAAGTGTTGCGGTGACGGATCCGTCCGTGATGTGGAAGTCCTCATCACTGTAAACAGTCAGATCACCCGTGTTGTTGTCGAACTCGGCACGAACACCGGCTATGGCATTGAGGCCGTCAACCAGATCCTGGACGGTCGCGCCTGCCGTGATGTCACTTGCGCCGGAAAGAGCAGCAGGTGCTGTTGCCGTGTCATTGACAAAGGACAGGGTTGTCGTCGTGGAGATCGCGTTGGAATCCGACAGGGTAGAGTTTGTTTTCAGGGTGGACGTGCCATCCGTCAGGTTGATGGTCGTCTTGCCGCCCTGAAGCTGCAGCGATGTGGAAGATCCTTCGCCTTCCGCCAGGTCCGACAGGTTGAGGCCCGTGGACAGGGCTGTGTCGGTATAATCGACAGCCGAGATGTTCAGTTTGGACGTGGAATCTTCGTTGAAGATCGTGGTGAGGTCGTTGCCGGTACCTGCAAGCAGGTTCTTGCCCTTGTAGGACGAATCCTTGGAAATGTCCTCGATCTGCGTGAGCAGTTCGTTGTACTGGGCGGCAAACTGCTTGCGCTCGTACTGGCTTTGCGTCTGCAGAGCCTGGTTTGCAATCGCCTTCGCCGATTCAGCCAGTGTCGTGATCGAGGCAATTCCCTCGTCGGCTGCCTTCAGGGTCTGGACCGACTGGCCCATGTCGTCGAGCAGTGTGCTGAGGTCGTTTGCCCGGGACGTGAGGCCGGAAGCGGTGAAGAAGTTGCTTGGATTGTCCAGGGCAGAATTGACCTTCTTGCCGGTGGCCAGTTTGTTCTGGACATCGGACAGAAGTTCCGCAGTTGACTGGAGTGAATTCAGGTTCTTGCGAACCGCGCTGGACAGTGTGATGTCAGCCATTATTTGATCCTTTCTAGGAACACGAGATACAGAACCCATCCTGGGAACGCGTTGCTAGAAAACATCTAGGGGAGGAAATATTGGATAAATAAAAAAGGTTAGCGTTATTTAACCCTAACGCGATGTAAATTACTTTCTTGAGGAAATTCTCTACCCGAACGAAGGTTGTTCGCATTCTTTATTTATAAAATCGAGAAAAATTCAAATACTGTTTCGACTCATGAAAATTTCTGGAATCTTAATTTGTTATCTCAGGAAATATACTTCCTGTTACTTTGAATATTCCGATACTTATTATTCCTTCTCTGGTCGATGAATTTGTTTTGTTCGCCGTGCGACAAGTATGACGTCTATCTTGCGAGAGTCTGATCCGGCTTCGTCCGGACGCAAAAAAGGCGGGCCGGGGCCCGCCTTCTCTGAATTTGCTGAAAGTTCTTTGGGTTCTAGAAGAGCCGCAGAACGTTCTGGTCTGCCTGAGCCGCAAAGGACAGGGACGTGGAGGCGAGGCTCTGACGGGTCTGCAGCGCCAGAAGGTTTGCACCTTCCTCGTTGGTGTCTGCAAGGGTCAGTTTGCCTGCACCTTCCTCAAGCGTGTCGATCAGGGACTTGGTGAAGTCCTGACGGTTTTCGACGATCGACAGGTTGGTACCGAACGAGGACGCCTGGGTTCTGAGAGAACTCAGGGCCGTGTTCAGCTTGTCGACCACACGGTTGATGTCGCTGTCGGTGGCAAAGCCACTGTCGGAGATCGCCGACAGGGTGATGCCGTCCGTGTCCGCAACAAAGTTTGCGCTGGCAAAGTCAACATTGTCGCTGGTCAGTGACAGATCGGTTTCCGACGTGATGGACAGCTTGCCGGATGTGGTGTCGAAGTCGGCGGAGACGCCCTGGAAATCGTCAGCAAAGGATTCCAGATCGCCAACCGAAGTGTCGGCTTCGATCTCGAGAGAGCCGAGTTCGTAACCATTGCCGTCAGTCAGGGTCAGTGTGTCACCAACCGAGAACGAACCTGTTTCCGACAGCAACTGGGTCGTTGCCGTCAACGCGCTTGCGTCGAAGTTGAACGAACCAAGTGTTGCGGTGACGGATCCGTCCGTGATGTGGAAGTCCTCATCACTGTAAACAGTCAGATCACCCGTGTTGTTGTCGAACTCGGCACGGACACCGGCTATGGCATTGAGGCCGTCAACCAGATCCTGGACGGTCGCGCCTGCCGTGATGTCACTTGCGCCGGAAAGAGCAGCAGGTGCTGTTGCCGTGTCATTGACAAAGGACAGGGTTGTCGTCGTGGAGATCGCGTTGGAATCCGACAGGGTGGAGTTTGTTTTCAGGGTGGACGTGCCATCCGTCAGGTTGATGGTCGTCTTGCCGCCCTGAAGCTGCAGCGATGTGGAAGATCCTTCGCCTTCCGCCAGGTCCGACAGGTTGAGGCCCGTGGACAAGGTACTGTCGGTATAATCGACAGCCGAGATGTTCAGTTTGGACGTGGAATCTTCGTTGAAGATCGTGGTGAGGTCGTTGCCGGTACCTGCAAGCAGGTTCTTGCCCTTGTAGGACGAATCCTTGGCAATGTCCTCGATCTGCGTGAGCAGTTCGTTGTACTGGGCGGCAAACTGCTTGCGCTCGTACTGGCTTTGCGTCTGCAGAGCCTGGTTTGCAATCGCCTTCGCCGATTCAGCCAGTGTCGTGATCGAGGCAATTCCCTCGTCGGCTGCCTTCAGGGTCTGGACCGACTGGCCCATGTCGTCGAGCAGTGTGCCGAGGTCGTTTGCCCGGGACGTGAGGCCGGAAGCGGTGAAGAAGTTGCTTGGATTGTCCAGGGCAGAATTGACCTTCTTGCCGGTGGCCAGTTTGTTCTGGACATCGGACAGAAGTTCCGCAGTTGACTGGAGTGAATTCAGGTTCGCACGAACCGCGCTGGACAGCGTGATGTCAGCCATAGTCTAGATCCTTTCTAGGAACATGATGTAGGAACCCTTCCTGGGTCCACGAGACATCAAGCGGCCGACCGAGGTAACAAAACCTAAAGAAACTTGGTTAGCGCAATTTAACCCTAATGGAACGTAAATGGTTGAAAGCACGATATATTTGCTGTGCTGAGGTCTTTGTTACGGAAACAAGCGGAATTCGTCATTGCCATTGAGCCGCAATGCCCTGGGTGGAAGCACTCGGCGCTGCCATTCGTGAGTTGGACAACGTTTCACCCGGCATGGTGACGCCGGTTACAGTGCTCCACTTTCTGTCCGACATTGCGTGCCACGCTGCGGGCGGGAAGAGGGCATCGATCACATTCTCAAGAAGAAGCCGGCACGATATGACGGACTGGTGGCAAGTGGCGTGTAGAATAACGTCGCAAGACCTTTGTCAGACTGGCGAGCGCCTGTCGGTTCAGGAGAAAGTTGCCGTGATCGTCTGACGCGACGCATGCAAATAGGACACTCCACTCAGGCAAAGACGCCTTGCAGCTGCCTCAGGAAAATGCCGAAACTAGCGGCGGGTCTGTGAAAAAGGCAGTGTCCGAGTGGTGAAATCTGCGTGCGCGATCAAACGACGAGTTGAACCGGTTGAGAAGATTCTTCTGTTTGCTGGTTCTCGACCGTTTCAGCGTAGGCACGCAACCGCAACAATGTCTCGCTTGGGATCTGGCGCAGTACCTGACCGGTATCGGTATTTGTGGCGACGAAGACCAGGCTTTCGCTGTCAGGATCGACCACATTGCGGCGCTCAACCTGCGGCGTGGTCCGTTGTGCGGCCCGTTGAGACTGCTCATTGTCTGCCGACCTGCGTCCATCCTGCGTTTCGCTTGATGGGTTCACAGTTTCCTTGGCAGGCAAATCCGTTTTCGCTGCAGGCACATTCTTTTCCGGAGCCCGCGTAACCGGCGTAATCGCCGTATATGTCGGCGATGGCGGCCGGGCAATTCCCGTATCCAACATCTTTCTCTCCGGTGTACTCGATACAAACACCCGTACGCTCTCGACTTTAATTCAAGGAAATGAATCTTCTGTTAACGAAATGGTTAGAATTTGCCGGGTGCAGTCGGTGCGTCGAATTGATTCGTTTTCCCATGGCAGGCCACACAGGCTTTCAATGACACAACGAAAAAAGGCTCTCGAGTGGAGAGCCTTTCAAGCTTGGCGATCTGCTGAAATCGGCGGAAGCCTACAAGGCCTGGTTCACCGCGATCCCGCGCGCCGACTGTGGCCCTGAAGGGGCACCGCCATCCCGGCCGTAGGTTGTCGGTGTTGTCGCGTTCTTGGCACCTGCCGCTTTTGCGACCGTTGAAACGATGCTGTTCGCGACGTCCCGCGCAGTCGACAGAACGGCCAGGTTGATCCTGAGGACAGGCTGGAATTCACTGTGCTGGCGGCGAAGCGACTGTGTTGCGGACGGGGACAGGTTGCCGAGGGCAACCGCATGTTCCTTGGCTGTCATCATGCCGCGCGTATATTCGTGGATCAGCCGAGCCTTGTCCGGTTGAAGTTCACCGGCTTCCTTGAGTTTTCCGGCCCGCACAAGATCTGTTTCCATTTCAATGACGGACAAGAGCGCTTCCATGGTGCCCGACAGGGCAGAGCAGAAACCGTCTGCATCCTGCTTGCTTGCCGGTCGATCCAGAGAAAATGGAAACGAATTCGCGTTTGGTTGTGCAGTCATCTGCCCCCCTCCTGCAATGCAAGCAGCTCGCGCTCGACGCTGTCGGCCAGGCCGATGCCACCTGCTTTGGATATTGTACGTGCATATTCGTCTATCAAAAGTTTCTGCCAGGCGTCGGAGCCGGTACCGCCGCCCCAGGTTCCACCTTCGTTCAGTCCGGTAAACATGTTCTGAAGCATGGTGTTGAGGAACACGGCCTCAAAGCCTTCGGCCGCGTCACGAACCGCACTCTTGCTCGTGGTATCCACACCACGGACTGCGTCGAGCGGGTCGGGTTGACTGGTGGCAGGGGCGATCGACTGGATCATCACAGCACCTCGATTTCGGCCTGCAAGGCACCTGCCGCCTTGATCGCCTGCAGGATCGAGATCATGTCGCGCGGCCCGATGCCAAGCGCATTCAGTCCATCCACCAGCTGTTTGAGCGTGATCGTTTCCGGTACGATTGCGAGCTTCGTTCCGTCCTCGTTTACCGACACCTCGGAACGCGGCACGACGACAGTCTGGCCGTTGTCGGCAAAGGGCAGGGGTTGGGATACCTGTGGCGTTTCGGCGATCGTAACCGTCAGATTTCCCTGAGCCACGGCCACCATCGACACCTTTACGTCCTGGCCCATTACGATGATGCCGGAATTCTCGTCAATCACGATGCGGGCGGCAAGATCCGGTTCGACGATTAGCTGTTCGATATCCGTCAGAAGATCGACGATGTTGCCGTTATACTGTTGCGGCAGATCCAAACGTACGGTTGCCGGATCAAGAGGCTCGGCCGTCGGCATGCCGATCAGTTCATTGATGGACAGCGCGACGCGGCGTGCGGTCGTAAGATCGGGGTTGCGCAGTGCAAGACGCAGCGTGGTCAGGGACGCAAGCTGGAAATCCAGCTCCCGTTCGACGAGACCACCATTGGCTATGCGACCGGCGGTCGGAACACCGCGGACAACAGAGGCAGCGTCCGCCTGTGCCGAAAACCCGCCGATTGCCACAGACCCCTGGGCAATGGCGTAGACCTCACCGTCGGCACCAACCAGTGGCGTGACAAGCAGCGTACCGCCCTGAAGCGAGTCTGCATCGCCAAGTGCGCTGACATTGACGTCGATCCGTGTTCCCTGAGTGGCAAAGGGAGGCAGGTTTGCGGTCACCATCACCGCGGCAACCGTGTCCGTATTCAGTGCGATGTTCCGGGTGTTGACACCAAGACGTTCAAGCATTGCCTGCAGGCTTTGCTGCGTAAAGGGCGTGTTGCCGAGCGAGTCGCCGGTACCGTTGAGGCCAACAACAAGTCCGTAACCGATGAGCTGGTTTTCCCGGATCCCTTCAAAATCTGCAATGTCCTTGATCCGGGACGCCGCTTCGGCACTGGAAACCGCAATGCTCGCTCCGATGAGCGCGAGGACGGCAATGAAAGAGAGCCGTTCAAACCACTGAGAAATTTTGCCACCCATGTTCCGCATCACTGTTTCCGGTCCGGTTTCGTTTCCGGCCAGATCGCCGGGTCACCTGAGTTTGGAATGCGTTATGCGAGAGCCGTGCCACATTTGCGCCGTGATCGCCTTTTTTGAGGAAGTGGCTGTTTTCTGCGGCTCGTGGCGCATTGTTTCCCTCCGGACCGGACAAGAATGTCGAATTTAGTTAATGAAATCCTTTTCCAGGCAGGCAAATATTGCCTCCCTTGCAAGGATTCAATTACTCTTCCCGGCAGAATCTGACACGTAACAGGACAGATCCGGAAAGATTTCGGTCGAACCAATCGTCAGCCGGAACGGCAAATGATCATGCGCATCACAGGTAACAAACCCGTCACGGGCGTTCAGGGCAAGGGGGCACGGAAACAGGCCACCACCGGCGGTGAGCAGTTTACGCCCGATCTTGGAAGCGAGGTGACTCAGTCGTCGCAGACGGCCGGTGGCACTGCAATTCAGGGCATGGACGCGCTGCTTGCCTTGCAGGAGGTTGATGAGCGGGCAGAGCGTCGATCCCGGGCTGCGCGCCGCGGCCATTCGCTGCTTGATACGCTTGAAGCGGTGCGTGCGGATCTGTTGGCAGGCTTCGTGTCGGAAGAACGTCTGGAGGTGCTGGCAAGCCAGGTCACAAACCGGCAGACCAGCGGGGATGACCAGATCGATTCGGTTCTTGAAGAGATCGAATTGCGAGTGAAAGTTGAGCTCGCAAAGCTTGGACGTTTTACCGACCGGTGATGGTCACAATCGGGTCAAAATAGCGCTAAAACTGTTCAATTGGCGCTCAACGGATTGAAAGATATGACATTTCTTTAATGCTATTTTTCGGAAATGAACCGTTGTCGGGGAACAGAACCGGCTATATATTGCGCCCGGCCTAACGGTAATCCGGAGCTATCGATGACGGTAGAAATTGAGTCTGAATATCGACCCTCGGACAACGAGCCGTTCATGAACGACAGGCAGCGAGAGTATTTTCGAGATAAACTGCTTGCATGGAAAGACGAGATCCTGAAAGAAAGCAAGGAAACGCTTACGAACCTTCAGGAAGAAAGCCAGAACCACCCAGATTTTGCCGACCGTGCGTCTTCTGAGACAGATCGCTCAATTGAACTGCGCGCCCGGGATCGTCAACGCAAGTTGATTTCAAAGATCGATGATGCTTTGGAACGTATTGCTGACGGGAGCTATGGCTATTGCGAGGAGACCGGTGAACCGATCTCCTTGAGGCGCCTCGAGGCCAGACCGATCGCCACATTGTCGATCGAGGCCCAGGAAGCGCATGAACGTCGCGAGAAAGTGTATCGCGACGACTGATTTCCAGAAACGGCTGGCTTGCTGAATACGGCAAGTCCGAGCAACTTTTGAACCTCCCCTGCAGGGGAGGTTTTTTCTTTGTCTGATCCAGTCAGTTGGCGATCTTGTCGGCCATTACGGCAATTGTCTGCTGATAGACACTGGCCTTGTTCCATTCCTTGATGACGCGATAGTTCGCCGTGCCCGGACCCCAGGGTTGACCGCGCCGCCATCCTTTCTTCTTCAGGTAGTTCGCGGTGGACGCCAGAACGTCGGGAATGGAGCGGATCAGGTCGCGGCGGCCGTCACGATCATAGTCGACCGCGTATTTGACATAGGAGGAGGCAAGAAACTGGGTCTGGCCGATTTCTCCAGCCCAGGCCCCGCGCATTTCTCCTGGCGACATATCGCGGCGCTGAACGATGACCAGAGCATTGACGAGTTCGTTGGTGAAGAACTTCGACCGGCGGCAGTCATATGCGAGCGTTGCCAGCGACTGCAGGACCGGCATTTTGCCGGAGTAGCCGCCGTAGTTGGTTTCCAGCCCCCAGATTGCCAGGATAACCGGGGCCGGGACGCCGTATTTCTTTTCGATTCTTGAAAACAGCCTGCGATATGTCTCGCCGAGTTTCTTTCCCCTTCGGATCATCGCATTGTTGACCCGCTTTGCATAAAACTGCTTGAAACTCAGCTTGAACGATTTCTGGTTGCGATCGAGGCGGACGACCTTCGAGCTGTATTTCGCATTTTTCAGAGCTTCCCGCACGATACGTTGCTTCAACCGATAGCGTGACGAATTCGCGATGAAGTCCTGTTTCCAGGCTTCAAACCCCCCGGGGCCATTCCCGCAAGTGGCCGCGAAAACGGGTGCGGTTAAAATCAGAAAAAAGCTGACAATAGAAACAAAGACAATTTGCATGAAGCCCCCTGTGAATCGAGCTGTCTTCCTTCGGCATTCTAAATCAAAATGACGCCACGTCATCTCGGAAAGTCCAAAATCCTCCGAAACGAGAAAGGGCACGGCACTCGGGGAGCGAGATACCGTGCCCGTCGTCAGCCGCCAAAGTCCCAGTTTCTAGAACACTTTGACCGTGGCTGGCCGGGGGATCATTTCCAGTGCCGGGATCATCAGAACGGCAGCAGGATATCCAGAACCTGGTTGCCCACACGCGGCTGCTGAACCGTAGTGATCTGGCCGCGACCGCCATATCCGATGCGGGCCTCAGCTATTTGTTCGCTGGCAATCCGGTTGTTTGCGGTGATGTCTTCAGGCCGCACGATACCGGCGACAATCAGTTCGCGGACTTCGAAGTTCACGCGAACTTCCTGCCTGCCCTCGATGACAAGATTTCCGTTCGGCAGAACCTGGGTGACAACTGCGGCAATTGAGGTCTGGAGGGTTTCTTCCCGGTCGACACTGCCAGCTCCCTGGAAACTTGAGTTGCTGTTGACATTGCCAAGATTGCTGGCCGCCATGTCTGCCGGCAGGAAGATCGTATCGATCGCTGTTCCCAGTGCGCCACCAACTCCTGCGCCGTTTGTCTCGGTTCTGTTGCGCTCGGTTTCGTTTTCAATCTCTGCTTCATCGTCAATCGTGACTACGACAGTCAGAATGTCACCGACCTGGCTGGCCCGCTGGTCCTTGAAGAAGGCCCGGCTGCCGGACTGCCAAAGTGAATTCGGATTGTAGTGAACCTGCTGTGGCTCTGGCATCGGCATCTGGACCGGCCGATATCCGGGTGTCGTTGTCGGATCCTGGATTGCATTCAGGGCAGGTTGCTGACCGACTTGCGCAAGCTGGTCTGCGGTACCGCAGCCTGCAGCAAGCGACGCCAGCGCAATACTTGCCAAAAGATGGCGGGGAAGGGAGGTCAACATTAGTTCGTCTCGCTGTTCAGGCTTGCAACGACAGGATTGGCGGTGTGGACACGTACCTGCCCACGTGACATGACGGTTGCTGGAATGATACGTCGTGACTGGAGATTCATGACGTCTATGACATCACCCTTGGCACCTTCTTCCAGTGCTCTTGCCCTTGAAGTCAGTTTCAAGCCAGGCATGTTGAAGGTCACCGTGACCTTGTCTCCCCGTGTTACCAGGACCGGACGCTGGAAATTCCTGCGGGAGAGCGGCATGTTGGCGCGAATGCTGTTACGTGCAGCCATGCCGGTAACTTCCGATGGGTCGATGACGGCACCCGCAGGCGTCTTTGAGCGGGCAAGACGCATCACCGTCAGGTCTTCTTCCTTCAGGATGTCACCCCGGCGAAGCGGCTGTGCGAGCGTGACGACTTCGACCATTTCGTGGGCAATGCCTGTAAGTGTCAGCGGTTCGGTGCCGTGTTCGACGGCAACGCTGGCCTGAATAATAAAGCGCCCGCTTGCCTGCACCCAGTCAACGCGGTCGAACCGGATCGGTTCCGCAACTTTCGGGTCGGCGAGAACGCGGTTGGGTGCCTGAATGAGCTTCACATCCAGATTGTTCGGGTCGATGCCTGCGTTCCGTTCGGCCAACGTTTTGCGCACAAGGCTTGCCAACTGGTCTCTGCCCAGTTCAGTCGCGCCCCTGTGTACGACAACGGTTCTCAGACCGTCAGTACCGGCGGTGGTTAGACCAGCGGCCCGCGCCCTTTCAGCGACCAGGTTGGCCGGGACATTGCCCGACGTGCCCATGTCCGGCGAGCGAAAGAGCGGTTTTGCGGCATGGGCACCGGCATCGGAGTAGAAATCGCCTACAGTCACGATCTCGGAAAGTGTCATGACCTGGGAACGCAGGACCGGTTGGACTTCTGCGATTGCAGACAGCCCGGTGAACCCCATGAACAGAAGGCCAAGCGTGGCTTTGATCAGATGTTTCATCATCTCGGCTTTCCTGCGTTAACGGAGGTTAGCGGTGGTTGAGTACATCTCGTCTGCCGCCTTGATGATCCTTGAATTCATCTCGTAGGCACGTTGCGCGGAAATCAGGTCGGCGATTTCGGTCACCGCGTCCACGTTTGCCATTTCAAGGAAGTACTGCTGAACATTGCCGAAGCCGCTGTCGTTCGGATTGCCTGTTTGCGGCGTGCCGCTCGCATTGGTTTCCAGAAACAGGTTGTCGCCGATGGCTTCCAGGCCTGATTTGTTCACGAAACGGGCAAGCTGGATCTGTCCGAGCGTAACGGTGCCGCCGGTCTGATTGATGCCCTGAACTTCGCCAGTGTTTGAAATTGTGATGTCCTGGGTGCCGTCCGGAATCGTTATGCCCGGATTGACGGTGTAACCGTCAACGGTGACCAGTTGCCCGTCGGCATCGCGTTCGAATGAGCCGTCCCTCGTATAACCGGTGTTTCCATCCGGAAGTTCGATCTGGAAAAAGCCTTCGCCGCGGATGGCGACATCCAGTTCCTTGCCTGTCTGTTCAAGAGAACCCTGGGACATGATACGCGCGGTCGACGCGATCTTTACACCGGAACCGATCTGAACGCCGGTTGGAACTATGGTTCCTGCATCGGAGGTCTCGGTGCCCATCCTGCGAAGGTTCTGATAGAGAAGATCCTGGAAATCCGCCCGTTGTTTCTTGAAACCCGTTGTCCTCATGTTGGCAACGTTGTTCGAGATGACTTCGACGTTCCGTTCCTGGGCCTTCATGCCGGTGGCGGCGATCTGCAGTGCTTTCATGATCTTAAATCCTCTGGAGCCCGTCAGGCTTGAACTCTTCCGAGCGTCGAGATGGCCTGCCGGCTCAGCTCATCGATGTCTTTCAGCATCTTCGATACCGCTTCGTATGATCGGGTGACTTCGATCAGGCGCGTGACTTCAAAGACGCCATCCACGTTCGATTGTTCCAGCGCTCCCTGCACGACCTTGGTCGCCGCCGGAACGCCTGGATTTTCGCCTGCAAAAATGGTTTCGGAGAGCTTTTCCAAATCCTGCACATTTTCAAACGAAGCGACCCGGATCTGACCGCGAACGCCAAGTTCGGTGGCAATGGTGCCATCCTCGGCGATTTCGATGATGCCGTCTTCGTTGGTGAAGGTTAGGGGACCGGCGGATGTCATGACCGGTCGGCCCTCGGAGGTTACAAGCTGTCCGTCCGCGTCCAGGTGAAAAGCGCCGTTGCGTGTAAAGGCTTCACCGCCGTCCGGCATTTGCACCACAAAAAACCCTTCGCCCTCAAGAGCGATGTCGAGTTCGTTGCCGGTAAGCTTGAAACTGCCATTGGCAAAATCGGTGTGCGAGGAATAATCGAGAACATAGGACAGTGTTTCATCCGGTGTCTCGAACTCGGTCGCCTCGGCCACCGGCATCATATATTCCTCAAACAGCAGGTTTTGCGACTTGAAACCCGATGTGTTGATGTTCGCCATGTTGTTGGCGATGACATTCAGCTGATTCCGCAGGGCGGTCTGCCTGGAAAGGCCAATTAGCTGTGCGTTCTCCATGTGAACGGTTCCTTTTGCTCCCCGATGAGCCGTTCGGTCTCCCCAGACTTGCGGGCTCGTTAAGGTTAATGCACGTGCCGTGCCAGTTTTTAAATCCTTGGAAAATCTGGGTAAAAGACGAAACAGCAGGGTGCGTGCGGCAAGAGATTCCGGCAGAAGTTAACCACTTGGCAATTTTTGCCTGGTGACTCGCGTTAACGGCTTGGTAACCATTCGTTAACCATTAACTCTTTAGTAATAATTATCGCGCGCGAGCGCCGGATAATGCGGAGTTCGGAATGGCTGACGAAAGCGCTGCTGCTGATGAAGACGTCGAGGGCGAAAGTGAAGGCGCTGCGGGTGGAAGCAAGAAAAAGCTGTTTCTGTTTGGCGGTATCGGCCTGGTGGTTCTGCTGGCTGCGGGGGGCGCGGCCTACTATTTTCTGATGGGGTCCGCAACGCCGACGACGATGCCTGACGATGCAGGTTCGCCTGTCGAGGTTCAAAAGCCGGTGGTCTTCTTCGATCTGCCGGAAATGACGGTGAATTTGGCGACGGAAGGACGGACGACGTATCTCAAGGTCAGGATCGCGCTGGAAGTCGAAAATCGCGCGATGATCGATCAGATTCAACCGTTTCTGCCGCGCATTCTGGATGCGTTTCAAATTTATCTGCGCGAATTGCGCCCTGCGGACCTGGAGGGGTCTGCCGGTCTGTTCCGTTTGAAGGAAGAATTGCTCAGACGGATCAATTTGTCGGTGTATCCGGCGAAAGTGGAAGGGGTTCTGTTCAAGGAAATCCTTGTGCAGTGACACGATGAATGGCTGATAGCGACGAAGACGACGATCTGTCCGAAGAAGACATGGCTGATGCCTGGGGAGCCGCTCTTGCGGAGCAGGGCGCCGGTGGTGATGATGATGACGATCTAGCCGCCGCCTGGGGTGCTGCGCTTGAAGAGCAGGGTGCCGGCAGTTCCGACGACATGGCTGCCCAATGGGCGGCGATGATCGACGACAGCGAGCCGGACCTTGAAAACGCGACCCGTGGTGCGGACCGTGTTCTCAATCAGGAGGAAATCGACAATCTCCTGGGCTTCAATATCGAGGATACGATTGCCGGCGACCAGAGCGGTATCCGGGCACTTATCAATTCGGCGATGGTCTCTTACGAGCGATTGCCGATGCTCGAGATTGTCTTTGACCGGCTGGTGCGGCTGACAACGACCTCGTTGCGGAACTTTACGTCAGACAACGTGGAAGTGTCGCTCGACTCCATCAGCTCCGTCCGGTTCGGCGACTATCTCAATTCCATTCCGCTTCCGGCTATCCTTGGAGTGTTCAAGGCCGAGGAATGGGACGGCTTCGGGCTGATCACGGTTGAGTCCAGCCTGATCTATTCGATCATCGACGTGTTGCTCGGCGGCGGGCGCGGGACCTCTGCGGTGCGGGTCGAGGGACGTCCATACACCACGATCGAAACCGGCCTCGTGCAGCAGATGGTGGCGCTGATACTGCAGGATGCGGAACATGCTTTCGCACCGTTGTCTCCGGTTCACTTCAATCTTGAACGCCTGGAGACCAACCCGAGATTCGCCGCTATCTCCCGCCCGGCGAATGCCGCGATTCTCGTTGAGCTGCGGATCGACATGGAGGATCGTGGCGGGTCCGTCGAGATCATGATGCCCTACGCGACACTGGAGCCGATCCGCGATCTGCTGCTTCAGATGTTCATGGGGGAGAAATTCGGCCGCGATCCGATCTGGGAAGGACACCTTGCCAGTGAAATTCATGCAGCCGAAATCGAGGTGGATGCGGTGTTGCATGAAACCCACCTGCCGTTGAGCAGGGTCCTCAGTCTGGACGTTGGGCAGACACTGGTTTTCGATGTCGCTCCGGCGGATTCGGTGACGATCAAGTGCGGAAATGTCCCGCTGACCGAAGGTACTCTCGGCAAGGTGGAGGATTCCATTGCCATCCGGGTCGCAAAGAACTTGCGCAAGCCCAAAATGACGCTGGCGGCTTTCGAGCGGGCCATGCAGAACGAAATGGAGCAACCATGAGCACTTTGCCAATCGGAATGATCATTGAAGGTCTGGTCGCGGTGCTATTGCTGGTCACGATCGGCTATTGCTGGATGCTCAATCGGCGCTTGCAACGCCTCAGAGCCGACGAAGAAGTGTTACGGGCAACCATCTCCGAACTTATGACTGCGACGGAGATTGCAGAGCGGGCCATCCTCGGTCTGAAGACTACGGCATCAGAGGCCGACAAGGTTCTCGGTACCCGCCTTAAGCAAGCGGAAACCATGTCCGGCGGTCTTGCAGAACAGATTGGTGAAGGTGAGAAAATCTTTACCAGAATTTCGCAGATTGCAGAGGCTGCAAGGGCTGCTTCCTCACAACAGGAACCGGCACCGCGCAGTGACGCCTATGCCGTCAGGTCTCCGACGGATGTTGCTGCATACGGGCAGCAGCCTGCGGGGCATGGTTCGCATCCTGCTCCGTCGGCTCAGGCCGCGCCGGCACCTCAAGCTCCGGTCTATGAGCCGGAGCGCAAACGGACGAGCCGTGCGGCGGACATACAAAGTGCGGCGGCAGAGGCGACTGCAAGACTTGAACAATTCCGTAGACGGAACGGTGCTGCTGCATGAATTTGAGACTGTTGCCTTTGTTGGGAATCTCGGCAAGTGCCCTTCTTGCCCTGAAATTGCTCGGGCTCGCATTCGGACCGGAAAGCGAGAACCTGCCCATCAATGGTGCGGTTGCGCAGGAAACGTCCGCGGAAGGTATTGCTTCAGGTGAGGAGATGACTGCCGAAGTCAACGACCAACCTCTTGAAAACGAAATGGCGGCGCAAGAGGAATTCTCGGAGCCACCGGTACTGCCCGACAGTCTTGAAATCGGCGGCTCAGCTGCTGAAAGAGCGGTGTTGGAAAGCCTCGGTAAGCGCCGCGAGACCCTGCAGCAGCAAGAAGGTCAACTGGATCTGCGCGAGAAGCTGCTCCAGGCGACCGAGGAGCGGATTCAGAAACGGGTCGATGAGCTCAAGAAACTGGAGCAGCGTATCGAAACTGCCGTAGAGAAAAAGAAGAAGCAGGAGCAGGATGAGGTCGCTGGGCTTGTCACCATGTACGAGACCATGAAGCCCAAGGACGCAGCCCGTATCTTCGACAGGCTGAGTCTGCCGATTCTTCTGAAAGTCGTGCGCCAGATGAAACCCAGAAAAATGGCCGATATCTTGGCAAAAATGTCTCCGGAAAGAGCAGAACGACTGACCGTTGCAATTGCCAGCAACACCGGCTCGACTCCGCAGCCGGTGCAACCGGTGAGCGCTCCGGCCCCGGCCCAGCAAATGCTGCCGAAAATTCCTTCAAACTGAGCACTTCTTTCGGATTTGAAGGGCACACGTAAGGGCGCGTTAAGAACACTTACCTAACAATAGAGTGTTGGCGCTATCCGAGGACTGAACGACTTGCAGGCACCCATCCTGACATCGCGACAAAACTGCAAGCTCACGGACGCCTCAAAGGTGCGCCGGGCTTTCTGTTTTTCTGTCCTGATGGCGATCTGCGTCTGTCTTTTGTCAACCGCTCTTCCATTTGCCGCCAGAGCCCAGACACTGGAACCGGTGGACCTTCAGGTTGTTCCGGCGGAAGGTTATGGCCGTATTGTCCTGACTTTCAAGGACCGGACCTTGCTGCCGATATATGATGCGGTGATTACCGGCGGTGTGTTGCGAATTTCATTCGAGGACCCCGTCGACATCAAGGTCGACGACGTGCCGCTGGACCTCGGCGACTACGTCACCATCGCGCGCCGCGATCCTGATGGAAGTGCAATCCGTTTTGCCTTGAAGAACCAGTTTCAGATCAACACGCTGGAGGCAGGCGAAAAGCTCTTCGTCGACATACTGCCGATGAACTGGCAGGGATTGCCACCGGGACTGCCGGACGACGTGGTCCGGGATCTTGCGAAGCGGGCGGAAGCCGCAATGAGAAAGGTGCGTGCGCTGGAGCAGGCACGCCTGAAGGCCCAGGAAGGTCCGGAAGTCACGCTGCATGTCGGTGAACATCCAACGTTCACACGCCTCGTTTTCGATTGGTCGATCAAGTTCGACACCGCCTTCGTTCGGGAAAACGATATCATCAAGCTGACGTTCAACCATCCGGCGCAGCTGGATATTTCCCACCTGCGTGCACATCTGCCGCAAGGGGTCATCGATGCGACATCATTCCTGGACAAGGGAAAACTCAAGTTCCTGATGCGCGTCGAACCGTCGGTCGATATTCGCGCTTTCAGAGAAGAGCAGACCTATGTGATCGATGTGACACCGGAAAACATGGAGCCCAATGATCCGGCGAATGCTCTGATCAACAAGGAGCTTTCCGTCGCGGACAACGAAAACCGCGAGAACATGATCACGGCACCGGGTCTGCGTGACACGCGTGAAGTGGACAATCCACGTGGCTTGCCGCCAATCAGCAGCGGAAACGTCTCGGGCGGCGTGATGAAGGAATCGCGGGCAGATGAATCGCCCGCATATACTGTTCTTCCGCTAAGCGGATCGCTTCCGGATGAAGAAACGCAGTCGCAGGCAAGTGAGCCCGGTCCTGAAACGAAAGAGGCCGCGGCGATTGAAAATGTGCCTGTTGCCGGGACACCGGAGCACGTCTCTGTCACGGAAAATGCGGCCGGCAGGTCGCCAGGCGCGGCACCGAGGGTGAAACCCGCGATACAGTCGCAAGGGCCACCTGAACAGGAATTGGAAACGGCGGCTGGCGAACTACCGATAGTGATCCCGCAAGACACGACTTCCGCAATTCCGGTATCAACGGCGACCGCTTCGGCGGTCGAAACGCTTGCAGCCCCTGAACTTGCCCGGTCTGCAGAAGAAGGCGGCGGCGTTGGCAGCGGTCCCCAGGGGGAGCTTGTCACATCCGCCATATTGCCTGACGGGACACAAAGCGCCGGTGCAGGTGACAGCGGTGTATTGCCGATTGTTCTTGCCCAGACTTCTCCTGGTGCCCTGCCGCTTGCAGAGACCCAGCCTGAAAACGAGGGCGTCGTGCGCAAAGCGCCGATGCTCGATCTCTCAAAGAAGAAGATCGGAGCGCCTGAGGAGGGCGTACCAGTTCAAGAGGGAAATGGCATTCCAACGCTGAAACCTGTTCAGCAACCGGTTGCCGATATGCAATCGGATCGACCTGGTCCAGGTGAATCTGTTCAGATGGAAGGCGGAGCGACGCTTGGCGCCGGCGAGGTGCCAGCGGCCATACAACTGCCAAGCAGGACCACTGCAGCGCCGGAAGTCTGGCGCGCGACCGGGGGGGATGTTTTCGCCGACGAGCGCCCGTCTCCTGAGCGGCCGCCCGACAATGTGGCCGAGGAAGTCAGGAATTTCGTTTCGGCAGAAGCACGCAGAATCGGTAACACGGTGCGAGTAGTCTTTCCGTTCTCGGAGCCGGTATCGAGTGCGGTCTTCAGGAGAAATGACAGCATCTGGCTTGTTTTCGATACTGATGCGACGATCGATACACGTGGAATGGTTTCAGCCCTTGCCGAAACTGCGGAGAGGATCGATGTCGAACAGTTCGAGGACTATCAGATTCTCAGACTGGACATGAATGATCCGGTGCTTGCGACCGTCGGTGTTGATGGCAATGCCTGGTCGCTTGTGATCGGGGACATGATCCTGGAACCTTCCATCCCGCTGCAGCTTGAACGCAATGTTCGCGGCGATGGCGGATCGGTACTGCGTGTTCTTTACCGGGATCCGCAGCATATTCGGGAGATCACCGATCCGTTCGTCGGCGATACCATTTCGCTGGTCACGGGTTTCGGGCCACCTCGCGGCTTGCTCAAGCCGCAGAAATTCGTCGACCTTGAAGCATTGAGTTCTGCACAGGGCATAGCGATCGTTACCCGCTCAGACGGTATCAAGATGCAGGTACTGGGTGACGATGTGATCATCGAAAGAAAGGGAGGACTTTCTCTTTCGAACCGCCATCTGCGCGGCGGTACAGGCGCCCTGAACACGATCGTCGACCCTGAAAGTTCCAATGTCGAATTCGTGTCCCTGAGCACCGAAGGCCCGGGAGCCTATCGGTCCAGACTTATCGAGCTCCAGAGAAAGCTTTCACGGTCGCCCGCCGGCAAACGCAGAAAACCACTGATCGAACTGTCGCGGTTTTATCTCGCGCACCAGTTTGCACAGGAAGCGCTCGGGTTGATGAACCTGGCTTTGGAGGAAGAACCGGCGCTCGCGGAAGATACCTCATTCAACCTGATGATGGGTGCAGCCCAGACGATGGCCGGCAGGCCGCAGGAGGCCTACGCTCATCTCAATCGCCCCGATCTGAAAAACAACCCCGACGCAGCCATCTGGCAGACGATTGTCGACGTCAAGCTCGGGAACTGGACACCCGCGCGTATCGCCATGCCGCGGGGTCGCACCGTGGTCGGCAACTATCCCTCAGCTATTCAGACCGAATTCAAACTTGCCGCCGCGCAGGCGATGGTTGAAGTCAACGATTTCGGTGTCGCCAATGGCGTTCTGGCCGAGATTGAACCAAGCGAAGTCACTCCGGCACAGGCAGCGCGCTACGACATCTTGCGCGGACGCGTTGCCGATGCTTCCGGCCGTTCCCAACAGGCGCTGACTGTTTTTGATCTGGTGACGCGCTCCGACGACCGTCCCCGAGCCGCTGAGGCAGAATACCGCGCCTTGCGGATCCGCTACCGGGACGGTGAGCGCAGCGTCGACGAGACGATCGACCAGCTGGCCGGGCTTGCAACGTCCTGGCGGGGGGATGAAGTCGAACTCAAGACACTGCGCTTTCTTGCGCAGCTCTATGCCGAGCGGGGACAATACCGGGAAGCGTTCGAAGCGATGAAGTCGGCGGTCCAGGCGGATCCGGATTCAGACACGACGCGCCTTTTGCAGGAAGAAATGAACGGCCTTTTCAATGCCCTGTTCCTTGACGGCAAGGCGGACGAAATGTCACCGGTCAAAGCCCTTGCACTCTACTATGACTTCCGGGAACTGACACCAATTGGCCGTCAGGGTGATGAAATGGTTCGCCAGCTTGCAAAGCGGCTTGTGGAGGTGGACCTCCTGGATCAGGCGACCGAATTGCTGCGTCACCAGGTTGACAACCGTCTGAAAGGTGCCGCTCGCGCTCAGATCGCCGCCGATCTTGCCGCAATCTACCTGATGGACCGGAAGGCCGACGAGGCCTTGAGGGTGTTGAACAGGTCCAGACAGGCAAGTCTGCCATCTACACTGGAAAGACAACGCAACATTGTCGAAGCACGCGCGCTTACCGAAAACGGTCGTCCGGATCTTGCACTTGAACTCGTACGCAACATGCGAGGATCGGATGTGGATCGCCTGCGCGCCGATACCTTCTGGGCCGCGGAAAGCTGGCGCGATGCCGGTGAGCAACTCGAAGCAATGCACGGGTCACGCTGGTCAGACAACATTCCCCTGGACGAACTGGAGCGGCGGGACATCCTGCGTGCCGGGATCGCCTTTTCACTCGCAGGCGACCAGTTGAGTCTGGAACGGCTTCAAACCAAATACACGGGCAAGATGGCTCAAAGCCCGGAGGCACTGGCCTTTGAAGTTGTCACCAGGCCCATAGAGACACAGGGCGTGGAGTTTCTGGAGGTCGCCAACAGGCTGGCGGATACGGATTCACTTGAGACCTTTCTCAAGGAGTATCGCCGGCAGTACATGTCGCCGACCCGCACACAAGAAGATCAGGCTGCAGCAGTGCCTGCCGGAAATGATCCTGCCGGGTAGATTGGCAGTTTCGACCGGCAATCAGCCAGGTCCCGTGCAATTGTTGTGTGACAGGCGGATTTGCGGGATCAGTTGAGAGCACTTCCGGCGAAGGAGGCATCGGCATTCGCGCGCGGCTTCTTCAGCTCCGCCTTGTAACGCATAACCAGTTCGGGGATGGTGCGGGAGTTGCGGTCGAGCCACTTGCAGCGGGCCTTGAGGAAATCCCGATAGGTTTTCTCGTCGATGCCGGTTTGCAGCATAAGACGCATGATCGCCCCGTCGGCATCCGATTTCAGTGTATCTGCAACAACATCGTCGCTCAGATTGAGTTTTCGTCCAATCAACCAGATTGCCGCATCGATGCGATCATCTTCGAATAGTGTTCGCAGGATCGCGTCAAAGGACATTTCACCATTCGCGATGTGGATGCTGGCCTCGTGCCGCGAGTAGAGTACACCGTCGATCTCGATGTCCCCGTCGCGTTCGAGATCACCGATCGTGGTCGCAAGGCGTTCCAGATCCCCGGTTTCAAGGGCTTTCCGGAGCGGCGCGGGAATGAGCGGACAATTCGTTTCCAGAACCAGTTTCTGGGTTTCCAGAAACTCTTCATCCTTCAGGGCGCGTTTTGCAATTCCAGCCAGCACTTCAATTTCCGTGTTGGCAAAGATCAGCAGTGCAAGCGTTCCCTTGACGGAAAAGGGGGCATCCTTGTTGTCCAGCAGTGCATGAACCACGTCACGGCTGCTTCGTGCAACCAGGGTGTCGGAGATTTCCTCATTCAGATCAGCGCGGCGCGCAACCGACAGCCTCTTGTCGTTGCCGCCGGTCCTGGCAATGCGCATCAGGGCCGGTTGGCTGATCATGGGTGAACACTCGATGACCGGTTCGGAAAGTTCGTAGTCTTCCTGGGCGAGCCGATCGGCCAGGTCGGGTATGATCCGGTCAGTCTTGGCAAGTCTGACAACAAGTTCGTACCGGGCTTCCTTGTCGAGCTGATCGAAGACCGACAGGACAATTCTTGAAAACAGCTCGCGTTCAACCTCGGTCGGTTCGTTTTCTTCCGAACGGGCATACTCGCCAACAAGCGCGCGAATAAGCTTTGACCTTGCTTCGGGTTCGCTGATTCTTGCCAGTTGTTCGAGTTGGTCGCGTATCACCGGTTTTCCATATAAATTTCAAGACGGCAGAGGTCCTGCAAATAAGACACGACTATTACATATTTATCTTAATTTTGTTCTACTTTTAGCAATGCGGACTGTGGCTAGCCGCCACCGAAACTCTTTACCAGAGAACCGGCAACAAGGTTCCAACCGTCGACGAGAACAAAGAAAATGAGCTTGAAGGGAAGCGATATCACGACAGGCGGCAACATCATCATACCCATTGACATCAAGACAGATGCAATAACGAGGTCGATGATCAGGAAGGGGAGGTAAAGCAGAAATCCAATTTCGAAAGCGCGCCTGAGTTCGGAGATCATGAATGCCGGGACAAGTATCGACATGGACAGGTCCTCGGGCCCTTCCGGGGTGTCCTGGCCTGACAATTCCTGAAACAACGCCAGATCCTTCTCCCGGACCTGGGACAACATGAACGTCCGGAACGGGTCGGATGCCCGCTCGTAGGCCTGATCGAATTCGATATCGCCGTCGATCAACGGCTGGACCCCGGCATCATAGGCGGCCTGCAAGGTCGGCATCATGATGAAGGCTGAAAGGAACAACGCGAGGCTGACCATGACCATGTTGGGCGGAGCTGTTTGAAGCCCGATGGCAGACCGAAGCAACGACAGAACGACAACAATACGCGTAAAACTGGTCACCATGACAAGGATGGAAGGAGCAAGGGACAGAACGGTCAGCAGGATAACGAGCTGAACCGCGCGCTCCGTCAGGCTCGCATCGTCACCGAAACCGACCGAGATTTCCTGCGCTGTTGCCGGTCCTGCGAACAGAACCCAGAATGCTGCCAGGGCAATGGTGACCTGAACGACCCGTTTCAGCCACTTGGCACGACGGTCTGCAATCATCGACCTGGCTGTCCACCCAATTCGTGAAGGATTTTCGCCATCTCGTCTTCGATCGGGTTCTTGTCACCCAACCCTTGCACGTTTCGTTTTTCCGGCTGCGCGGGCTGCACGCCAGGGACAATGTCCAGCGTCGCCGGTGACTGCGAAGACTGAACCGTATTTTCCTGATCCTGTGATTGAACCTGCGGGTCCGGAATCCAGTTGAATTCATCTGCCTGCGGTTCACCGATTGATTCTGACGCCGCATCGTCGAGCAAGTCGCCCAGATCCAGGTTTATGTTGACTTCCCTGGGAGCGGAGCTTTGCGTTTCGGTTTCGACGGTTGGGGAGGCCGTTTCCAGCATCGCGTCGGTACCATTCATCTGGGAGCTATCGTCCATTGCCGGAATGAGGGACGTGTCTTCCTGAACCACAAGCGATGTGTCTGATCCTTCAGCCGGAGGCGCCGCGTCCCGGATTTCTGCCGAAGTCGCTATCTCCGGTTCAGCCGGTGCCTCTGGCAGGTCCTGAGTAGCGTCGACACCGGTCACAGCCATGCCGGCGCTGTTTACCGACGGATCGGACATGACCGGTTCGACCTTGTTCGACACCGGTTCCGGGTCGACCGGCTTGAAGAGTGCTGTTTTTGCCCTGGCCGCCGGGCCGGATGACGGCGGCGAGATCGTATGTCCCGTCTTTGGAGAGCGTTCCCGGGTGGCAATCGACCGTGCCAGACTTTTCAGTGTCGATCCGGTTTCACCAACGTTGCCGGTTTCAGGCGTGATCGAAACGGACGGTTCGGGATTTACATCCGGAGCTCTTGCAGTTGCCACCTCTGCTTCCATTTCCGCCAAGGGGGGCGAAATCGTCTCAGCCTGGGTCTTTTGCTGTGAGGCTGTCGAGCGGTTGAAACCGTTTTGTGTTGCTGCCCGCAAGAGATCTGCTGCCGTGCCGGCACCCCTGACGATACCAGATGGTTTGTCGACCGGACGTGCTGCGCTGGAAACATCCGGTTCGACGACCGTCTGCGGATTGTTCACCGATGAAGATCTTTGAATGAGGCTTTCGGTCGTCTCGGATCTCCGCTGAACAGGTCTCGGGGTACCGATTGAAGTCTGACGTATTGTCTGCGGCGCCGAAGCGCCGACGACCGGAGCCGGTGCAGGCGCCGGAACGGCTTCATCCGGTCTGGCCGGAATGTTGGGTCCGGGGGCCGTCGGAACTTTTTTTGAACCCGTCCCGGCGTGGGTCGAATGGGTATTGGCCGCCTGACGCGAGGCTGTAATCGGAGCGTTTCGGACAATGTTCTGTTCGACGACGACGTCGGTGGGTCCTCCGATCAGCAAAAGGTGCTCGACATTGTCCCTGCGGATCAACACCAGCGATCGGCGTGCATCGACCGGAGAACTGTCCATCACCGCGACGCGCGGCTGACGGTTCCGTGTCTGCGGTGCCCTGGATCCCATCAGTCGCTTGAGAACAAAAACAAACAGGCTGAAAAGCAGCAGAACCACGGCCAGTGCGATGAAAACCGCGATAACCTGAGTAACGCCGCCACTTACGTTGAAGGTCGATTCAATCCAGTCGTACATGTTTACCTCGTGCCGCCCCGCCAGCGGACTGATTTTGATCTTCGGTTACTCTGGACTTCCGCCATAATTGGGGAGCGCTCCGCTTATCCCCAGCAAATCGGGATATGACCCTGTTTCGCATCATTGTCCCCGACCGCTTGCAAATGTTCCGCTTTCAGCGCCGGCTACTCTGGGGACCAGATGGCGGTTTTTCAGGAATCCTTGCCGAAGCCACGCGAATCTCTCTAGGTCTCGAAGTTAACAGAAGCGGGCAAAATTTACCTGTTGCAGCACACCTTCAATTCGCAAAATGCAAAGGAATGTTGCTCTCTTCCACTGATTTTTGAAGGGGTTGCGGTGCAGGGGTGAGTGATCGTTAACCATTCATTAACCATTGAGGCGGCAATCATTGCCTAGTTGGTTAACGGATGGTGAATGGGATGGCCTCTACGGACCTGCCTCTGTTTCAGGCGCTGAAGTCGAAAATGCGATGGCACCAGACACGTCAGAGTGTTCTGGCGGAAAACATCGCGAATGCGAATACGCCCGGATATGTTTCCAGGGACGTCAAAACGTATTCCTTTGAAGACCACATCGGTCTTCAGCAATCCGCGCTGGCAACGAAAACGACGAAGGTCGGGCATATTTCGGGCGCTGTCTCCGGAAACCTGTCCACCAAGATAGAAAAGCGCGATTCATTTGAAATCACGCCAAACGGCAACAACGTCAATCTGGAAGAGCAGATGATGAAAATCACTCAGAACCAGATGGATTTTCAGGCTGCAACGAGCCTTTACACCAAGGGACTGGGGCTGATCCGGACGGCTCTGTCAAAGAGCGTCTAGGATCCGTGACAGCTGAAAAAGGACCGGCAAGATGGATCTGATCAAATCTCTGTTTGTTTCAGCGAGCGGGCTGAAAGCGCAAAACGGGCGCATGCGCATAATCGCGGAGAATATTGCAAACGCGAATTCGACGGCGCGCACGCCCGAAGAAGAACCTTACCGACGGAAAATACCGACATTCAAAAGCCACTTCGACAAGGAGCTGGGCGCGGAGAAAGTCGAACTTGGCAAGGTCGCGGAGGATTCGTCGGATTTCAAGTCGACCTATATGCCCGGGCATCCGGCCGCGGACGAGAAAGGGTACGTGCTCCAACCGAATGTCAACACGCTGGTCGAGACGACCGACATGCGTGAGGCGCAACGTTCCTACGAAGCCAATCTGAACGTTATTGAATCGACGCGGCGGATGCTGCAGCGAACCATCGACATCCTGCGGGCGTGATCCGGGGGCTAACCACTGAAGGGGGCAGGGGCAGTGACCACACCGTCTATTGCAAACAATGCTTATCAGATTGCTGCCAAGCTGCAGCAGCAGGCACGCGCGGTTGAGGAAACGGTCCCGGATCGCTCAGCCGTTGACTTCGGCCAGATGGTGCAGGAAGCCGTCGAGACCGTCGTCGACAAGGGGCAGCAGACCGATAACATGGCTATCGGCATGATCGAAGGCAAGACCGGTGTGGTCGACGTCGTGACGGCCGTGGCGGAAACCGAACTGGCCCTGGAAACAATGGTTGCTGTTCGCGACAGGGTTATCTCCGCCTACGAAGAAATCATGCGGATGCCGATCTGATTCCAATTTGCGGGGGCGAAACATGACCGCCGGTGAAGTGCTCGACATTGCCCGTGAGGGTGTCTGGACAATGATCCTGGTCGCAGGTCCCACCATGGTGGTGGGGCTGATTGTCGGCGTGGTCATCGCGCTGTTCCAGGCGTTGACCCAGATACAGGAAATGACGCTCGTTTTTGTTCCGAAAATTCTTGCGATCTTTGTAACGATCCTGGTCACGCTGCCATTCATGAGCCAGGTGTTGGAGAGCTTCATGGGGCGCGTAACCGAAATGATCCTGACCACCGGAGGATAGCGCAAGGGGCCTGATGACCATTCAGCTCGATTTTCTGCCTGATATTGCTGCAGCGTTCCTGCTGATGTTCGCGCGGCTCGGCACAATGCTGATGCTCTTGCCGGCTCTTGGGGAAAGTTCCATTCCCATGCGTTTCCGCCTCACCATCGCGCTTGCGCTTACGCTTGTGATGTATCCGGTGGCCGCCTCGCTCTACCCGGCCAACCTCACAGCCAACATGATGCAGCTTCTCGTCATGCTTGGTGGCGAACTTGCGATAGGCTTCGGTATCGGTCTTTGCGCCCGGCTGATCACTTCGGTCCTGCAGATCGCGGGCGTCATCATGGCAAACCAGTCCGGGCTTGCCTTCGCTCTCGGCACAGACATTGCCAATGAAGGCCAGCAGGGGGCTCTTTACGGCAACTTCCTAGCAGTTCTCGGCATTACACTTGTGTTCGTGACGGACTCGCACTACCTGATCATTGCCGCGATGTATGACAGTTTCACGATCTTTCCACCTGGAAACGCTCCTCCGGTTGCTGATTTCGCGCAAAATGCGACCGATACCGTTGCTCATGTCTTCACGATTGCCGTGCGAATGAGCGCTCCCTTCCTTGTTGTCGGTCTGGTTTTTTATTTTGGTCTCGGCCTGCTCAACAAGCTGATGCCGCAAATGCAGATCTTCTTCATCGCCATGCCGGTCAACATCGCGGTAGGGCTGTTCCTTCTCATGGTGCTGATTGCGACCCTGATGATGTTCTATCTCGATCATTTCCAGGAAGCGCTCGGCAAGTTTATCGTGGGGTAGCGCCGCAAAATGGCTGACGATACCGACGACTCAGAAAAGACAGAGGACCCCACGCAAAAGCGCTTAAAGGAAGCGCATGACAAGGGGGACGTTCCCAAATCGCAAGAAGTCAGCACCTGGTTCACGCTTGCCGGTGCAACCCTGATGATTGCGATCTTCGCACCTGGCGCAGCTGCCTCGCTGGGAGAGTTGATGAGCGGCTACCTGGAGCATGCCCACCAGATTCCGGTGGATGGTTATGCGCTGAAAGCGCTGTGGCGCGATACCGGCCAGTCAGTCGCCCTGATCGTCGGCGTGCCGCTGATCGCACTGGTATTGATGGCGGTCGCGGGCAATCTCATACAGCATCAACCCCTCTTCACGGGCGAGACAATCAAACCAAAGCTTTCCAAGGTGTCTCCGGCTTCCGGCTTCAAGCGCCTGTTTTCTGCAGACAGCCTGGTCAATTTCACCAAGGGAATGCTCAAGATCTCGATCGTTGGCGCCGTCATGGTCGCCGTCATGTGGCCGCACAGGGACGAAGCCGAGATCATTATCTTTGCCGAAACGAGCGTGATCCTCCAGGAGGCGCGCGTTCTAATTCTGCAGCTGCTGGCAGCAATTCTTGCCGTCATGACGGTGGTGGCAGGCGCGGATTTCATCTACCAGAAAAACAAGTGGTTCAATAAGCAGAAGATGACGCTTCGCGAGGTCAAGGAAGAGTACAAGCAGACCGAAGGCGATCCGCAGGTCAAAGGCAAGATCCGTCAGCTGCGTATGGAACGTTCGCGCAAGCGGATGATGTCTGCCGTGCCGCAGGCGACTGTGGTCGTGACGAACCCGACTCACTACGCGGTCGCGCTGAAGTATGAAGAGGGTATGGGTGCCCCGCTCTGTCTTGCAAAGGGGACGGACGCAATCGCCCTGAAAATGCGGGAAATTGCCAGGGAAAACGAAATTCCGGTAGTGGAAAATCCTCCGTTGGCAAGAGCGCTCTATGCTACGGTTGATATCGATCGGGAGGTTCCCGAGGAACACTACAAGGCGGTTGCCGAGGTGATCGGCTTTGTGTACCGCATGCGCCGGCGCGCTTCCTGGAGGGCGAACTAGGAACGCACTTTCTGCATCTTGTGGAAATTTCACGCGCCTGGTGCGGCCAAACGGGCGAATTTCAACAGAAGTAAGCTTCATATCAGTTGAAATTAGTTATTAAGCACAGAATGCTTACACACGGTCCCTTGTAAACCGAATCGGGCCGGGGAGACAGGACGTATGAGTGACATGGACGGGGCG